AGAAAAAAGAACTGATTTTTGGTGGGTAAAAAATCTGGGGCAATCCCAATACTTTTCTGACACGACATGGTCGTGTGGAAAAGTAATAGGGAGTCAGAATTGACATCAAATTAATAGTAAACGGTTTTATAATTAGATGATTTACATCCGCTACGATGTTAATACTATGTGCAATATGAAGCATTTCAACTCAATTACGAGTAACAACATCCTTATTTTTGACAACAACTGATCAAGCAATGGTTTCAATTTACATTTTCGTTGAACGAATCACAAGGTTTGCTTTTCTTGTCCACTGCATTTTCGTATTGCCAACTTTGTTAATTTGATCGTTTGCAATCACAAGACCAGAAGCTATTTGTATTCATAAGATGCAATTCCCTTAAATAGTGACAAAGTGCATTTGACAGAGTCGAGAATTAATAATATAATGTTTCGGTAATATAATGTGTTCAGACAGTTTTCACATGCTGTTGGTTTCCGAGAAAGACTTTCTAATATTCACTAGAAATTTTCCAATATTTCAGGCGAACAATTTTTCTCTTCTAATTAATTTTTAATGAAGCAATTTCGACACTTTTGCCAAACGTCCTCACATTTGAACACGTGAGCATATCAATTGAGAATGCCAATGCATTTTCGATATTGTCCGTCGAGAATTTGGTTTCATTTATCGTGAAATGGTTTTATAAAAATACACATAATAAAATGTGACAGAATGTTGTGCGCAATCGACAGATGCTTCTTAGAATTGTGCATTTTTTATGAACGTGGTGCTTGTGCCATTGCAATTGATATGATGAACGAATGGTTTTTCAACGTCGATACCCACCAAGACGAAGTGAATGCAAACAGAGAGAGCGAGAAAAGGATAGAGAGGACGAGTGAGTGAGTGAGTGAGATAGAAGAAAAAACTGACGACCGTCATTTATTTTAGCAACATGACAAGCAATTCAAGGGAGCATCATATTCTCGAATCATTAAAGATGTATGACGATGTAGATGGGTAAGTAGTACAAACAACTGGGGAATTGAAAAACCGAAAGCGAATGTCTTTTCATCAACAACATACAACAGAATACCGATAACTGACTTGTTCAAAAGTAAAATACTTTACAGACAGTCAGTCGACGAACAATATTTGCTTTTTCTCTCTCTCTCTCCCACACTCGTCCCAATTCTCTGTCATTTTGCGGATGCCAGAAGTCAAACAACAACAAAAAAAATCGTCCATTTTTGTGTTTTATACGACGATTCAATTCGCATCGACTGTGTTTATTTATGAGCAATTTAGAATCCAATGTGCCGAGAAATGCAGCTATACCGAAATAAATATAATTTTCGAACGTCGCTCCCAGTCGAACGCCGATTGATTTGTTATTCAGAGTGAAATTGAAATACGAAAAGAAAAAAAAGCCACGCCGAACCCATCGCAAGCTCATGACATATTCCAAGCGGTCAGTTTCTGTGCGCATCGAAGGAAAACAACACCGGTTCATATTTTCGAAATTTGTTTGAAATTCCGATATCGAGTAGACAGGGAAAATTGTCTAATAAATTTCGTCTCTCTGTGTCCCTCTCCTCACTTCTCAAGCTTAGCGCACAAATTATATCAGATCGGTATGCAAGTCGAATATTTGTGTATTTTTCTTGCTCCTGAGCTGACACTCGAAAAATTGCATTCGGAATGGCAAAACGATGAGCCAAACAGCCATCCGTATTGGTATATCATTATTATTATCTGTTCGTGTGCGATCTCACTCTCCCTCACCAAATCAGTTTATTGTGTCAGTCTCTAGAGATCTGAAAATACATATGTCAATTGAAAATGGCAAATATGTCGAAGCGACCCGAATGCAGAGATAAAAAGGAAGCGAGCATAGCAAGAAGAAAGAAAAAATAACCGAAACAAATACGCGGGACACTTTACAATATACATTAAAAACATATTTTCAAAATTATTTATTGCAGTTGATACTGCTAAATTATGCAAAAATTGTTTGTCGTACGAGCGAAACATGGCGGATTCGTTCGACCCGTGTACGATACGTTGGATGATACTACCATGAAATTCCAGCCAAACACGCGCCATCCAATACAATTTTATAGCAGCGGCAGCAGCAATAACAACAATAGTAACGCAGTAGCAATAGCAACAGCGAATGAAAAATGTCTTTGCTTGTGGGCGCACGTACTGAGCTCATGCTCACTAGCGATATATACCATGTGAATGGCAATTCGTGTTGCCAACCAATACACGCAACTGAATGAATAATATGATTTTTTTTTTTGCTACTCTCGTTTTTTTTTAAACCGAACCAATTTATTTAATGAGTTTTAGCGTACGAATGTGACTGCGGAAAAGAAACAGTCATAAACTCATCGACGTCATCACGATCAATTTCTATGCTTTTCACAAAATACCCTCCAAAGCGAGAGAGAGAGAGAGAGAGAGAGAGAGAGAGAGAGAGAGAGAGAGAGAGAGAGAGAGTGAATGAGAGAAAGAGAGAGAAATGGAAAAAAATGAATGAAATGTGTTTGGCTTCATTCGAATTTCGAAATGTCAGAGATAGTTCATATAAGCCACCATTTCAATAGAGTGTTTGAAAATAGCTACTAATATATGTTTTCACTTCTAAAACATGTGGTTAGCAGTCACTCTCTGGTTAATGACAACTGCAATCGAATAGAATGAGTGAAAGTTTTTTTTTGGAATCCACCTCAGGTGAGAAGTTACATTGAAATTACATTATTTATTAGTTGAGTGGTATTCTTATGGGTCCTCTATCTCTCGCTCGTTTGCTCGCTCGCTCGCTCGCTCTACTTCTCAAATAAATGCCAATGTGACAAAGCAACATCATTTTGAGTTATCCTTTTTATAGGATTTCAAGCGCAATTCAGACACCGTTCAGCGCTAGGAACGGTTGTAAGCGTTTGTAAACTTGGGAATGCACTTTTCGAATATTTGCATTTGCAAGCATTTTGAAGCCTGAATCATACTAAAATATGGAGTATAATTCAAAATGTTTCAATGAAAATGCAAACGAGGAAGACGGATAGACGTAGAGAGGAAAAGAGACGAAGCGAGCCCGTTGATACAGGCCAAGCACTCACAAACTATAAATAAATTTGCAATTCAATGGGTTGCCTTGGCTACAAGTCATTTACGAGTGTTCTTTAGCAACGCCGTTTTTAGTTGTTTATTTACAAACCCGGCACACCATTGTGTCTTGCCAGTCCTTTTGACGAAATTCATTCGAAAAAATATTTTCCTGTGTATGCCCTTGAGTGTAAAGTGACACAAAAATAGTGTGATACAATCTAAAAGGAAGCGGAATAGCTCGAGATGCCACTCAAAGTGAAATTAAAGTCAGAAAGGAATTTTCGTCACCATGAATTTTCGTCAAATTTTTATCAATTACGTCATTCATTTGACGAATTACCGTTGGACCCCGTCATACCGTTTATAATTGAGAAAATACGTGAGTAATATATGACTTCAATAGTTGATTGATTTAAGATAAAATGACTCAATGTCAATTGATTTAAGATAAAATGACACATTGTATGTTCCTAGAAAAACTGAGAACGAGTCGGTCATCTGTGTTTGCTCCGGACTTAAACTTGCTCTTGTACGACGTAAATAAATCGTGTGCTACGTCAATAGTTTCGCACATAAACCGTAAAAACCAGAGTGATTTACGGCCAGCACCAAGTGTGAAAGTAGCTTCAATCAAAGCAGTACCGCATACCAAAGACTATGACTGGAAATGGCTACAAGATGAAAGTGGTTGCAAGAGTAAGCTGAATTTGGTGAAACAATTCATAAATTCTAAAGGAAAAAAAATGACCTAGAAAGCACTTTCGAGTTAACTTTACAACTTTACAACTAGCATTACATTCATTTCATTACACACGTAGCTTTGTTCGTTAACCGTACGATGGCCGCAACGGAGCAGTTGAAGAGAATGTGCAACGAGCAACGTTCGAAGAACTTTAAGCGAAATGCACAGATTTTGACGGTGCTGAAGTATGGAAAGCGAAAAAAGAAAAGTTTGGGTAAATTTTATAGAATACTAGTGGTGTGTAAGTTAGAGTATTTCCACCCATTTTGATTCGATGGAGAGAGTAAGTGTAATAAAATAAAGATGCACCTGAGAGCCGAGTAAATATGATCCGGTGCTTTGTACAAAATACCTGTAATCCAGTTGGATATAAATATCGGGAAATGCACATAATCTCTATGGCTGTCTCGTAGACTGCAGCGTCGCCATTTTATGGTGTATTTGTTCGCATGTTTTTTTTTGTCTTGGTTGGATTTATCTCTGTATTTTTACTAGGTTTGCATTCACAATCCAATCAGATGCTTATTTGTCACACTGCTGTCGTTTTTTTTGGCTCTTTCTCTCGCCCGGTACATAATTTGAGTGGAAAAATCTTGTTGTGCCGTGAAGGAGAACGGAGGAGGCAAAGTAGTGACTTTACAGACGAATATCTATGACGATAATCTGGTTGGATTTGTATTTAATTTATTCGGGTGATGTGTGTGTGTGTGTTGTGTATGCTATTGCATAGGTGGTGTATTACAGATTGACATTGGAAATGTTTTGTTGTTAGTTAAATGCATAAAGTTCAATCTTTTGTAAGCCCACAACTGCCATTACATCGGCTGTATGTGTGAAACCATGAAATCTTTCGCAACAAGAGTTGTCGGCATTTATTACATTGACTGAGATATGTTTATTCGTGTTTTATTTTTGTGCTCTCTTTGTCGGGTGGTTAAAAGCGACGAAAAACAGTGGGAAGAACACCTACATGCGTTATTATGTGCCATACAAGCCGGGAGATGAATTCAAGCATCGTACGCCAGAAGGTGAGCGAACTGGGTTCATTTAAAAGTGGATTTTTTTCCATTTTAACGCGAACAAAGGAGCAAAAGCAAAAGTAATTTCAATAAAAAAATTTCAGAACGTCAACGTGAATTAAAGCGAATAGGGAACATGATCGACGACATCATAGCGAGCAAATGGAGTCGAATCAATGGAAATAACGTGCAAAATGTAAGACTTCATAAAAGAGTGATATATCGCATATTTTTCAATTTTTTTTTCTTCTCCTTGCTGTTTTGTTTCGTTTTGCTTTTCTTTTTCTATTAAGAAAAAATAAAAAAGCTGTTCATTTCATTTGTTTGGGAAAATGTTTATATTCCACAGAAGATGCAGTGCAAAAGCTCGCCTGAGGAGCAAGTCAAACCGCGCAAAAAGCATAAATCACTAACAAACGAAGAGTTTTTGATTAGTTTAAAAATGAAGGAAAAACGGTAAAAAATGAAGAATTAACCTGGTCTGGCAATGGATCTTTTCTTTTGGTTTTGTTTCTTTGCCAGTCCATTGAATGCAACACAGAGAGAGAGAGAGACGCTTGTTGCTTTTTGTTGTGTCATAAACTTCTCTATTATATTAGCTATGGTTCGGTTGGTTTACACGATTTTGATGCTTGAAAAAAGTTGTAAAATATATATAAAAAAAAGAAAGACCCACCGTGAGAGTGAACATAAAAAAGTTGATACTTTAATGCTGTTGATTTTTTTTTTCTTCTCTTTTTCAAACTCTCTTATGCTCACTTCACCGCCACTTTTGGCGTGGATACTCTGGTCCGGATCTGATACCTTCGGTCGGTGGATGTGGTTGATAAACGACAACTTTTCTCTGGTTATCTACGAAATATGTGTGCAACTCCACAATGTTGGGCGATGAATGGGTTGTCGAATGAATGAAAAATTGATGTAATTTGTTTCGGTGTTGTCTACGATATTTTTCTCTCACTGCCTCACGGAGCAACAGCATCTTTCAAACGATGCAGTGTTTGCAACCTGTAGATCCAGACGCGCAAAAGTACCACATCCTTCAGAAGCACAAACAACATCTTCAACAGGCAATCAAATTATTTTCATTGGACATGCAACAGAGGAGCATCCATCTTTTCAAACATGTAAATCGTTAATGTTTTTTTTTTCCTGCATTGCATAATATATTTGATTCAGTTCGTGATTTAGGTCGGTTTTCTTGCCATTCAACATTAACATGAGCCGTAAAATAAGTGAAGCTTTATTCAAGCAGATTAATTTGCTAATCCAAGGCAAAGAATGGTCGCTTTTATGAGCCACTAAAAATAAAGCAAGGATTAAGTGTGTGCGTTTTAAAGGGAACGCTCGTATTAAATAATGGGCTTGAAAATATAAAATAAGTTTGAAGATTTGTCGCTCTTTTGTTCTTCCGCTCAAAACGTTCATGCTCAAGCTGTTGCTTGTCTTAATCACATGAAAGCATGACAGAAATTACATCCATATCTCCATTCTTTTCGATAAAGAGTTTTGTATTCTAGTAAACTTTCTGAGCCATTCAATCGTCCTACGTTTTGAATAATCTATTTGAAGAAAAAAAAGCATAATAAATAATTCGAACTATAAGAGAATGTGAATTATAAAACATGGCGTAGTTTGTGCGAACGGTTGCGTGAATTTCATTTCAATGTTTTTGGCCGAATCACCGTGTTTTGTTTGCAGCAAATTTGTTGGCCCAAAATAAATCGTCAATAGCAACCAAATTGCTTGGTTTAAACTTTTCCTTTCGTTCGATGTGGTCCAATGCCGAAATACAAAAGGAAGAGAGAGGACAAAGGATGACAGGTTAATCCGAATATTATATGAATGCCTGGGCCAAACAATCGCATAAACTTCGTGCGTCCGAAAAAAAAGGATTGAACGCGAACCAGCTCCGTCCGTATTTTAAAAAACTATTTATATGTTGTGTGTGTGTGCTGTTTTTTCGATTGAATTTTACCTTTTCGATGTAACGTGTTTTATTTTTCGTACACCAAACTCCCAATGGCCATGAAAATTTATGTTCAACGATCTTTGTGCTAGCCCGAATCACAAGCGGGAAAAGAGAGAGAGAGAAAAAGGTTTTCAATTTTATGTTTACTAGATTTTTAGTGTGTTTCAATAGAGATTAGATTATTATCGTTGTGTAGATGTCATATGAATAAATTGGACCACTGCGTGCTTTTTTCTGAAACGAAGAAACAATTGGGTAAAATCTGCTGCCATTTGTCGACGATGCGTAAGGCTCGAATTGAAATCCAATATGTTTTTTTTTCTTCTCCTTTTTTTCGTATCAAGGGATTTGCATACCATTATTGTTAACATTGTTGTTATTGTTGTTGTTTAGTTCAACTAATGGCATGCAGCTTTTTGCTCAAAAGCTGCATCATTCCATCAAATCATTAGGCAATGTGTAAAACTGAGTTCGATCGAAGAGAATTCGAAAGGCTTGAACGATGGCCTCAATTTGTAATAAATGCAAAACCATCCATTGCAGATTGCCGTCACAATACTCGAACGATATCCCACACATTTGATAATCAAAACACTGCCGAAAGTCGATCGGAACCGACCTTACTTACGTGAAGCACACAAATTTATTAAACGTGAAAAGGTACGGCACAATTGAGCACACCATTTCAATTTCAAATTTGTAGCTATTGATTCTTTTTCTTGTTTTACACAGGTTTCTTGGCCCGCTATCAAGGATGAAATCATTTTGTTGAACTACTTATTCAATCCAAAGCATCATGTGAATGAAAATGAAGCAATTTTGATTATTGTTTTGCTGTTGGACTTGCAACAGGATTTTCGATTGGCCATCAAACGTTCCACCATGCGATTTTTGTTGAGGTAGGCCTTTGACATGGTGTGAAATGATGACCACCATATTTTGCCCATGGTTTTTTTTTCCATGAATTTCGTTAGTTTTTATCATATTTGTGTAATTCAATATACATTTATTATAATTCCATTGCCCAGCGATGCATTACCATATTATACGATGGGGAAAAAAATTTGAATTCCAAAACTTTACAAATATTTCTCATTTATCAATTCATCGCCACAAAACAGGCAATATTTACTGTTCAACAAAAACATAGTACACAATGAAAGCACTTGATTAAGGTAATAATGCGAATGTTTTTGGTTTCAGTTGAATACGTTTTTATGTTCATTTTCCATTTGTTTTGCAAATTTTGCATTACAGTTTTTTTCTGCTCATATTCAGTTATTGAATATTCAATCAAACTGAAAAATGTTTTTGTTGAACAGTGAAAAATCGTGAAATTCCCAGATGAAATTGGAAAAACCAGTCTATCTACCGTTGTTAGTATCATGTAAATACAGTTATGTAGCTCTAATGCATCAATTCAAACAATTCAATAGCTATACGGATCGAAGGAAGCAATTAGCATTGGAAATGGATCCAAATGTGTTGGATTTTCCGATCGTAACCGTACGTGGTCCCGTTTCATGGAAATGTAATTTTCAATTGGCTACCAACCGATTGGATCAGGTATTAATGGTAACGCATCCAGTTTTACAGGCAATGAACTACTTGTGGTATGAGCTGTAAGTCTCTCTTTTGCATATTATCCGGTCGGCGTAAATCCTTGACTCAAGCGACGGCATACATATCTTTCATTACAGATACGATAGTTTCATTGTGTTCGATACGACAAAAAGCTATGGACAGAAAATTCCTTTACATTTTGATGTTTTGACCGAATTGATTCATAATTGCTGCATGATAGCCCGAGACGTAAGTAAAAGAGCTGACCAGCTGTGCTACTTTCCATTCTCGATTTTAAGCCGAAAGTCAGTTCAGGGTGGACAGAATACAATGTTGTGCACAAATCATTTCGAAAAGTTGAAGGCCACAAATTAAATGCATCGACATTTTACGGCCATTTTACTTTTGCTATGTCAATTGAATGCATTGTATCTTACCGAAACTCAAATGAACCCGAAAATGTAATATACACACAAAGCAACTTCGTGTCGAGAATGGAGGTTGTTTGTTCAAATTCTTAGCATAAATTAATATTGTACGCTGATGCTGTTACATTGTCCACCGTCTGATCTCTCTCTCTCTCTCTCTCTCTCTCTCTCTCTCTCTCTCTCTCTCTGTGTGTGTGTGTGTGTGTGTGTGTGTGTGTGTGTGTGTGTGTGTCTTGCAAACTGCAGAAAATTCACCAGGAGCAAAAGTGTCTATTTGTCATATGTTGTGCGTGCAGAGGGAGCACATTGAAAATTCTATGAGATGCTTTATATTCATTTTACGACGATGTGTACATGCATTTATGTCACATACCATGTGTATTCCACATGCACTGCATCTAGTTTGCCTTCGAACGTTCTTCAAAACGGAATTTAATGACTCGAATAATGAACTAGCTCTTTCTCTCTCTCTCTCTCAATGCGTGCATGTGTATGTGTGTGCTAACCAGGTTCTCGTTTATGTTCTCCGGTCATGCTTACGAGAGGTTTTAAATGGAGATTCAAGTTGAAATCAGTGCTCCTTTTGAAAATTCGCAAGTACATAGTTCCCACTCAGTAGACCATTGCATAACTGCAATGTTAGTCGATGGTTCTCTCTTATTTCAACATTTCGGACAGTTCTTGCCACTGGTACTCGGTGTTGCTACAAAAACTTGGCAACGGTTCTTCTGTTGTTGTTATTGTCGTCGTTGTTTTGTTCACTTTATTGGGATGCTGTCAACATCGTTTCATTTACCTCTGCTTCTCACAAGTTTATTTGAAAAGCATCCTTTCATCAAATTTCGTTGCTAGCCAATGAGAAATGCATTCTCATGCCCGTCGGGAACCGCTTTTGTCTACTTTTCAAAGGGTAAAGTTTTATGTTTCCATGTCAGTGTGAAACTTGGAAATTTTTCTTATTATGAATGTTTTTGAGACAAAAAACAACATCAACAACAACGACAACAAACACACACCCTATTTAAATAGTTGACGTTAAGTGGCTAATTTCAGTTATCGATTCCCCAGAGAGGTATTAAATGAGATGTCATTCACAAATAAACTGTTTTCGATCAGTCTGTAGACGAGCGAGAAAAAGAGAGAGAAATGTTTGAAAAACAAACTTATCGCCGATATTTGAACACGAACACGAACACGAATTAAAGTTTCCCATTGAAAATATCAACACGGTAAAAGTCTTTCCGCTCGTTTCGACAAGTGACCGAAGGACCGAAGACGAAGGAAATTTTTTTTCATGTTTAACGAATCGCAATTTGACGACACGAAACATTCTGCAATGAATGAACCACGCTTACTATTACAAGTTACTACTTGGAAAATCGTAGTTGAAATGAGAAGAAAAGCGAAAATTGAATCATCGCACAGCTTTAACATCCATATTTGGTACGTAATAATGATAAGAAGCGATTTACATACTCCCAATTCGTCCCCACGAATAAGGATGTAAAAATGATGTTCGATAGCTAACGACGTCCCATAATAATCATTTCGGTGAATTCAATATCACGGATACCGCATCTCAATCTGTTGACCCGATAAAAATATCCATATCCATTATTACATAAGATTTGCGCAATTGGAATGCAATACGAGAAAAAAAAAGATTCTAAGTGTGGTTCAACGAATTTCAATACTCCATCTCTCTAGATGTATATGAAATTGAATGTTCGGTATAGAAAAAAAATGGATTTTTTTTCTTGTGAACATAGATTCTGACGCCAAAAATTTCAGATAGGGTCAAACCAAAAATTCATGATAGGGCCAAAAAAATCAATTGTATCTAGTGTAAAATTAGTTCCGGAAGAAATCGATTCTATCTAGTGTAAACAACAGTTTCGAAACAAAAGTGAGGAGCAAAAAAAAGGTCCTCACTTTTGAAAACAAAGTCGGAAAATGTCAATGGGTCAAAAAAAATTCGTTGGGGGTCAAATTTCGTCAGCAGGGGTCAGGATCAACGACATCAGACTATGTCAGAATCTATGCTTGTGAACGGTGACGGATAATTTTCTTTTTCAATTATCATGCATGGCAGTATCATCATTATGCCATAAATCGAATGGAGAACCGAATGAATATTTGAGCTTGCTACCCCAAAACCGGCTTCCAGATGGAAAAGGCATAATCATTTTCTTTATTGTCTAGTCGACAATCTGGAGCAAGTATGTTGAGAAGCGAATGAAAAAAAAATGGAGATGGCCACAACAAAAACCAGACATGATAAATCAGAAAAACTTATTGTGGTTGATGCCTTAAGTTCAACAAAACCAACATAAAATTGTGAAAAAGAATAGAGAGAGAGATATAGAAAACGCCAAAGAATTCACTTCGGCCTTGATTCAATCCGAATGAATGCTATCATACTATTCGGCATTCGATTTGTTTTGGGTAAAAGAATCAAGAGCCGAAGAGCAACGCAGTAGTCGTTCTCGTTAGTGGTTATTTTCGGAGTCTTCCGCTTCTTTTCGCTTTTATTGCTTCATATGAATGGAAAATGACGTTATTGAGGAACTAAGTGACTTGTATGTGCCATTGTAAGAAAATATTGGACGAATATTCGTCGAAATATTTTCTCTCTCTCTTCGCTCTAGTCCCATTCATTATTATATTTTGGTTTCGATTCGGTTTATTTTTCTGCTCCACCATTTCAATGAGAGTTATAAATGTGATTATGTGTTCCATGGGCTTCATTGAAACTTAGCCCGTAACCGAGAGCAATTCCATTCGTCTTGAGATTTTTTTATTGTGTGGGCATTTGATTCACTCACATTTTTTATCTCTTTTTGTCGCTCTCTTTCTCCCTTTTATGCTTTAACTCTGCTCGAATTTCCAGATTTTGATGAATGACTGGCTGCCGCGCTGTGCCGATTTGGTCGACGCAATGATTGATTATTGGAAAAATTTGGTGCCAATGAAGTCGAAAGATGGCGGACGTGCTGCCATTCTATTTCGCTGTATTCACGCAATGATGTCAGGGCAGGTGCAACGGCTTATCAAACGCAGCATTGACCATTTTTTTAATGCTCTTACCATTTATAAGGTGTGTGTGTGCGGCGCGCGAGACAATTTTTTTTATTCCATTGCATTTTGGTAGACACACATTTTCATTGGTGAAACGATTTATAGCAACAACAAAAAAACCCGAAGAAATTGGATTGTCGCTAATATATTTTGCTATAGTTGTCGTTGTTGTTGTCGCTTGATATGATTTATTTTGGTTTCTTTTTGGTGAAAAATTGCCTAATGGTAACATATATACGCATCGAACCAGGAAGGAAATCAAGTCGATAAATACGACTTAAATCATCCAAAGTTGATACATCGCCCATTTATGACGCTCTATATAATGGCGGTTGGAAAATTTTATGACAATTTCCATGATTTACCGGCTGCTAAGCCAAACCATTTCAATTTGTATGCGAACAACGATGAAGACGACCCCACTATTTGGACCGATAAATCGATGCCAAAGGTTTGTCACTCTTAAAACATTACCCAACGCTCTGTGTCTTATTCTCTCTCTCTCGATTGGGTGCCACAATTTAATTTTCAAAAATTGATTTAATGTCACTGCAACGTAGATGGAGACAGAGAGAGAGAGAGAATAATGTATATAAACAAACATTTCAAATCCATTTCACAGACAAAACCAACTGTAAATTTAACCAACGAATCAGCGTTTGTGCTGAAGGAAAGCGGAAAACTACTCGTTAAGCCATACATTGAGGAATTACCCGAACTATTTGTTAGCTATTTCAAGGAAATTCTACGCGTCGGTTATAACATACCCCGTCTTGAATATTACATGTCACACGGTAAACAATCTTTACGTTCGTCTGGGAAGTTAAGTAGATTGAGCAGTTCCAAAGGAGAAATATTCGTTTTTTTTTCTCTTCAGCTTTTAAGGGAGCACAACACATAGGGTTCTATTTGAAAAAAAAAAAAAAAACTTTAATGCTCTCCATTCGACAATTTCAAGCTCACTTTCGTTTTATCGATACAATTCCAATTAAAAATAGATTTGCAATTGCAATTTAAACCACGTTCACGTTTTGAGTATCTCAATTGAGTTTGAATTAATTATTGTTCATTTTTTTAATTTTTATTTTTACCTACATTTTTTATATGTTCTCTTCCCATTGGTCGTCTGGACAAAATAACAATCTAATTTGTTCCAGACAATGAACAATTCGGCCAATTACACATTATCGATGAGAATCATGTCGACATGCTGCGTTTGTATGCGGATGTACGCGAAATTGTGGCGGCAAATCAATTGGGACCGAGAATTTATCTCTATCCAATTTATACGTATTATTCTTCATTATTGTCGGATAAAATTAAATTGATGACAGAACGTATTTTTGAACAGGACACCATTCCAAAATTGCCGGTAAAAGCAAAATTCCCATAATTTGCACACGAAACGAAAAACCAAAAAATAAAAATAAAATAGAACAAGAAATAAACTGATTACGATTAAATTAGTGTATTCGATGCGAAAACAAATCAAATTTACAATGACAATTGCCATTTCCAATTATCGCTTCGATGATTTAAAATTCGAATAGCAACATTTATTTCAAGCCATTTGTCTCTCTCCCTCTCTCTCTCACTTTCTATCCCTCATTCCGGGTGTTTTATTTTCGCGCAGAAATTCATTTCGTTCATGGAAAAGGTGGATGCTGTTATTGATGAAAGTTTCTTCCTTGCCGACTATGTAGCATTGAATTTGTTTATGTTGGATTGCCGTTCGTTGAACAAAGTCATCGTTACATTGCTGCATGAAATCAAGAATTTTGTTACGGATTATTTTAAGGCGCTGAACCAAAAAGAGAATCGACGGTACGTGAACATTTTTGCAACATACGATGGGATTTTTCGTCGATACCATATAAATAATGCAGGAGATCTGAAGTTTTCAGACAAAAAAAAAGATGAAATCGAATCGTATTTAATTTGATTCAACGAAGTGCACACGTTTCCAAAAGGGAAAGGTGTTGATATTCGTTGATATCGTTTCGTTTCGTTTCAGTATTTGCGATGAATTCGAAGAGATGTCGATGCATGCCGGTGAACGACCGAAGGAAACGGCTGAAGTGGTTGCACTGCAAAACTACTTAACCGAATGCAAAGAGGAGCGCATCGTTAAACTTAAGGATGAAATTAGAAAAGCTGCCGAACGTGTTATTTTCCTACTGTATCATGCGAATTTCCATGGTATGCAATTTTTGATGGTAAATCACCACTTGAAATACACTCATCGGATCTCGTTGCGAACGTCAACAAGGCCGTGTTTGCAATATAGATTGCACAATTTTTGATCATCGAAAGCGCGCGCATCAGTTCTACTCATTTTCTTCTGCTTTCCACTCCATGCTGGATAGAGAGCTTAATGAATGGATGATGGAAAGTTTCAGTCTCTTAAGAAAACATGCATTGTTTTCGGCAATTAAAGACCATGATAAATATCCAAATTTGAATTCTCAAGAGTGTTTTGTCTGTGTGAAGAGTGGATGCTGAAGCATCAAGAAATCCACTTTAGCATGCAAAATGCCTGAAAACGGGTTCTCAATCGCGACGAGTATATGCTGCATTAATTTTCAATCGGCCCATTAAGTCGCGAGGATGCTATTATAATCGGAGAGAGAGAGAGAGAGAGAGAGAGAGAGAGGGAGACAGCGAATATTACAAACGAAACTTGGAAATGTGATAATGTTCACATGTGAATGCCGTAACATCGATTGTTGCATAGCAACATCGATTGTTGTAATCCCTCTGAATCTTTTACGCGCGCGCTATCATTACACTTGAAACCATTAAAACTTACAAACAAATGCCTCCATTAACAGAAACAGATTACTTCCGAAAACGAAAATAATTTTTCACAAACGTTCGTCGTCGTCGTCGTCGCTTTGTTCAACATTTAGTTTATTGCCTATTGTTTTGCCATGTTTGTGCTCGTGGCCTCCATTTCACCCCATTCAGTCGCGCACAGTGCAACCAAATGTATGTACATGATCTGACAAATAACAAAACACTCTCTTTTTTTCTTACTCATCTTGTCTCACATCGCATTTGCCGTAATTATTTCACACGAATAATAATTTCCAAGGGATTTATGCTTGTCTGTTTCTTCACACATTTTGTTCGCTGCTTCGATAGGCATCACCATAGCATCATTGTGGTTTTACTCTTTCTTCTCGTACACTTTGAAAGCTAGTGCTGTTGCAAAGTGAAATAAGATGTTGATGCCCGAGAGTCGTTTTCCTGAGACTCTTTGCCAAGATGTTTGTGTGCGCTCGTTCTCATGTTGTACCAATTCATTCGTTCTTCTCTCTATCTCTTTACGCAAACAAAAATTAATTGCACTTGAACTTTGTGAGCACACGTTTAAAGTTGAAGAAAATGTAAACAAGATTTATGCCAATTGTTGTTGCCTGCCATTGTTAAGACTGATGACGTTGGCTGTTGCTATTATTGCATCTTGTATTCCTCCTTTTTGCAACGTTCTGCTTCCTTTTTTTGCGTTTGCCATCTTCCTACCTTCTATCTATTCCTTCGTTCGTTCGTTTGTCGGTGAAAATGTAACGCGGTCGTCTTCGTCGTTGGTCTTCGTCGTTTACACAGGATTCAAATGCATAATTTGCACTGCATTACGATTGAATGGATTCTCGCTTTGCATACGTGCTGCAAATATGCTGGCTTCCATTAGCGCCAACCGAATGGTGGAACGATTCTCCGCAAAGAAGCAACAGAGCAACAGCGGCCACAGAACCGTAAGGAAACGTGAACAGAACACACACACACACACACACAGAGAGAGAGAGAGAGAGAGAGAGAGAGAGAGAGGGAGAGAGAGAGAGAGAGGGAGAGAGAGAAAGAGAGAGAGAGCAATATTTGAGGCGAAAAAAATATTACGAAACCGATGCACTTACTCATTGTGTCTGTGTGTGCATAAATTTCAAAAACTCTGGTTGATGTGAAAAATGCTTTAGGAATGCGCCAAATGTATTCAAATGAACGTTGCATATATTTCTTTCTTCAGTACGGTTTGTTTGTATGTTTTCGGCATTTCGTTTTGGTATTGGTTGCGGTGCATCAAGAGCAGAAATATTTACACGTCGCCATTATAAGTCGAAATAGTGTTGATGATGAAATCATCAACGTAGAAAGAGTGCGAGAACGAACAAGCAGGCAGGCAGGCAGGCAAGAAAAAAACGAGAGACAGGAGCGAAGAAATCTATGCCCTCGCGCCAGAGCTATTTGTTGCGAAATATTCCATGCTTATTTAAAATTTAAATTCACTTTCGATGCTATTCGCATTCACAGGCGCCATTCTTGGGTTTTCTCTCCCCCTCTCTTTCGCTCTCTCTCTCTCTCTCTCTCTCTCTCTCTCTCTCTCTCTCTCTCTCTCACTCTCTTCTTCAGTTTCCGCAGAAAACGTGTGCATAACTTTTGACGTGTGAACGTAACATCGCTTAAATGAGAATTCACCCAAAACTGAACAAAGAAAAAAGAGAGGAAAAAAACAACAACAAGAAACGAGATGTAAATTTACTCAAAATATGCATTTTACAATGGAAACGAAAGAACAGCTCACGTGCAAGCGCACGGGTGCGCGCGAAAAGTTTACCATATTCAACTTCATTTCGGCGAAGCATTTTTGTCACTGAGATTTATAAGCTTTCAGCAATTTTCCATACACATTGTGCAAGTGCACGGCGATCACAGAACAATGCGAAAAATGAGTACAAATGCCTTTATATTTTCATTAGCTCACACCGAGACCGTGTGTCCAAATCGGAGCGACTTTGTGCCACATTTGTTTGTTGTTTGAGAACAAATTCGAATTTGGCTGGGCTATTTCAAGTGGCTTATGAAACGCACTGTATTTTGTAGGACTTTGTAAATATTTGTATTGTGATTCCAATCCCGGGGTCAACTCATACACAACCAACTTCTATTCCATTCCATTCTACAGCCGACGAAATTTATTTGAACTCTCGCACCTTTCAAGTAAGTAAAAATCGACTACATTTTGCGCACCGACTAAATTCATTGCCGTTTCCAGTGATTTGAATCGTAATAACGAGCATGCATCCAAAATTGAATTAACATTAAATATTTTCCAACATAAAAATTCCCACAGTGGCCACACGAACTCGAACAAGTGCTTGAGTTGAGCGGTTCTCGGTTGAATGTTGTTCGTGAAAATTTGGAAGTTGCTCTTAAGTAAGTAAAAATCAACTACATTTTGCGCACCGACTAATTAATCATATGCATCAGAGAACTTGGTCGTTTCATTTGGTGAACTTTTTGCACAGCAACACATACAAACACACAGAGGCTTTTAATTATTCTCCATTTAATTTACTTCCATTTAATTGTTGAAGTTTTTTATTTAATGAAATCGGTTAATTATCTACACCGAAAAAACCATCCTTTTACATTTAATACAGGGAGAGGCGCACGAAATTTGAAAACTTTTTGGTCAACGAACGACGCAAAATGGAAACTTTTCGACTACGCGAAACAAAAGAATTTCTTTCATTGGACGAGCTAAAGGAAAAATGCGATATTAGTGACAATTTCATGGAAATATTGAAGGTAAAGCGTTTATGCATGAAATAATTTTTAATGAATGTTGATCATTTTCACCTGACCACATCAAACATTTCACTTATTTTTTCCCTTAAAATAGAAATGTGCAACTGAGGCAGAAGCCATAAATGTTGATGAAAATTTACTGCAATTAGAAATCACTGCATTTCCAACGCTGCAGGAAATGGTTGAGAAAATGGGACCAATTGAACAGCTCTGGAAGACGGCTTATAAATTTGATAAATGCCATGAAATCTGGTATGTGTGTCCTTGCTTTTTGGTTCACTAGACCGTGAAGCCACTTAGCTATTTTCATCAGCATTCATTTCATGATGTTTTATCAAGTCTACGAAGATAGTTTATCAATTTTTTATGAACACAAGCATCATGGTTACACCACATGTCATGAAATATATATCAACTACAATTCTATGACGAGGCCTGATGAAAATTTTGTGCGATATTCTTCAATATGGCTTAAAAGCACTATTAAATATGTTGTTAATGCCATACCATCGATTCAATCGGTTAGAATAATTGAGTAGAAAGTTGCGGTCATATCGTCAAGTTTTACGTAGATTTTATAGAAATAATAACGAAAAATCAAATACGATTTTCAAACTGTCGAATGACCGAGAGAGAGAAACGACTCTTTCAGATACACTATCATCTATCACGAACGATAGAGTGATTGAGTTGATGTTTTAACAATTTAATCAGTGTCGTTGTATCATTAAATTAGTCTCATAATATACTCATTCATTTTCTCCGTGTTTATTGTCAATGTTCAATGGTAATTGTATCGCTACGGTTGCGGTAATCTAGGTATTATGGTCCTTTTGAGAAGCTGAACAGCGACGAGATTCATCGTGATGTTGAATCAATGTCAGAAACAATACTCAAATTAATTAAGCAATTGGCAAACAACCCGCAGGCAAAGCGGATAGCCGATCAAGTGCGCATGAAAATCGATAAATTCAAAGTTTACATGCCGGTATTGGATGCGATATGTCAGGAAGGTTTGAGCGAACGGCATTGGGCCCAAATATCGGAAGAAATTGGCCAAACAGTAAATCCAGAACTGTTTCCAACGCTAAGCGCCATGATTGACATTGATATATTGAGTATTGTTGATCGGCTGAAAGAAATTGCCAATGCAGCGGCCAAAGAGTATGAATTAAATGTGCAATTGACAAATATGCAAACCGAATGGACTAATGTACAATTTGAACTCATTCAATATAGGTAAATATTGAAACAAACTGAAGTTTCTCTTAAAAGCTTTTATTTACATATATAAGTGATGTGTATTTACCACCGCCCGCAATTTGACTTTTGAATTGAATGTGGGTTAATTGAATATTTGATTGAATTTAATGGAAATTATTTGAACATTTCAGAGATTCAGATGCATTCATATTGGCTGGACTGGACGATGTGCAATCACTGTTGGACGACCATATATTAAAATCCCAATCGATGCGTGGTTCACCGTTCATTGCTGCTCTGGGCAAACGAGCCACTGATTGGGAAGAGAAGCTAATCAATATGCAAGATATCATGGATATATGGTTAAAAGTTCAATCAACTTGGATGTATTTGGAGCCAATTTTCAATTCGGAAGATATCATGCGGCAGATGCCGGTCGAAGGACGTAATTTCAAAGCGGTACGCAACATATATACGTATAAGCAATGGGAAAAAACTAAAAATCAACTCAATTCATTATGTATTATTTTATATCGGCGTTTAGATCGATCACATTTGGAGGCAAATCATGCAAAATACAAACAGCGATCGTCGCGTTCTACACGCGACCGACTATCCCAATTTGTTGGAGCTGCTGCGCAATGCGTTCGCTGACTTGGAAAAGGTTCAAAAAGGTTTAAACACTTATTTAGAAAAGAAGCGAGTGTTCTTTGCGAGATTTTTCTTTTTATCAAATGATGAAATCCTGGAAATTCTCTCGGAAACAAAAGACCCAAAACGTGTTCAACCGCACTTACGCAAATGTTTCGAGGGCGTAAGTTGACAAAGAAAAAAACTTTATTTGGCTTTTGGATGCTGTTACTTTTCCTCCTGTCCTGGAATTTAATGGCTTATTGTTTTCTTTTATATCTAGATACATTCGCTTGAGTTCGACCCAAACAACGAAATCACCGCACTTGTATCAGCCGAAAAAGAAATCATGACACTAAACAAGAAAATAAATCCGAATGCAGCAAATGTAAGCTACTATAACTCCTGAATCACAAGCTCAATCCATATTTCATTTCGATATGGCGTGGCACATTAACTTTTGTCCCATAGATTGTTCGAGACAAGAAATGGATTTTCCATTCGTATAAATTTACTGCAAATATGCAGCAAATCATTCAATTCAAATATAATGTCGACATAAACGAAAAATGTTGTACATGTACTGTGTACTCTCTCTGTGTCTCAACAGGGTTTGGTTGAAAAGTGGTTGAAGGAAGTGCAGACGATAATGTTGGAGAGTGTTTTAACGCAAATGAAAGCGGCCTATGACAGTTATTGGACAAGCAAACGAAACGAATGGACTATGAAATGGTGCGGTCAATTTGTTCAGACCGTATCACGCACAACATGGACCAAAGAGGTAAGTTCATACCGTGTAACATGTTTCGGTCCTCAAACAATGCTCATAAATTTTTGAACATTCCATTCACATTTTATACGGTAGAGTGTGTTTCTTTGCACTGGATTAGCCGGATTTATATATACACATAGACATACACACATGAAATAGTAGCTAATATTCTCGATTTAATATTTACTATAGACGGAGGATGCCATTAGTAGTAATGCCCTAATTAAATATGCGACAAAATATAATGAGTGTATTGACGATAATATCGCATTGATAAGTGAAACTGTATCGCCTGGAGCTCTGATAAATCTCGAGTCGTTGCTAATTTTAGATTTACAAGGTGAGTATCTCCACCATTGTAGATATGAAAAGCAGAATTTTACCATAAAAAAAACCCAATGACTAATTTATAGTTTTGAACGTTGATCTTTGTGCACACTATGAATGTAATGTGGTTAACATTAGACTACTGAATTCAGATTTTAACGACATTCGAAATGTATACGTACCTCTCCGTATAACAAAAACCAAACAAGATGTTATGTATTTTAATATTGCTTTACAATTTCCTTCCCTCCGTGTTGCGAAGGAGAATCCAATTCGCAAAATGATAAACATGATTTATTAGCTTTTAATGGAAGTAGTTGGGTTTTGGCTCTTTGCACAATTTGGTCATGAATATTTAACGCAATGTGATTTTCGATTTATGTAAAACTCCTGGAAATAACTCTTGCTGCTTCTCGGTGTCGGCTGTTGTCGTCCCGTGTATTGTACCATTTTCAATGTGAACATTAAAGCTCGTGATATACTCAACCGTTTGATTGATGCTGCTGTCGTAGATGTCGATAATTTTAATTGGATTTCACAGCTGCGATACTATTGGAAATATGATGATATTGGTACGTGTTCGCATAATGTGCCTAACACCATTAGCAAATAAATGAAATTCAATCTCAACTTCTTCTCTTTCTCTCTCGACCTCATTCCCCGTCCCTTTTTCACCGTTACCTTTCAGATAAGACTGACATCATTTCAGTGTGCATGCTCTGGTCGGATATTCGATATGGCATGGAATATTTGGGTAATATTTCGCGCCTAATTGTAACACCACAAACTGATCGATGCTTCAGGTAATTCGATTTCAATTCAATCCACAAATATGACAACTTTTCTAATCAAATTTGCAAACTTTTTTAATTCAAAACATCAATTTTGTCTTCGATTGATGTTGAAAATTGGTAGAAGTGTGATGGAAGCGGTGCGAATGGGCTTGAGTTCGATGGCATTGGGTGCAACTGGTACCGGTAAAACGGAAACATTGAAAGACTTAACAAAAGCGCTTGGTAAAAAGTCAGTTGTATTTAATTGCATTCCCACATTGGACTACATCGTGGTGGGAAAATTTTTCAAAGTATGAAATTCACCGCCGTCAAATTGGCCACTCTTTTGTTCTCAATAGACTTGTTTGTTCAATTTCAACACATTTGCGATGAAAGGCGAAGAAGAAAAAATAAATCTCACGTTTGAATTGCAAATGGCTTTATTTTTAGTTTACCATAATCGTACCAATTTACCGCTTCCTGCAGCATAAAGTGCTATGGTTAAAGCGAACGAAAAAAATTAAAATCCTTTACCAATTCACATGATTCCATTTTGTTGTTGTTGTTGTTTTTTTTTGTTAATATTTCAAAAGGGATTGATTCAAACGGGAGCATGGGTCATTTTTTACGATTTTAATTGCATCGAACCGAACGTTCTGTCCGTCGTTGCCCAGCAAATGCTAACGATTCAAAGTGCCAAAGCACAGAGTGCCATTAAAATGGTATTCCAAGAGACGACACTGAAGTTGGATGCATCATGCGCCATTTTTGTTACAATAAATCCCGATTATCCAGGTAATATTGACGCTGGCAAACGTACTACTGCTACAACTTGAAATGCAACACAAAAAGATAGTAGAAGAAAAAAAATAAATAAGGCAACATTCTCTTTATAAATTAACTCTTGCAAAAGTGTCACAGAGAAGCGGGAGAAACAGAAAGAGAGTGTTATAGTATTATATGGGAAGGAAAAAAGTAGTAGTGCCGTTCGTTTGACATAGTTTTATCTATCTTGTATTTTCTCTCTCTCTCTCCCCCTCTTTCTCTCTTTGTTTGGTTCTGTTAGTTCGGCACAAACTTCCGGACAATTTGAAATTGCAATTTCGATCGTTTGCTATGCTGCCACTGGATTTAGTTTACATCTTTCAAGTGATATTGTTTGCGAATGCTTTCAAAGAATCGAAACTAATGGCCCGGAAACTGGTGCAGCTACACAAACTCAGTGCGGAGCAACTTTCGCATGCAGAGCATTATGATTTCGGTGTTCGCACAACAAAATCCATTGTTAGTTTAGCAAAAAGTTTGAAGCGGCAAGGAGACACCTTGTCAGAAACTCAAGTGATTTTGAAAGCCATTCTGGAAGTTAATTTGCCGAAATTGATACCAGACGATACGATACTGTTCAAAGAGATTTGTGCGCAGATATTTCCGTCAGATGCAAATGCTTTGGCAAATATGGATGTACCATCCATACCCATTGTTAGTTACATCAAAGCATGCCTGCGCAAACATGGTCTTGAGCCCAGTGCATATTTCGTGGAGAAAATTCAACAAATTTATCGAATGCTTGCGATTAAAGATGGCATAATCATAGTTGGCGATTCGATGAGTGGCAAAACGACGGCGTGGCAAATGTTAGGTATTGATTATACTATTTTTTTTAGTGACACACATGCTTAAATGAGCAACAGAATGGGTATTGAGCTACTGATTTTAAATTAAATTTTAGCTAACACTTTGCGTGACATCAAATCGAATGCGGATGCATTGATGAGTGAACATGATGTCATTTATCGAATTATCAATCCGAAATCAATATCTATGAATCAACTTTACGGTCACATTGATCCGGTGACCGGTGAATGGTGCGGAGGTGTGATTGAAAAAGTCTTTCGTGAAATGGCCACAGCAACGCTGGCTCAGTGCCGAGGTTGGCTAGTTTTTGACGGTATCATCGACCCAATGTGGACGGAATGCCTGCACACCGCATTGGACAACAATCGTAAGCTATGTTTGGCTTCGGGCGAAATGATTGAGAAGACATCGCTAATGGCAATTTTATTCGAAACGGATGATTTACAATATGCATCGCCTGCCACTGTGGCACGTTGTGCCGTTGTATATGTCGATCAATCAAAAGAACAATGGAGGTGCTTACATTCGTCTTTTGTGCATGTGCTTCACCGTATCGGTTTGATTGATATTTACATGACGCTATTCGAAACACTTGTTGATTGGCTCATTCCAGCCACTTTGCACATTCTCAACGATTGCAAACCCGTACTGAAAGTATCATCGACTCAACAATATAAAGTATGATTCAATCATTTCATTTCATTTAGTCGATGGATTCAATTTTCAATGCAGTCTTTTTTTCGCCCTTTTTTTCGCCATAGATTTTCAGCCAATTTTTCCAATACTTTGTGGAAAATCAACAGCAACTCAATCAAGTTTGGTTTCAACAAACATTTTTGTACTGTTTAGCATGGTCTTATGGATCGACGCTTCAGAGTAAACTAGTTTTTTTCTTTCACAACATTCTTTTATGGAAAATTTTACTGTGATTTTTTTCTCTCACTCTCTTGTGTTGTTCAAGATGAAGAGCGAAAGAAATTGGATCATCGTTTGCGTAAAGTGCTTCATGGGTCGGTGGATGAATATCCAAAACCGAAACTTTTTACATTGAATCGCGGTCAAATGTTTCCGGAAAAAATGCTCATAACAGACTATCGCTTTGACGGCGTTGAAACATGGTGGCCATGGCTTAAGTCGGATGACGTCACATTTAACGAGAGCACACACATTTCCAAAGCATTGGTACCGACAAAGGAATCCAATACAATGCTATATTGGCTGAACTTAGCCGTGAAAATTGAACTTCCCATCGTTCTGATCGGCGACGCAGCGACCGGGAAAAGTGTCACACTTCGCCATTTCCTTAATGAAATACCAAAAGAGAAATTTATAAACAGTGTTTTGAACTTGGCGGCTAATACAAAACCACAGAATGTGCAAGATATTATCATGGGAAAGCTCGATCGACGGCGTAAGGTTGGTCAATTTTTGTTGTAGAGGAAAATACAACTCTAAGCATGTTTTTCTTTATTAATCTCAAATTTAGGGAGTGTTTGGTCCACCAGTGGGAAAAAGGGCAAGTTGCAATTTTTTTTATTTCGGTAATTTCAATTGAATTCCGATATTTGAATCGATGTGCGTTTGTTATTATTTGTTATAGGGCATTGTTTGTACTGATAATTTAGCGATTCCCATTCGCGATGAATATGGATCGCAGCCTTCGATTGAATTGCTTCGCCAATGGATTGACCATAAATACTGGGCCGATTTGAATGATTCATCGAAACTTGAACTTGTTGACTTGGTAACAACACATTTGCATACAAACATTTGTTTCAACTCGTTCTTTTTTTTATTCTATTCAATTCATTCCTTCATTCTTTTCTTCCTTCCTTTTTCGAATCCGCCTTCAAAAACTTATTAATTCGGCCCAAAATTGCACTCAAATATATTTTCTCTAGTTCCTCATTGGTGCCATGAATCCAGTCGGTGGCAGAAATCACACATTTTCCCGATTCTATCGGCATGCATTTTTGCTAGCATTTGACTCGTACGAAATGACAACGGTGAATCGAATATTCACAGCTATATCTGAATGGCATTTTTCACAAGGTTTTTCGGATAAGGTGACATTGTTAGCAAAGGTGAATTTCGGGTGTCATCACATGAACAATTTTTTTTGATTGTCATTTTAACAATGGAAATCATTTAAATTTTTCATAGACTGTTGCATCGGCGATATGTGGTTTTTACGAACAAATAAAAAAGGTTCTGTTGCCAACACCTCAAAAGTTCTATTATTTATTTTCATTGCGAGACATTTCACGAATATTCGAGAATATCGCTTTGGTGCCAGCAAAAAAACTAGTAGCACCAGAAAAACTGATGAGACTATGGGCCCATGAAACCTATCGCGTTTATTTTGACAGGTAAATTACGTTTGTATTTTTTGGTACCGACTTCTTGGAAAAGATGCGATAAAGATATATCTCACGTATTCATAGGGTATCTGATGCGGATGATCAAAAATTCTTGCTTGACACGTTGACAAGTTGTTGTAGGACACATTTTAAACTTGACTTGAGCCGAGCTTTTGGCAAACGAATACCGATGGGAGCATATGTAACCAATGACATTATGCGAAATTTGATGTTTGGCAATTTCATGGAGCCGGATGCAGAGCATAAAACATACGACGAAATTGAAGATTGGATTAAATTGGAGAAAATCATAAATTATTACATCAATGAGTACAACAGTTCGGCGGAGATTCCATTGAATTTGACGCTATTTAAGTATTCAATTGAACATATCGCAAGAATGTCACGCGCACTTCAAATCGCACATGTAATTGCCATTGGGAACGGTGGTTCCGGCAGGAAAACATCAATTAAATTGGCTGCATGCATGGCTGGTGCCGAATTGTTTCATTTTAACTTCAGAGAGAATTACACGATGAAGGAGTGGCGAGATGACATGAAAAATGTTTTGATGGCAGCCGGTTTGAGTGCACGCAGCACCATTCTATTGTATCCCGATCCAAATATCAAACATTCAGTCGAATTTATGGGCGACATTGTGACGGTCATGGATAATTCGGAATTGCCAAATCTCTTTCAATCAGACGATAAAATCAAGATAATGGACGCCATGCAATTGGTTGCTAAGAAATTGGTTCGTATTTTTGCAATTATAAATCGAAATAATAATGATTTCAATTATTACATTTATTACATGAAAATTTAATTTTCCCATAATCAAAAAACACTTGTTAGGATCAAGCCATTGACACAACTCCAGCGGCTCTATATAAATTATTTGTCGAACGAATTCGACAAAGTTTGCATATAGCCTTGGTAATCCCTTCAATTGGTGATCGATTCCGTGATTACCTGCACTGTTACCCATCGCTCTTGAACTACTGTACAATTGACCGTTTCCTACCTTGGCCTGCAGACGCTCTGCAGCACATTGCAGAGAAATTCGTAAGCATTATGGACTTATCGCATCCAAAATTGAGCAAAAAACCATCTACCGACAGTGATTCAGGTGATAAACTTCAATCGGTTGACCCGAGTACAAAAGCAGTTCAACTGTCCACATTCGAAATGAATTTGGTGAATGCAATGGTTTATTTCAATTCGACCATCACGGAGGCAAGCGAACGACTGTTCAAAGAATTTGCACGTCGAACGTATGTTACACCTTCTTCGTTTTTGGAAATGCTTCACCTGTTCAGGGAGTTGTACAAACGAAAGCATTTGGAAATCACTTTGAAACGCGAACGATATACGATTGGTTTGGAGAAGCTCGATAGTGCTGCTGATCAAGTCACCAATATGCAGCAGAAATTGTTCGACCTACAACCGAAACTAAAGCAATTGTCAGATGAAACGGAACAAATAATGGTGACCATTGAACGGGATACCGCACAAGCCGAGAAGAAAAAAGAAGTTGTAGGTGCTGATGAAGCAGCGGCGAATGAGGCAGCCGCCGCTGCTCAAGCCATCAAAGATGACTGCGATAGTGATTTGCAGGAAGCGATTCCAGCATTTAATGCCGCACTCGCTGCTCTGAACACTCTCAAACCGCCCGATATAACCATTGTAAAGTCTATGAAAAACCCGCCGTCAGCTGTTAAATTGGTACTTGAAGCCGTTTGTGTGATTCGAGGCATAAAACCAGATCGAAAATCCGAACCAAGTAATATTTTTTTCATCAATAACAGAATAATTCTCATTTTAAATTAAATAAAATTGAAAATTTAGAATATATCTGGTTTGATTGTTAAATTTGTGGTAAAAATATGATGAAAACCCATTCTTTCAGGCGGTAAAATTATCGAAGACTATTGGAGTGCTTCACTGAAAATGTTGAGCGATTTAAAATTTTTGGAAAATCTAAAAACCTTCGACAAAGACAATATTCCAGTGGGAACGATGAAACGTATTCGAGAAAAGTATGTGTTGTTCTATAGATTATTTTATTGTAGCTAATATTTTGCCCGTCAAATTAAATTTTTGCTTAAATATTTCATCACAACGGCATTAGTTAGGTTTTCAATTAACAATTTCACTCCGATTGAAAATTTTCACTCTCATTTCATTTTGCAGATACATATCCGACCGTGACTTCAATCCGGACAAAGTGAAAAATGTTTCGACGGCTTGTGAGGGACTTTGCAAGTGGATTCGTGCAATGGACATTTATGACAGAGTTGCACGTATAGTGGCACCAAAGCAACAGGCACTGACCGTGGCCGAATTGGAATTGGCTGATCAAATGGAGAAATTGAATTCGAAACGAACGGAGCTACAAGTGATTCTTGACAAATTGCGTGGATTAAATGATTTCTTTGCGGAAAAATCGAGACAGAAAAAGAATTTAGAAGATGAAATTGATAATTGTGAAAAGAAATTGGATCGGTGAGGATGTTGATATTGAGAGCATGTTGAAAATAAATTTTGCCATGGCTTGTATAAACTTTTGTTGATTTTTCTTCACAGGGCGGAAACGTTGCTTAGTGGTTTGAGTGTGGAAAAAGTTCGATGGTCGGAGATTGCAAGCACGTTACGTATTGCATTGGATAATGTAATTGGTGATATTCTCTTGTCGAGCGCTTTCATCGCATACTTGGGATGTTTCCCAAAACCGTACCGTGATAACTTGCTGAGCAGCTGGATTGGTAAATGTGTGGAATATGATATTCCATGTACGGGCGATTTTAGGTTGCGTTCAACATTGAGTGAGCCGTCCGAGATACGATGTTGGACTACATCGGAATTATCGGTCGATGATTATGCCATTGAAAGTGCAATCATTGTTAAGAATTCACATCGTTATCCACTGATAATCGATCCACAAGGTACGCAAACTTTTCGTTTAATTATGAAAAACTTATAAACTAAATCCCAAGAGCGTATCTTCCTATCGATAGATCAAGCAAACAGATGGCTGCAGAATGTTGAGAAAGCAAATGGTTTACGTGTGGTTCAATACACCGATGAAAATATGGATATTTTAATCGATGCAATCTCCAACGGGTGTTCAGTTCTCATAGAAAATATCCGTAAGTTCTTTGTCTATTTACTGTTCCGAACTTCCAATTTCCACAAAATTGAAACGTTATTCGTTCGTTCGGCCAAATAGATGAATCGATCGATACACCGTTGCTGCAAATTTTCGAGCGCAACATTGTGACGCAAAAATCAGGCAAATGCGCCATGTTATGTTCGAATCAGTTGATTGAATACAATGACAATTTTCGCTTGTATGTAACAACATGTTTACCAAATCCGCATTATTTGCCCGGAATCGCATCGAAAATTGTTTTGATTGATTTTACGTTAACTGAAGCGGGACTAGAGCAAAAAATTCTCACAACAATTATCGGCGAAGAGCGAATGGATTTACAGGAGCGCAAAGGGAACCATATTGTTGAGATGGAAAAAAATAGCGATTTATTGTATAAACTTGAATCGAATATACTTGAAGTGCTTTCATCGTCCGATGGGAATATTTTAGAAGATGAAAATGCCATTAATATCCTGTCGACGAGCAAAACTATGTCAGAGGAAATTCAAGTGAAACAAATAACTGCCGTTACGGTGGGAAAACAAATCGATTTGGAGCGTGCTGAATATTTGGTGGCTGCATGTCATGCTTCCATCTTATACCGTTGCATCGTACGCTTGACGTCGATCAATTACATGTATCAATATTCGTTAAATTGGTTTGTCCGTATGTTTGTGGAGAATGTACGCGCGACGCCGAAGCGACATCAAACGCTGTCACAACGTCTCAAAGAAATCAACAGCAATTTAACGAAACGAGTCTATCGAAAAACTGCTGACACATTGTACAAACAGGATCGACTGCCTTTTGCATTGTTGATATGTATTGAAATGATGCGAATGCAGGGCTTAATCCATGACAACAACGAATTGCAATTTCTACTAACAAACGAATATGAAAGCAAGCTATATCGTCAACAAGATGCCGTGCTATCATTTGATTGGATGAGTATTGAATCAAAACATCTTCTGCAGCAAGTCATCAAGTTGGCAAGGTATGTATCGAGGGAAATACTTTTTGCTGTTATTTTGTACATTTCCATCGCTAAAGAAATATTTCTGTTATCAGTTTGTCGCATCTCTGCGATGATATTACAAATGACGAGGAAAACTGGAAAGCTTTTTATGCATCATCGAATGCAATCGAAGCAACGATACCAAAGCCGTATGGGAACAGTACAAATCAGCTTATAAAGCTCATTATTTTCAAATGCCTTCGACCCGATGCACTCCATTCGGCTGTTGAACGATTTGTTGGGACCTTTGATGAAACATTCATCGACAGCATAAACATCGATCTCAAATCAGCCTTTGGCAGCAGTACGTCAAAAACACCTCTCATTTATTTTGCATCCACTGGCATCGATGCAACGGCTGACATTCTGAATTTGGCATATGAAATCAGTTCGGGCGAAAAGTGAGTTTGTTCAAGCAAAGTTTTCTGAAAGAGAATGATGCTCCCATTTTTTTTTTATCAAATTGATTTTTTTTTTGTTCATTCCGCAGATGTAAAACAATTTCGTTGGGTCAAAGCCAAGGTGCGATTGCAGAGAGGATGCTAATGGAAGCGATGACAAACGGGAGTTGGATTATATTCGAAAACTGTCATCTGGCAAGCGATTGGATGATAAAATTGGAATGTCTGTACACCAAATTGTTGAAATGGAATGAAATTAGTGATGATTTCAGAGTTTGGTTTGTCCTAAGCCCCACTGACACATTCCCATTGATAATTCTGCGGGATGCCATCAAAATTGTCATCGAACGACCTGCGAAACTGCGTGAAACAATGATTGAACAGTATTCCATCGAACCGCTGAGCACAGACAAATTCTTTAACAATGCATTCACAGCACCATTGGCATCCGCTTGGTATCGATACGTTTTCGCTTTTAACGCTTTCCATGCCGTTTCGATGGAGCGAACTTCATTCGGATCGATTGGATGGTCTCAACCATATGATTTCTCTGACAGCATTCGAAAACATTCACTATTCCAGCTGCGAAATTTTGTAAAACAATGCGGATCGATTCCATATGAGAACTTTTTCTACTTGGTAGACGACTGTAACTACGGCAATGAAATCATCGACTTTTGCGATCGTCGACTACTACACAACTTACTCAAGCAATTTTGTAATGAAAATGCGGCCACACAAGATCACTATACATTTTTCGATTCAGCAACTTTGCGCATTCCGTCCGATGCAAATCGAGAAAATAGCATTGAATATTTAAAAAGTCTGCCATTGAACATTGCACCATGCGAACTGGGACTGCACAATAATGTCGAGTATTTGCGAAATGCAGATGAAGGCAAAAATGTAAGTACGGGAGTAATATACAATATATAGTAGTACATACTTTGTATTTCAATTCCCAACCATTTTTCATCATTCATTTGCGTTTCATTCACTTAGCTGTTGCAAACTGTTTACACGACACAAATCGACCATTTTTCACTAATGACCCATTCAATGAATACCGATCAAACTATCAACGAAACGGTTAAATACATTTGCGATGACATTTTGAAGCGTTTGCATTTGGCGGGAGAGTTAAAAGCACCACCGACCAATAAAAATCCATTTGGCGTTATGTTGAAGCGTGAAGTCAAGAGATTTAATGGATTGCTCGAATTAATTAGGCGCTCATTGAATGATTTGAAGAGGAGCATCAATGGGTTGGCGATTGCTGACAAACACTTCAGCCAAACATTGATGGAAATTGCGCATAATAAGGTTCCTGCAATTTGGCACAAGCAAAGCTACTTGACAATGAAACCACTATCCAGCTATGTGGACGACCTTTTCAAACGAATGGAATTTTTTCAAGGATGGTCTCGCCTCGGAGCACCGAATGCATTTTGGTTTTCAGCCTTTTATTTTCCACAAGCTCTCATTACCACGATTAAACTGTCCTTTGCCAAACACTCTGGCATCGATTTCGATGATGTGGATGTGACACTCGAAGTGATTCCATTCGAATCGAGTCAAAACGATGAATTTGATACGTTCATGAAGGTTTGATTTGCACACATTTATCACAAAAATAACGCAACGATTATATGATTATTCTTCTCTGTTTCAGGATATTAAAGGCAAAAACAAGAATTCCATCGCAATTTATGTACGAGATTTGGTTTCATGATGATATTGATTTCCTTTTAAAATTACTTCATTATATTGACGATCCACAGTGGGATTTCCACTTTTTGTTAAATTTTAACAGTTCAAATGTTTTTATGTTGAAAATTACAATTTCGATTCGATATTAATTGTGTGTTTTTTTTCGTCGTGCAGGGTGTTCATATGGAAGGTGCGCGATGGGACCGAGATGCAAAGTGCATTAATGAAGCGTTGAATGGACAATTGTACGATTGCATGCCACTCATACTGCTCCAACCGAACAAACGGAGCGAAATGCAAGAGAGGTGTCTGTACGAAGCACCGGTGTACAGAACGTCGAGTCGACAGAATGCCACGACGAAGTCGGGGCATTCAAACAATTTCGTGACGTTTTTCCCACTCCAGAGCCAAAAACCAGCAAGACATTGGCTATTTCGTGGTGTTGCATTACTTTGTCAACTCGACGATTAAATGAATCACATTTCAAAGGAAAAACACATTTCATTATGAATAAGAAGTTTGAGTTGTTTTTAACAGTGTTTAATTAACACGAAGGTGTTCTATAGCCACGCCTGTAAACCAGCATGATTCACACCAAATACAGAACATTAACACACAAAACCGTAAAATGTTGTTTTATCTTTCAGATATGGATAAGTATGAATTTTGTACATGTGAGTGCAGGTGAACTAGAAAAAAAATAACAGAATTATCTTATCATAGAATGGTTGGTCAACAGCATAGCCAGCGAAACATTACAAACAAAAAACGTTCAACGTTAATCTATGGAGTGCGTTATCTCTGCTTCAAATGTAAAGATAGCAATTTCATTCGATTCGACTCATTCCATTCGGTTTGTCGCAGTATTCAAAGCTTGTTTCACGGTGACAAAAATACATATTTTCTCTCTGGGTATTTTGGTGACAGTTCAGGGATTAAAATAAAATATTTTTGCATAAATTATTCGGTGTTGTAAAAACCAAATAAATCACATCTGCATTTACGGGCATTTTTTTATGGTAACAGACGAACGAAACGATAAAAAAAAGCAACTCGGAAAGGAATTGAATAAAAATCAGGTCAATCAAAACTGAATCAAAAATGTATTCGATTAAACGTGGATTTATTTATTTGACGGTGCTCATTGGTACGTAAAAAACACACGCTGCAATTGATAAGTTATTTCTGTGTGACATTTATCGAAATTATTCACCCCGAATCGGATTCGAATTCATGGTGCCGCTGCTGGGTATATGCATCAAATATATTCAATTTGTTTTTCTACGCCTAGCGCATTGGATTTGTGCTCAACAATGTTTATTGGGATGGTACACATTTCGATAACGAGTCATTAAAAATTTAATTGACACATTCGAGGTGGTGAAATTGATTTGTTTTGTAATATGTAATTCATTTTGGCTTGCCCGCAAAAACCACTTGTCACCAGTAACCAGCGAAAAACAGAGTAAATAATTATGTATTTTAATGAACAGATTTTCGAATATTTGTGCAATAATAATCTTTCGAATCAAAACTAATTATAAATAATGAGACAAAATTTTGAGGAATTTTTGTTTTGTTCTGAAATTAACTCTCACTGGATATGATTAATGAATTTCGGAAGGGTAAAATGACATGACACGCAAATGGATACGCTTCCGAACACATTGAATTATTTCACACAAAAATTTCTCTACGTTTTTTCTTCTGTTGGGAGGTGAAAAAATACGTAGCACAACAGCAGTAGCATGCTGGTTGACAGAAATGCTCACAGAACTATCAACGAGATGCAGCGCACAAGCAAAAAAACACCAATAAATTCCACTTAAAAAATTGCAACGAGACGCGATGACTACGAATTCCATTTGTTATATATGCTTGTGCAATCGCACTTACTCGAATGAGTCACACACACACACACAAACACACGAGATAAAAAAAAAATGCATGAATCAACGAGATGGAAAGAGAAAAAACAACAAATGTTTGCCAGCTTTCCGTATTATTTGTACAAAATGAAGAATCCAAACAGTGACGAAATAATCACATTCCATTAAAACTTTTCGCTTGTCATCTAATTTGATGCTTGAGCACTATTTCCAGAAGCGTATGAAATGCGGATGGAAAAACGATAATGAAAAATATGCGCACACGATTAAAGTTTTTTTTTTGGCAACGGCATTATTCTCTGGCTGTTGTTTGCTATTCGTATTCGATCGACTGTTTCTCTACCGGCGATATCATAAGTGCTCAGTCAGTGTTTCTCTGTTTCTCAGATGCTTTTTTGAATCACACCAAACCCACCAATCGATTCACACAGAATAAGCGACAGCGACGATGACGACGACGACGACGACGAAGGCAACGATAAAGCAGTGAGCATGACGAAGAAATGCCAACGGAAACCCGGAAATAGTGTACAAATGTTTTATTTGTTGATTAGTTTGTCGCTTTGCAATGCTTGAAAAATCGTCGTCGACGTCGTTCTGACTAAATAACTGTCGTCGTGTCAAACATTGTTCCACTTTGTTCAAAAACTCTCTCTCTCTCTCACATACACAAACACTGACTGACATAACAATCATTTAAGCGATGATTCGACGTTTGGTGTGCCGAAATTTCGAGGGAATACTGAAAAAACCAACTATCGTTGTGCCACTTGTCACCACGCTTGGAAATTACAACGAAAACACCACTTCAAAATATCGAATCAACGCAAAAAGTTGAAATCAAAACTTTTTAATGCAATTTTTTGTATGTCGTCGCCGAAAACATTCATAGATGCGTTCTTCCCATGCTAGATTGAATCCCAGTGGAATTGAAATATGGCTTCAGCAATTCACTGAATTCATCATTTTTTAGTCATTTGAATACGAGGCAATCGGCTGAAGTTAATTAGCGGCTGGAATTTTGCAACAAATCCGGATTAGGATGATCAAACCATCAACGTTTTTGTTAATTTTCAAATCGATATAATCATAAATTGTATTCCAATCAAAAACATGCAAAAATTAACCAGCAGTATAATAATAATCAATACAGCAATAAATCGCATTTAACCAATCCATAAATTCGGTAACAAACCAATGCAATAAATGCACATTCCCTTCGATTCGATTTGAAAACCAATTTCTTGCGTCATTGATGAAATGCATGCATTTTCTCTCTCTCTCTCTCTATATATATATATATATATATCTCCATCGTTTTCACATTCAAAAATTACAAAGTTTGCAATGGGTTGTTCCTTCTTTGTCGTGATTTTTTTTTCTTGCAGTTGCCATTTCTCTGTTTGTAGAAATAGAGAGAACGTAGAAAAATAGGAGGCAAAACAGAAATATGCTTGAAAAGTTCTTTTCTGCAGCAAAAAAAAACAGTCATAAAGCATTTGCCGATCTTTTTAGCATTTCCCTCAGTTTTTTTTTTTGCTTTTATTTGTCTATCAATTTTTATTATTTACATTTTTTACGCTGTGTGTATGTTTTTTGTTCTCCATCGTTTCGTTTTCGATTTGTCGACTTCTAAATGTGTATGCAAAGGGACAGAGTACGCCGTGTGCCAGTTGCGCTGGTGCATTTTTCATGTGACAGAAGCACGATACACGAATTAAATACTTGAGAGCATTGGGAATAAATGAATGAAACGAAAATAAAAAAAATGGAAACATAGAAAAGAAAGATGAAATGTGCATTTTTATCATGAGCATAAAATAAGCAGGTTTATAATATACAAAGCAAAGCACATTAAATTCTCCATTCTTAGCTCATTTCTGCTTCGACGAACCGAGCACTGCCTTGGCTATATCGCATGAAAATCATACTCAACTTGCTTTCTTTTACGTACTTTGGCTTCGTTCCCATGAAAAATATTGCTCGCAAAAGCAGCAAGACGAAGAGCAAACGTAGAAGAAAAAAGAAACATACACACAAACACATACATATACCGATCTAAGTCAAAGGAAAATTGCTTGAAAAATAAATAATTAACATGATTTGGGAAAATCATAGAAAAAGAAAAACAAACGGTGCTGTTCAACTGGGATTGTATGCGAATCGATTGCAATGAATTCATAATTATAATTGACTAAGCTAAACGGCTTCGTTTGGGGAAATAAGCAAAACCGTACCAAGTTTCTCCATATTAATAAAGATAAATAATGATGGATTCGCGTGCACTCACTACGTACAAACGTACGACGCTAATCCCATCGAAGGATTTGGGAGAAAATAAACTGGGGAATTTGGTTCGATGAAAAATTATAGTTCTGACTATTTCAAATAGACTCGACTTCGAATTACGTAGCAATTTTCCCATCTTTGAAATAAAAAAAGCCGCACAAGAAAAGAATAGCAAATAGTTCATGGAAAAGTAAATGGCTGTTGTTTTATATCCGAAGTGAAAAGCTAAAACTTCTCAGACGAATGAACTTAAATAAACTTTTAATTTTCATAGACACAGCTGAATCGTAATCGTTTCCAATGCAATGACAATTTATCTCAGAAAATGAGGCAGAACGGTAAAGAAAAAGCGAGAGCGAGAAAAAAATTTAACCATCTAAGTCTGCTGCAAATGGATTATTTTTCGTTGTTTATCGTTGGAAAAATTAAAATTTATAAAAGAAATTGCGAGCGAAACACACACACACAACGATCGAGTTTCGCTGCAGCGCAGAAAAAACGAGCGAAGTCTGTAAAATGCAATTTTGCTAAGTGCTCACTGATGATAACAACAGCATGGCATAAACAATGTCTTTGTTCTCCAAACCTTGTACGGTGCAGTATTGGATTTAATTCCCTTTTTTTCCAAGAAAATATTGCAAGAAGTCTATCCGACATTGCATAAGTATAAATGATTAAAACGGAACCTTAAGGCAGAAAAAGACCCTTTGAAGTGCACAATAAGCAATTGCTTAGCATCTGTAGAAAAAGTGATGCTGAACGATTCTTTGAATTTAAATTTTCCATTTAACATATTTCAGTAATTCTGAGCATCACCGTGCCTGAGGTGGAAGGCAGACGTTTGGTATTGCGTGGTCGACGAACAATCACTCGACACTACTACAGTAAGTTAAATTCTTTAGTTTTTTTTGTTATTATATAAACAATTCGGAAAATTAAAAAAATTAATTAATTTGCTAATGTGCAGGTGGATCGACTCTTCCATGGTGGTTAAACATTGTTCTCATCGCTCTTGCACAGATTCTTGTGGGTGTTGTTCTCTTCTTTGTGCTGCGTAGATTAGTTTTGACCAAATCCGAGGAAACAATGAACACTTATCAACCAGCTCCCCTCGAGGACATCTCCAACAATTAGTTCTTAATTCTATTCTTTTGCCATCATTCTTTTCTTTAAATTCTAAGAGAATTATTTTTTTTTTTGGTTTTTATTGGTTTGCAAAAATAATTATTCTTAAATGTATTTCTTCAAAACAAAGCATCATGTAGGAGTAGGAACTTTTTTTAATAATTTTTTTCATCATTGTTTCTTAAATGTGCTTAAAATCTTCGGGAACATTATAATAAATGTCATCATCGTGGTGTTCTTCCTTCTTTAAGTTGCGCATCATCGGTAAATTCAATATCATTCCGGTGATGAGTCCACCAATCACAGCAACTATGATAGTTGATACAATGCCCAGTGCCTGATAGCCAGCCTGTTCGGCCACAGTGCGTCCAAAACCCTGCAAGGAGAATTATAAACATAATGATTTTTTTGCTACTAAATTCAAATGTGAAATTCCATTCGGATTAAATAATAAATAAATGGATTTACCCCAACAATTCTTGTTGTGTTGTGTTCAAGGGCATATGTTGAATTTTTATGGTTCAATGCTGGGAAAATATCCATGAGTGAATCTTTGTAGTTGTCAATTGAAGCGATCCAGGCATAAAAAATGGAAAATGCTGCTGATAAAACTGCGGGTAGTCCATGCAGGTTGTGTACACCGCACGTATCATGAATCCGGAGCTTCGACATCAACAACGGCTGCAAACGACCATGACGATAGAAGCCAAAGGGAAAAAAGGAGAAACCGCAAAAATTAGAAAATGAAATAAACCAATGTGGTTTTGTACACAAGTTCCAACGAAAGCCTCTCCAGATACAAAACAATTTTATGCCAAATATTTCAACAAACGTAGCTAAAAAAAAGGAGACGTAACAAAAATCGTTCGTGTTTTCGGTTGATTGATTTTTTGTACGTCAATGTCGATGTGAATTGTTAATTTGGAATGCGAAGTGATTTAGAAGTCGCGCTGAAAGCATGAGAACCGATTTGAGGCAAGTGGCAGCCGAAAGAATAAAGTTGAAGCGAAAGAAAAACATATTTATTATGGTGGGAAACGAGCAGTGCCTAAATAAATAATCATAATAAAATGTTGGAAAATTGGTTTTTGATCTCATTTTGCCACTGAACTTGTTATCATTCCGCCCTATTTTCGGTGTAAAGCTCAACATTTTTTTTGTTCCTTTCTCTCTCTCACTTCCAAGGGGCAAATCACTACTGAAAAGACTGAAAGCACTGAAAACAACTGAAAAATACTGAAAAATATTTTCAGTACTTTTCAGTGTTTTTCAGTATCAAAATAGATCGGGATTTTTGACAGTTGAAATTTGTTTTGACAGAGCTGCCACATTTTTCTCCTAGAAAATTAATGCCATTTTCAGTACTTCCATATACTAATACATTGGGCACTGAAAGTACTGAAAACCACCGAAAATTACTGAATTCAATTTTTCAGTAGTAATTATCCCCTCTCTTTCTCTTTCAGATGCTCACAACTGATGTGTTATATGAATGCGTTACGCTCCATAAAACAAATTAAATTTCGATTTTTCCCATCGCGACACATCTATTTTTACTGCAGCTGCCAACGAACAAACGCAAAGTTTTTCACGAAAAAAAAAGAAAGAGAGAAAAAGAAAATACACCGAAAAAAAAGAAGGTTTACATCGAACCGATCAATAATAATTGTATTTTATGCTTTGGAATTGTGTGTCCTTCAGGGTCGTGCTTTATTTAGATTTTCCAAAATTGCTTTCATATTGGAAAAGTGCTGATGCTCAAAATGTGTTCGAATTCAAATGCCCCCAGAGCACGAAAAACAGATATTAAATGCGATGGAAGTAAAATTAAATTGTTTTCGAAATGAGAAAGAAAAAGAGGGGGAAAAGAAAAACAGCCGAAGCAGTAGCAACAGCAGCATACACAACGAAATAGATAAAGCAAAACTATCTTTGAAACGGAATGTCGATTGTTGTGTGCACAGAGCACAAGCACACACACACACACACATACCCGTACAGCGAGAGTGGTTCTCAATAAATACGTGTATTGAAATTGTATTGTAACCTACCGTTAGATACCGATAGCCGAACACTGAAATAATGGCTGAAATGGTGCCAATTAGTAAGGCACCATGAGGTGAAATAAGCAAGTTGCAAACTGATCCAATGGCTACACCTCCGGCTAATGTTGAATTCTGTATATGAACCATATCCAATTTGTGCTGATGACTAACAATAGCAGACACAACAAATGTCGTTACTGGAATAAAATTGGATGGAAATGGTTAGAGTGAGTGGAATAGAAGCCAATTCGTATGAGAGTAAAAGGAAAAGGGGGACACAGAAAAAAAGTCATGTGCAAAATAGTGAATTCAAAATCAAGCTGATATTCATGTGAAATGCCTATGCATTCAGAAGCTGAATAGTTTAAGTGACCAAAGTATGATGTAGGCAATTGTGAGTGTATTGAAAATACCGAACGCTTTTGGCAAATGGATTTCTATTGAAAATAAATTCGTTTCATCCGTGTTTTCTCCATCAGTTATCCGAGCTCAAAGCAACTAAGCTCAAAGTGGATATTAATGCCAGATATGCGAATTTTTTTTCTCATTCGGTTGTCACCAGATTTGCACATGATTTTTTTTTTCGTCCTTTGTTTTCGACTGGGTGAATAGCAGTATTGGAATTATGTTACCCGTGGCGGCAGCTAAGGATAAATATGTATTGCAAATGGCCCGATGCTGTTGCGTGATATCGTCCAACAATGCTGAATTGAAGCTCGGCCAGAATATCCATAAAAATATTGTGCCGACCATTGCAAATACGTCGGATATGTAGGATGATCCCTCGTTTGTGCCGACCGTGTTTTCCTGGCGTGTCGGTCGCATTACCAAACTCACAGCCAAACCGAAATATGCACCAAAGGCATGCACTATTATCGAACCGCCAGCATCTGTAATCTATGTAATGGCAAAAATTATTTTTTGATGAACGAAACACAAAAAACAGGCAATATTCAAATGGGCTCTAATTGAATATGTCAACAAGCGACGGGGAACCGGCGCTCAGTGGAAATTTTCAGTGATATGCACTTTTCATATTATTCTGCTAAATTAAAGCCGATTTTCGTTGAACTTCATTGTGCTTATCGATTGTGATCCGCCTGTATGTTCCCGTGGCGAATTTCAATTGCATTCATTTGTCGCTATTCAATATCTGAAATTCACGATTGACCGGAACATCAGCACAGAACGAAGCGGTAAATCAAAACAAGTCGATTCGCATCAAATTCATGCGGAAACGCAGCACGTCACCATACATTCAATTTTAAACAAACATTTTGAATTGAAGTCTTTTTCGACATGAATTGACCAGATCGCTCCAGACTCCGAATTGAGTTCATAGAATTTTGTCGATAATAATCGCATTCATTACCTTTAGCAACTCCAGCTGAAAGTATTCGTTCGATGCATAAACAACAATTTCAATCAGAGCCATGAACAGCAACTGGATGGGCGTTGTGCGACCCAGCATTGCGCCCATACTGATTAAAACAACAGCCGCTGCGATATCTGCTTCAATCACACGAGTCAGGGAAATGCTAAACGTTGTGCCACAAGTAAAACAAATACATACCATGGGTGATGAATGAAGAAATTTATGATAACAATCTGGGTAATCTTACCGAATTAGGCCATTGTCGAGCTGAAATATACCTCTGGCCAAAAAAGCCCATTGAATAGTGAGTGCGGCAACCAGCAAATTGAAACTCGATGCACTGAATCCATACTTTTTGAGGAATGTCATTAGGTACGCAAAACCAATGAAAATCATCACGTGAATATCCTGAAAGTCTGTGCACAAATCAAATAACAAACATATCTTAGACGCACAGTTTTGATTAACGCAATCTCTTTGATGATGTGACACGTGGAATGACAGAGACATTCCCATGTTTTACTACGCTTACTTTGACTACAAATCATAATCGTTCGAAGTATTTGCTCGCTGAATTGTTCGATGGGAAACTGAAGGAGAGACAAAGGAGGAGAGAGAGAGAGACAAAAGAAGAGAGAGATAGAGTGACAGAGTGACAGAGGAACATAGTGAAAGTTTCTTAAGTTAAAGTCTTATTTTATGATAGAAATGCTTTTATGAACAATCGCAAATCCGTATCCACATCCATGGGTTCTATTGAGTATCTATGTACATATCCAGATCCAGAAAACATTGTAAGCGAACATAAAGAATGTTTAAATGGGATATAAAAAGTTCGTCAAAAGAACGAACGAACGAATGAATGCTCACTTTCAAACTTGATTTATGAACATCAGCATCATAACAAACAGATAAATATTTTTTGTTATTGCTGTTTTCGTTGTTATTGTTGACTTATCATCAACCAATTCAAAGTCGTAGAGATGAGAAATTGTTGTCTCTAGCAAAGCTCATAACAAATAGAATGTCGATTGTCAACTATCAATCGATGTGATCGGGTATTTTATTCCTTTTAGATACAGAAAACGTGAAAATATTGTTGTTATGAAAGTGCTAAAAGAAGAAACGTAGCATCGTAACGTGACAAAATTTCAGTGAATGATTTGAGAGAAGAACATTTTTGACGGAAACTAATGTGTCATAATTTTTATAGAATATTTCCTCTGCAACACAGAGCATTGCATTTCTTGATGCTCGTGCCACGCATATTTATCGTCCCGTTTAAATGTTACTTTTTGATGTTGGCCTCTTCAAACTGAAAAGTTTCACTCGCATTGATACTTGGTGCAGGTAATTCAATGTAGCACAAAGCGTCATCATCACTGCACTACTTTTTTCCACAACGCTGCATGCTGAACCATACGGATGCCGAAATACTGTACGAACAGTAACAACATAGAATTATTAAAAATGGGATCATGTGAGACATTTCACACATTTCTTCTAATTTAAACCGAGGGTGGTGGAAGTTTCTCGTATTTTGTTTGAAATGCATCTTATGCAAGATACATGAGTGAGAAGGAAGAAAAAAACTATGCCTATTGTTCGTTGTGTCAAGTTGTTGTTGTGTGTGTACGGGAAGTAAGCCATTCAGGTGGATGTGTGCATGGCACACGTTTAAATTTCATGAGCTCATAATGATGGAACTCACACTAATACACACACACACAGTTCGTTGTAACATCGGTTATGAACAAGAACATGCGAAACGACATTGAGTTCTCATATGCCAACTATATATACCACACCGCGCACCACCACCACCACCAACAACAACAACATGGTGCACGTTTTGCGCTTTGCGAAAATAACATTTATTATAAACACTTTGGATTTTATGATCGTGCTTGTTATTTTTGAGCGTTTTATTGAAAATGGGTTTTTTACGATGCGCAAATATGCTAACGCTCCTTTGCCCCGCTTCTTTTGCACCTTTTTCTTCCAGGTTTGCTGTTTTTTGTGTGTAAAAATCTTAATATTCGCTAATTTTATTGCATATTAAGTAGTGGATTACGAATTTGTACGAGAGAGAGGAAAAAACATGAATATTCGTGCCATAAATACCGACTTGCCTTTTATTTATTTAATACAATTAGGAAGTATATTAATGTTTGCATGAAGCGTGTGAATTATCGATGTTGACTACGAAAACCGAGTTTCGGTGCTCATATTAATAATTACTAAAAATAGCACATATCATATCAATTTTTTTTCTTCAATGTTGAAATTTATTTAATTAAGTAGTTTTTGAACGAAATTTTTGAGTGAATTTCTTTGGAAGTTCAAGAGATTTGCTAGCCAAAGTTATTTCGTCGAGAAAAAAAAACGAGTTGTTGAAAAGTCGCATAACCTTTTTGTCGAGCAAACATGCGAATTATTTGTGTTGATGGATAGGAAAAGCGAAATTCGCTGTTTACATGGTTTTTCAGTGATTACACTCTCTTTCTCTCCCTCATGTGCAGACGACACGTAGCAAATGCGGAGCATTGAACGATAGAATGAACGCGTGGATTTGAACGTCTCGTGGTTCGAGAGTGAGAACATATCAAGCCACTTTTTATATGAAGATGATGATGATAAAAACGCAGTGGCTGGAACATGAGCAAAATGCGCGTCACAAATAACATGGGAACGTGTGCAAAACCTGGTTTTTACCGTACAGGAAACGTATAACATTACAAACGAGCTACTACAAATAAACATAATAATAAATGTTAATGTTAAATTTATGAAACTTGTGCTTGTTTTACAATTCATGCGTGTGCATGTGTATGTGTGTGTGTGTGTGTGTGTCGATGACGGCATTCGTTGCTGCCAATCCAACGTCTCTGAAGTGGATGCAGAACATTCGGGAACTTCGGAATCAAGCATATTTATATCCATTCGTTTCACATTCACTTTTGTCATATTAGTTGTGAACGTGTGTGTTGTTCTCTCTGCCTGTAGCACGCGCTTTTCTTTCCCAAATATGCTTCGCATCCATTCATTCATTCATTCATTCATTCATTCAATAAACTAACAAATAAGCTTACAATGATAGAGCACAAGTTTTGCTAGGCATTCTCAGTTGTATTTCTCGTTTGCATTTTCTCTTCATCTAACGCTTTCTCTTTCTCTCTCTCTCTCTCTCTCTATCTCTCTCTTTCCCTCTATCTCTCTGTTCATCTCTTACATTATGCAGATTTTTATGCAGGATAATTAAATGACGATGTTATACACCAACGACATGTGCTTCAACTACTTTTAAATCGACAAACATACACGAAAGATAGCTGCACAAGACAGGATAATGTTTTAACGGTTCAACTCGTCTACTAGAATATTCCAATGCTTATTTATTAAAATGAGTATATTGCGCGCACTCTCTTTTCGCTAGTGTGGTATACACTCTCTTCCGTGTCGTTTGCAATCTCAGAATTGACGTTATTAACCTAACGATAATGGTTTTCTTTTTTAAAAGCATATATGATGATGGTTGATGGCATTGTTTATACACGTTTAACATCCTTAACGGGCTCACTTATCCTCTTCAGTTCGTCAGTTTAACATCAATCGAATGAAATGATACGATTCTTTTGTTTCAGCCAACATTCACTTGCAAGTCTCGCATCGAAAGATGATATTACGAAGAATCATCATGTAAGCATTATTGTTTCCGTGTATTTACTTTCAATATTATTATTGAATGAATTCATTTCATTTTTTTTGCGATAGCTTATGTTTGTTCGGAATTGAATGTGCATTAATAGAATCGGCACGTGGGCTACGGTACATTATGCTCTTCAATTGGTGAAATTAAACAATGGTAAAATGTCTGTAGACAAAGACTTACGTGGGTAGCTGACACGATGCTCCTTTTCAATGCTGGCCAACATTTCTTCGGATGTGGCAGTATCATTTTTCCCGCCACTTGGTAGCATTTCATAGTCATACCGGACGAAAATGCCATATAGAATCAGGATGGTTACTTGAACGATAAGAATTCCAATGAACCCACTTACTTCGGATCCAACTGTATTCATCTTCTTACGTTAAACACACAATATGCGATGAAAACAAATCAGCTTTTCGACAGAAAAGAACTTGTTTACACACAACCAATTATTTAAGATCACACTCTTTGTAAGAAACTTTGTAAGGCAAACCAATTGCTTTTGCAATACGTCAAAAATGTGACCTTATCTGTGCGGTGCTCTAGTTACAACTGAATCGTTTTTCAGATAACCTTTTTCATTGAAATGAGCTGGATCGTCTAATCGGACGAACCAAATGACGTAATTGGTATTATTTGACATTTTCTTATTTAAATTATACATTATTGACTTCTGCCCAAATGAACCATTTGCGGATATATCCAGTGCACAGCGGAGCTGTGCGGAGTTCGGCGGAGATACTGTGCATACGCTATAAGTGTGAGCGAAACAGCATTTTTTGCTGTGTTTACATTTCTATTGCTGTTCAATACACATCTAAGTAGCCATAAACGCACTGCTTCATACATACGTATGTATGGCATATCCCCCGAACTCCGTACAGCTCCACTGTATACTGAACTTCTCCGCAAATGATTCACATGTGTATCGATTGCACACGATCGAACGAATGACAGAAATAACGAGCGAAACGTATTAAGTGAAACGATAATGAATTATGCACACAAACGAGAAGACAAATTCAATATAATTCGAAGTTGAATTACAGACACTGCACGGCGATGAAACTACAATACGTATTTCCAATGTAAACATAAGACGATCTCTACTGACACGACGCTTGTGGTGATAGTTGAAGATTTCAATCACATAAGCGTATGCATGGCCGAAAATCAAGTAGCCTTTCGCGCAAACCGTATAAATCCAATGCTAGCGTGTCTGTGGTGTGTGTATATATTGACCGCTCAACGTGTGTTGTGTGCATGACCACTAGAGGCAGGTCGAAAAATATCGTCAGTATGGATTTCATAGCCGCGAGACACTTGAATGCAGGATAATGTAGCATGATACACATTGGTTGTGTATTGGTTGCGTGTTGCTACCATTTATGATTGTTCTGGTTGTGAATATTTTATCGCCTAATTTGATGAGTGTTGATTCTGGCCGAATGTGTATGTGTGTGTGTGTTTGCGTGCGTGCTTGTACATTGATTATTAGTAACATTGTAACATTAGTATCAAGAAGTAATGATTTAAGGGGCTATTCCATTTAACTGAATAAATTGCTGGCTCAAGATCTCAATTTTCTCAACGCTTTTTCAAATGCATTCAATGAAAAATGTCAAAAAAATCTTAATTACTTTGAAGACTTGTTGAGAAATGCCAAGTTTCAATTCAGTGAAACTATTCATGTGTATTTGACATGCGATACGAAAAATAAACTCCCGAATCATCATCACCACGAATTGCAGCACGAATCAACAATTTAAAAATGCATGCTAATTTCAAAGGTGCTAATTCGCATGACTGAATAACATCTGCTAAACTTAGTAGAAAATCAAATATCTGGGCGTTTAAATGCTATAAATATGCCATGCATGATCGTTATTATTTTTGTATCGAGACAGCTAATGGAATTGGTAAACATTGTAATTTTTATAGATACTATATATGGGTTTGCTATGCTTAAAAACTTTTACACGATGATGATAATCATCGAGTCTTGAGACGTATCAAAATTAGATCAGAAAACTTGTTGTTGAAGACGTATCGTTGACGTATACTTTATCCGTTTAATCTGGTGAATTTCGAACATCAGCTGATAGTTCATGAAAGCGCATACACACCATGAGCATAGCAAAAGTTTTTGGCAAACGAAAAGTATAATGAATTATGACAGAGCTAATCCAGATTCGAGTAACTTAGTACAGGAAAGGTCGATGGTGTGTAGTGTTTTTGCTGTTTACTTCGTTTTGCACAAAATATGTTCGAACTAATCAAACTTGTACTCGACATTGGGCGTGTGTGTGTGTGTGTGGATGTGTTTGTTGGCCAAACAAATCATCAAGTATTGCGCTTCGTTAAGGAGTGTAATGGCTCTGTTTATATCATTTCGGTAAATCGCTTTTTGTTGTCTCCCTTTGAGACACAGCCCCGTTGCATGATGTCGATGGCATACAATTTGTGGAAAACCTCAAATAATCGTTGACCCGATTTTCATGCTCAAAATCAATACGATACAATTTCAGTTGCAAACTGAAACAGCAACAACAACAACAAGGAGCGAATTAGTCATCAAAACATACTGATTACTATCAAAGACTAACGGAAGTTTTTTTTCTTTTGGTTCTATTTGCCTTCAAAATTCGCTTTGGCTTTTCGCATAATCCAACTAAGCATATCGAGGCAAACAGCAGTTTCGAAAGTCAATAAAAATGAAAACTACGACAAATTGGTATTTATTACACAAAAGGAATAGTATGGAATAACCGTTTTTTTCCATTTGCTATGGGAATGACAACGACAGATAAAGTTCAACGATAAAGCTTACCACGGGCAAAATACTCCAAACATCGAGAAAAAAATGAGACCCCTTTGTGTTGTTTTGTGTATGTGAATATGTTTTTCGCTCTGTTTTTTTTTGTTTAAAAAGGCAAACAAATGGAGGGAAAGAGAGAGGTAGAACGAAAGAGAAGAAAAAACTAACGAAAATATAACAAAAATAACACTCGCGATAACTATGAGTAATTTGCTATAGCAATACACCCTAACCTCAATAAACAAGCTCAATTGATAACAACGAGAGCAACAAACAATTGGAGTACACACAAGCGCAGACACATCCAAATATTTATGCAAAATAGTTGAAGTCACTGGTGTGCACTGAGAGCAAGTGAGTGAGTGAGTTTGAGCCGCAATAAAGCGGGAAAAGAATAGAGTAACATTGGATACCATCGACATTTTGATTTACCACCGAAACCAAATCCAAAATTCTCACACAACACACATACACACACACACACACACACACAGAGAGAGAGAGAGAGAGAGAGAGAGAGAGAGAGAAACTCGCACCCGAATTTAAGTTCGTCTAATGTTTCGTGTTTGCGTTTGAGAATGTGTGTGTATGTTTATTTGATGGTGTGCGTTTTGCAGCCACACATTTTGGTTTCAAGTTTTCCGACGAGTAAATATTTGCATTATAAATAACTACTTCAGGAAAATTAGTTTAGAAAATTTCATAATAAATGTGGCAATGCATTCGTGTTTGTACCGTTGCTCGTCGCTTGAATGAACCAACGGAACGAATGAAAATTTTTGCTTTGCCAACAGCAACGACACCATTTTCGTTAAGTTCGTTTATTTATTGTGCTTAGTTTCGAACCGATGACGACGACGGCGACTTGTTCCTACCTATGCTTTTGCCAGTTTCGTCCATATACACGGAGAAGAAAAAGAAGCATAGAGACAAGAAATACACTAGTCGACTCTCGGTGTTTTCCACGAGTAAATTTATTGCTTGCCTGCTCGTTCACATACGAGCGTCAGTTGTACATAAATTTTTTCACTGGCAAAAGCGGACACGGACAAAACATTGAATTACGAAACGAGGAAATCATTGTCAAATTTCCAGTGCATCGCACAACTTGCACACAGCGATTTGCATAAATGAGTAATCCGACAGCAAGAGCAGCACTAGCAACAACAACAAAAAACCCAGCAGAAAAAAGCGAAAGGAATTTCACGAACATTATTTTCGTTATTTCACCCGTTTTCACACACACATAAAAACACAAAGTGTACGAGGAGCCAGCATACATCGATAACATTGTCTTCAACATCACGTTTTCTTTTCGAAATCATCGTTGATAGTAATACGAAATTAAGTGGAAATAATCGCAAACGGTGCAAGAAGAAAAGAACTAGCTTTACATCATATTTGCCATCGCAGCCCACCTCCTCCTCTATCGGTGTATGATGATGAGATTCATCCTAGTGGAAAGTGCAACAAGTTTTCGATGAAAATATTTGAAAAAAGACGAAAAGAACAGGGAGAAAGAGAGAGAGAGAGAGTGAGAGAGAAAGAAGAAAGCGGCAACGTCTTTAAAACTGTTTTAAAAGTCGATTCAGGAGGAGGTGAAGAGAAGTGAGACTGAAAGTGAGCTGTAAAATCCGAATGAAACAAAAAGTGGCGTTTGGTATGCAGTTTCAAAAGAAAGAAGCACATTTGCTTTCTTTTGCCATGTTAAAAATCTGAATCAAATTGCACACAATCAAAATAGAAGAAAATTTTCTACGAATCAAAAAAGTGTTTGGTACATTTCTTTGGCGTCGTGGTATCAAAACGGTTGTCAGAAAAAAGGAGAAGAAATAACGAAGCGCAAAAATGTGAAAAAAGAAGACGAAGAAGTAAAAAACGAGAACATACAAAACCTTTGAAGTTGTAAAACGTGAACAAAAGCGAAAAGCGGCTAAAGAATTGACTGCTATTTGCATTGGGAATTTGTTTGTTCGAGTAAACGCTGCGATTGTTCCTTTTCGACGTTCGGTCTATGTGTAGCATTACTGCAGCAAGAAAGAAAAAACCATAATCGGTAAGAGAGCATTCCTTGTTGCATATGCACACAGAGCAAAAGAAAGCCATTTTTTATGTGATTTCATTTCCGAAAGGCTGTATGTGTACTGAAAAAAATCATTCCGAATATTTGCTCAAATGTTTGATGGCATGTATTTTTTTCCGTTGTCCTCACACATTTTTTTCTCTCTTTCTTCACTTTTGTGCAGCAGCAGCAGCAGCAGCAGTGCGCATTCCGTTTCTTATGCAAATGCCAGCGAAAAGTCGTGGAAAATCAGCAGCAGTCAGTGATATAAATTTGTTCAATGTAAATGCCGATGTTGTGCTACCATCAGCTTCACCATTGAAAATCGAGTCAGTTGTTCCGCGACGCAGTAAAACTCCCACAAGTCGATTTCTGCAACGTTCATACAGCACATTAAATCTAAGATATTTGAATACATTGATAAGTGAGAATCATCAGCGTAAAAGTGGTGTAGTTGATCCAAAGTCAAGACAATCGATAAAAAATGGCAGCCGAGCTGTTGCGACAGATGGTGGCGGTGGCATCGGAGGAGGCAAACATTTGGAGGCTAGTGAAAATGGTGTGGCACTCAAAACGATATCGCCTTCGTCGAATGCCACGAATCCGGGCAACGCAACGAGTGTTCAGCACGGTTTCTGGCGCATACAAAGAACAGCAAAAGAGAAGGAAAAATGTCCCGATCGCATAAATTTGGATAGAAGAGGTCTGGCCACATTGCCGCTAATTGTTGATGAGCCAAATTTGCGTTTGTTATCGCTTCAGCACAACCTAATCAATAGTATCTGTGTACCTGCTTTGAATCTGAACAACAACAACCAGCATGCGAACGGCGACAATTCGTCACTTATCACAGCCGTTGAATTTACGAAAAAGACCAACACAAATGCAGACCAAAATCAATCGAATAAGTTGACGAAGGCGATGGTTGTGAACGGTGGCAATGGCAATGTCAGTAGCAACGCTGGTCCTGGTCAACGTTTATTGCGTACACAATCAATACAAAAACCGTCATCATCATCATCCCGTACGTTGTCACGTAATTTTTCCATAAATTCAAACGCAATCGGTCGAAATCGGCTAACGACCAAAACTATTGACCCAAATCACCAAAATGCCGCTACGAAAAATACGCTCGTACCAACAAAATCGGCGCTTTTGCATTCCAAAGAAAAGTACGTGCTCAAAAAGGCAAATAGTGTTGTCAACAGTTATTCGAAGCACCTCGGTCGATTGATTCAAAACCGCTACAATGGCACGACAGCAGCCAGCCGACTAGCATTAGGCTCAAGTATTAGCAGCGATTCAACGCCGGATATTGAACTGCAGCCCTCGACCGACATGCTAATGATAAAAAATGACCCGTTCAGTGGTTTTGCGCAGTGTTTACAGCATTTAGTGTTTTTAGATCTGACGGACAATCAAATTGAACGCATCTCATGTTTGGATGGTTTAACGAGTTTAACGGTACTTTTGTTGGGTAAAAATCGAATTAGTGACATATCGGGAGTGGTTTCGGTGAAAACAACGTTGCGTGTACTCGATTTGCATGGCAACAAAATCACATCGATCGCACAAAAAATATGCCAACTACATGAGCTAAAATCACTTAATTTGGCTGCAAATAGTCTACGCCACATACAAGAGGACGATTTTAAAGGTCTGATCCAATTGAAGGAATTAAATATTAAACGAAATCGAATCAAGAAAATCAATGGATTCGATGATTTGCATGCGCTCGAACGATTGTGGATGTGTCACAATGATATTGAAAAAGTGAACCATTTGTCGTGTTTGAAAAAAGTGCAGAATTTAAGGGAAATTACCATTGAAAACAATCCCGTGTCATTGGCCGGCGATTGCATATCATTTTTGGTGTCGCATTTGAAACGGTTAACATCGTTTAATCAAATGCAAGTGACGGACCAAGTACGACGGGCGGCAATGGAATGGCGCAAAAATAGAGAACTCTATGATTCCAATCATTCTGAATTGAGCAGTGATATTCGCCGTGAAGAGATTATATCAAATGCACGCACAAACTGGGAATTGCTTCGATCACAGCAACCGCAAAGAATTTCCAGCCATACTCAAAAGCCGATTAACGGCACTGCAATGCTACGAACCGCAAACGATGCCGTTGACGTAGAGAGCAACTTATCGGAAAACGTTATTATTGATCGGAAGGTGATTCGGCAGAAAACGCAAACGATACGAAAAAATCTACGGAAATCGGTGAAAATGCGACGGTCTTTATCACAGGATAATAATAATATTAATTCAAGTGCAACAAACGAATTCCATTTGCCGCCCATTACACCGAACGTTTCCGAGAATGTGATTCAGGTTGAAGCGTCCATCATATCATCGGAATCAAGCGTTGGAGTTAATGTCGACTCAACGTCAAGCCATTTCATAACCGAAACAGAGGAAAGTGCAACGAAATTCGATGGACTATCGCGAATAGCTAAGGAGAGCACGGTCGAAGTGGAAAATGCAATAGAAACCGATTTCCATGTTGATTCGAATGGAAATAATCTCCGTGATGCTTTAAATCAATGTGAGATTGAACACGAGCCAGATGTCGTATCAAATTTAATTCTGTCTGAAAAGGCGACTGGCGATGTCCTTGAGCTGGATGCGTCGGCGAACATAATCCCAAATGAGACCGTTGAAAAGGATCCGGTCATTTGTGATGATCCGGTGAAAAGCTTAATCGAAAGCTCTGCCCATAATAATCTCCCGTCAGAGAAGACACTCCATCGCACAAAAAGCACTGTGAAAAGGTCATGTCAACATCCAACGCTGCAACGTTCACAAACAGCACGAGTGATAAACTTGATTTCACCGATGCCAAGTGCGACGGCGGCAGCATCATCGTCGTCGTTGACCACCGTACAAACACCAAAACCACCAAAGCAATTGGAACGCGAACGAGAACAAGGTGGTGACTATCTTATCGAAATCTGTGGCCGTTATTTGAACGTTTATGGAAGCGGTGCAATAAAGTTCATCGATCGTCAATGGAATGCACAGAAGGCGAACGATGTGCACACATTGAAATTTAGTTATGTGAATTTCAATAATGTCGCTACGATTTTTGGGAAAATCAAAAATCGCTTTCCAAATGCCGAAAACTATGCATTTCGCGAGACGAATATTCAGTTTTTTGGCCAATTGAATGCGTTGGCCGAGCTTCAAGGTTTGAAATCATTGACAATAGACGCCGAAGGAAATCCGATCAACTCGAAAGACTGGCGATCTTATGCGGTCTACCGCCTATCTCACTGGGGGCTTAAGATAATCAACGATATTGAGATTACAAGTGAAGAAATTGAAACCGCCCAAGCAACATACTCCGGTCTATCGGATTTAGTGTTATGGTCATTGCCCGAATCTACAATCGAACCACTGCTGCTACGCCTTAATTTAGAGGAATCATGTACTACAATCGAAAAAATTAAACCGAAACAATGGCTAATGAGCGCTGATTTGTCACTGCGTTCAGTTGTCGGCAAAGAAGCGCTTCAGTGCAAATTATCTGCACATAATCCATCGAATCCGTTCGTTCAAGAAAATGAAATTCGGAATCGTGGCCGATATTGTCTGTCAACCATGATTGAAAACACCTACAATGCCGTAGAGAAGTTACAAAAATTGGAATCCATGTGGCCGGGCATGTTGCTCGATCTCGTTAAATCGACGCTGCTCGACTATGCGCAAATGGATGCATATCTTGAACATTTAATGACCGAATCGAGTACAACGGGAAAGTAAACAGTCCTTCACAAATAAGAGATTTTATTTATTATTGCGTATATTTTTAATAAACAGACAAAGAAACAAACAATTTTTTGCAACATCTTTTGAATTTATCGAGAAAAAAACAAATACTTGACCCAATTTCTACTATTGCAGCGCTGGAGAAACTTGTGCAGAATTTTGTTAGCAGTACCTAGTAACCTGTGAACAATGTGTAGACCAAATTCATAACAATTCCAATGGGAAGACAACAATCATCTAAAATATGCACACGATACAAAAGAATACCTGCAAACCAAACCAAACCACACTCAACGAAATCCCTTCTACAAAAACCAAGAACCAGTGAAACAGAAAATTCTCAGCATAACTTTCAATTTCCGATTTTACATATTTTATTTCAACAAACAAAAATTCGTTACACCTAGGGGTATATTTACTTCATTGACACGTATTGACAAATATTCACAGGCATTTGCACTGTGTTCCGTAGTCTTATTGTTGTTGTTTTCTTCTGTTGCTTCGTCTCGTTTGTGGCGAGCAGGAATGATAGTTGCAAATACGCACATTTTATTGACCATATTTGCATGCATTCACAGCTAGTTATTCAGCGCATTGACACGCATTGACGCGTATTGATCCAAACTCGGTAGAATATGCGATTATTTACAATATTTATATTTTCATTTACTCATTTCTTTCCCCTTAGCGTTACACTATATCATTCAATTTGGTATCAACTACAATTCTTGGATAGCTTCGCTATTTAAGTCATCCAAATTTTTTCGCTTCTTTTTCTTGTCTTTTTTCTTCTTCTCGGTGACTATAACAAGCGTTGCACAGTGACCGTTTCCATATTTGAAATATTTCTTTTTGATGGTCTGTGTTTGGAGCAGTTCCTGGAATGAAGTCATTTCATTTGCCCTTTGTGTGAGAAACTCTTCAGTTATGGTTTCTGGGTCATCTTCTGTGCGCCGAAGAATGGTTTTTGAGTTGTTTATCTAAATTGAGTGAAACATTGAAATTGAGAACATGAAAAACGAGTTTGGAAGAATGAAAAAGCATCATGGAAACGATGAATATTAGGACTTACTCTAATAACTAAAATATCATCGATGTTTTTATCAACAACTGGCCAATTTTGCTCTAACACGTCTTTGTCCCATCTCAAATTTACTTCGTCCACATCGATGCGGTTTGGTACGGCCAGGAATTTTGACCAACATTCAGACGCAAACAGTGGTGCAATCGGTGCAAACATAATAAATAGGTTAGCCAAAGCGCGTTCATACTGTGAGTTGTACTTGACTATTTGCTTTGGGAATTTCTGTGAATGTAAAATTTGTTGCATTTAGAAATGGTTATAGCATATTGATTCGAATTAAATTTACCCTCAACTCATCGGTGAATTCTTGGCATTCTTTGATTGCCGAACTGAAATGTGCATTCGAATAGAAAACGTCGGCTCTGGATACACTTGTATTTCTCAATTCAAACAATTTGAGCTCCTCATTATCATATTCGCCACTCTGTTCGGGCTGGATAATTGATTCGTCCGTTCTTGCTTTGTTAAACTCATTCAACAGCAGCCAAACCCGATGCTGCCAGTTTAAAATACCCGGGAAAGCTGTGCAAAATTTCACCAGTGTTAATCATTCTTTTTTCAGTTTACCAAAAATTTCTAAAATTTCTTTAGTTCCTTTAATTTGAAGCTATTTAAAATATTCTTAGACTCACTCTCTTTCGACCAATTGCGTGGGCTTCTTGGTAGCACATCGGCAAGCATAATAAGTCTTATTGAATCAACACTGTACTCATCAAATAATTCCGATGGATCAACACCGTTTTTCTTTGATTTCGACATCTTCTCCCATTCCATATGAACCTTCATTCCTGTCAACGTTTCCTCGGCCCGATTTTGCTTCTCATTCAAGATATTCACTTCGTCTTCTTTGATGTAGCGACCATCGTCAGTTAAGAAAGTGCGACCATTTATCATTCCTTGAGTGATTAGACGTTTGAACGGTTCACTTTTGTCGACATAACCGATTGTCTTCAGGAAATGCATGAAAAACCGTGCCATGTACAAATGCAAAACGGCGTGCTCTGGAATGAACGAATTCGATTGGAAGTTGAAAATTTCGTGATCAATTGGAAAGCAAAATAAAAAATTTATGCAACAAAATGTCCATACCAATTCCTCCAATGTACATATCAACCGGCATCACCTTTTTAGCAAGAGATTTATCGAAAATGGCCTTGGTATTGTCTGGATTCAAATATCGCAAAAAATACCATGAGCTATCTACGAATGTATCAAAAGTGTCTGTTTCTCGTTTGGCATTCAAATTTCCACATTTATGACATTTGACTGTGTACCAATCGCTGCGTTTGCTCAACGGAATCGGTTTATCATGTTCATCAAACGTAGCCCCAGGCAGTTCAACTGGCAATGATGCTTCTGGTACTGGAAGTGTGCCACATTTTGAACAGTGAATAATAGGAATTGGAGTTCCCCAGAATCTCTGCCGTGAAATGAGCCAGTCTTGAAAATGCGCACTTACGGGATAACCTCCGATTTTCATGTTTTTCGCCTTTTTCAAAACGCTCTCACGATTCTTCTCTTCCGGCGGCTGATCTTCGAAACTAATCCAAAGTTTATCGACTAAGTTTCGATCAATTTTGTTTACAGCTGGCACATCGATGTAAGTTTCACAATGTGGTTGATATTCGAGCTCATCAAAAACGACTAACGGTATTAAGCTTCCCTCTTTGAAGGGATTTTTTACGGCGATATCTAGCACAGCACCACTTTCACGGCCCTCACTCAAAAAATGATCCGATTTAATTGCTATGAATCCAGGGTTCAACAATTGTTCTGGCTTCTCCGTCCACACGGTAATCGTTTCCATTTTTTGTTTGTCACTATCCACATAAAATAGGTTGAGATGAAAATTGTAGCCCGATGATTCACCGAACCAATTCTTTTGCATTTTAATTACTTCTTCCCAATCTTCAAGTGACTTATCATCCAATCCATCGCTCAAGTCTTTCGCGAAATTTGTAGTTCGCAAAAACCATTGTTTCAGCAGCTTTTTCTCTACTCTAGCACCAGATCGCCACGAATGGCCATTCTCATCGACCTGCTCATTTGCCAGGACAGTTTTGTCGACTGGATCCCAGTTCACAAACGCTTCACGCTGGTATGCCAATCCTTCTTTGTGCATTTGCAGGAAGATCCCTTCGGATGAAATGAAAATCAAATTGAAACTGATTCCACTCAAATTGAAATAAAATTAAATGCAAATGGTGAAAAGAGAGAAAAGTCAGGCCGCGCTAGCGTCCTATCTAAATACATTATAATGAATAAGTACAAACTAATACATATGCATTTCTACTATGAATACGTTTCATGCTATGTGTTTTAATTTCATTTAATTTTGGAAATTGGAAAAAAAATATTTCTCGACAAAATATATTTTAAAACATCATTGCAATAAAAAAAAAACTTCCAAGTAAAAATGAATATATTGATATTGAGTACGAAAATTCGGTGAAATCGGTGAAATACTTGAATCAAACATAAACGTTTGAAAAACGTACGACGCGCGCCAAACCATAAGTGATGTCAAAGTGTATACAAAGAGTGAAGCAATAGTGCGTTTAATGCTATGTGCTATAGTGTCTCTGTTGATGTTGATCGCTGACGTTTATAGTGGTAGAGAAAAGTTATTAAAATTTCGCTTACACTGTGTCCACTTGTAATATTTCGGATCACACGTTGACAGTTCACGTTTCCAATCAAACGAAGCTCCAAGCTGTTCCAGTTGCTTTCTCATGTGATCAATATTTGATTTAGTCCAGTCACTCGGTGAGATTTTCCTTTCGATGGCTGCATTCTCGGCGGGCAAACCGAATGCATCCCAACCAATCGGATGTAGCACCTGGAAATTTTTTCGTCATTCAATGAAATCTTTCACGAATATCATCGAAATTTGTTTCAAATAAAAAAAGTAGTCGAGTTAATAAATTACATTTTTTCCTTTGAGTCGGTAGAAACGAGCGATTGCATCACTTATTGTGTAAACTCGAACGTGACCAAGATGCAAGAATCCCGATGGATAGGGAAACATGGGAACGACTACAAATTTTTTGTCTGGTTTCGATTCATCGAAGCCTTTTTTCTGGATTTTATCACGCCAATGATTTTCAATATTATGCTTGATATCTATGGTTAATTGAGTTTGCTGCAAGCAAAGGCAAAAGAAAACGGTTCAAGTGAAAAAAAATTGTGATTCTTGAAAGAAAAACAAATATTATGAGACAAACCGTGAAGTTCGTGCATCCTTCTGTCGAGTACAAATTGATTCGGTGGCGTATCACGTTCTGACATCGTGCCAAAATCGATGTATTCAATTGCAAAATTCTCATATCTCCTAAAAACTCTGATCAAAACATTGAAAACAAATCTTCATTCCTTCTTATCGTGCACCGGACTAATGTCATTGCCAAATTTTTTGTGTGTGGTTAGGTTTTGACATTTCAACTGTTGACATATTACCAAGTTTCGTTGAGCATGTTGACAGTCGTGTATTTTCAGTGGATTCAAAGGTGAAACAGAAGAAAATCCTAGTTGCCACTATGAACCGAGCATTTTTGGCTCCGCTTCAGTTCCAGAAGCAATTTATACGGACTATGCTGCTGAGGCAGCAACCGAACAAAAAACACGTTTACAAAAAAGTGGGCAATGGCAAAAGATTTGAACGTATCACATACTATGCACGGTAAATATTATTTTGAGGTTATGTCAAGGTATACAAAATCAATAGATGTATTAAATTTTTCAATATTTTCTTCTCATAGTGACGATTTCAAAGAACCGGAACAAATGTCAGAACCACCAAAACTGTTTCGCGTGCAACGGTTTGCACCACTTGTACATCGAATCTATTGGGAACGGAAAATCTTATTCGATCTCGGGCTAATAAACGATGTATGTATCCAGATGTCAATTAAAGATCCACATGAGAGTCAAAGTCTCAAGCATTTATTGCAATTTTCCTATTCATGAAGAACGATTCCTTACACTTTCTCCTTTTATTTTCTTCCCACAGACGAAAGACGTTGCAATCGTGAAGAATACACCCGAAAATAATGTTCTGTTGTGGAAAGTGAAGCATTTAGTTTCAGTTGAACCAATCACATTCCCATACGGTGAGCCAACTGAAGACGATGTCAAACACACGAAATTGAATGAGAATGGCGAATGTATCGTTCATAAGAAGATTGGAATCGATGAACGGCGTGTGGAAGAGGCGGAAAAATTCATCAAGGATCCAAAACGATTGGACCAAGATACGCTCAAACGTGAAGCATTGCTGCGTTGGGTCAGAAGTTATTAAACTGTGCAGACTTTATGAGAATTAGTGTATAATATTTGAATTTTATTAAACAGTTCAATGGAAATTCGATTAAAATTGAATAAAAGTTGCGTATAAATTGAACAAAAAACGGTATAATTTGTTTTTTTATGTACGAATACTAATATACTTTTCGATAATATTAAGATCGCTCGTGGAAGGAGATCGATTGTATACTTGATCTGGCAATTCGATGTATTTTTCATAAGTGTTGATTGATTCCGCTTTGACCTGTGGCGCTGTCACTTGTTTATAGTTATCGCTACCATAATCACCTAGTGAAACTACATTGACCATTCGCTTGTGTCGGTTGTGCAACGGCTTCTTGGGATTGTATGTGCTCATGGCAGCATTTGACATCAGTACTGTGCCCATTTTGGCATATTGTTTGTATTTGGCCATATCAACTCTGTTGGGTGGTTTCAAACTGGTTTGGTACACTTCAATCATTGGTGGAAACATTGTGTTGAAAGTGATACTTTTTGATGGCGGTTCACTGTCCTCAGTGCCAACGGAAATGTTTTGAGCGGTTGAACTCTCTAAAATCGAATCATCTTCCGACGATGTACCTTCGTCTGAACTGCTTGAGCTATTTGTCGAGCCAGTTGAACTTTGACCGGTGAGTGATGGATTCTTCAGAATGCCACGACCTTCACTGCGTCGCGTTGCCGGTACAAATGGACTGAAATTCGTACGAAATGTCGGAGTGAAACATCTTGCCATCAAACTGATCGTAAACGCAATATTTTCCTCAAATGACGTCCACTTGTACGGAATGTGATAGCTCGAGTAATAATCTATCATTTCCAAGTCGCGTGAATGCACACGAATCAATTCATCGACCATTTTGTTGCTATCACATGTTGAATTTGGCAAATGCTTCAAAATGAATGGACTAACCCATTCGGTTAATGGTTTTGATTTTTTCAACTCCGTTTCGATATCCTTTTTGGCATTGTGCATGAAGTAATCGGTCGACAAATCCCAAATCGGAATGTTTTCTGGCAATAGGAGAGAGGAAACAGAAATTTGTTCAAAGTTGAGAATTGGAAAAATGAAGTATTTGGATAAAAAAAAATGCAGCGCGAGTGTTTCTTGCTATTCAATGTGCGTTGAACGACGGAAAAAAAATTACCCACCTTTGTTTTCTAATGGTATGAAGTAACCCAAAAATATGTTCATACTGTGTTGTTTTTCTGTATCGCTGAATGTGTTTGAATAATACCGAGATAGTGTCTATATTTCGTGAGAAGAACAGAGAGAAAATTTAGATCCTGTAATGAATTTTGGATTCCAAATTGAATGCGGTATACTTACTTGCATAAAATCATTGCCTTGTGATGTCCATGCAGCCGTTTTACGATACGTTTTAATCCGATGAACAAGTTGAGAGCCACCATATTGTAAAGCCAATGTGTCACCATGATCTTCATACAAACTCTCGAGCATTGTAACGCAGTCTGAATCAAATTCCAGCTTCGGTGGTGCTTTGAGAAACCCAAGCCGATGGAGCTGATGGGCCAATGCTGTATATTTAATTCAATAAGCAATGTGTTGAAATATACATTGTAGAGGTTTCATTGCCAATTTCAAGTGTATACCTGTTTTCCCGATGGCAAATTGCGCTGTATTCGTTCTGTCCAAGCAGTCAACACAATTAACTCGTACGATACCAGTTTGGAATGACACATCATTTGAATCTTTGAAGAACAGACCGGTTTTTTGCACAAAATTCTCGGCAAATTTGGCCAAGCTGCCCATAACATTACCGCCATGACTTTTCTTTGTGATAAAATAAAGAGGAAAATTATTTATGGAACTGAAATTTTATTTGTGCTTGTGTATCAATATCACTTACTCTAGCCATATCAAAGTGATGGTACTTGATATTATGCTGTGGTGGCAGAAACTGATTGAGATAATTGATGGAGGTGGTCATATCATCGGTTAGAATACTTTCATGGCGTCGTCTTTCGCGCTTCTTCACAAGATTCAGTATGATGATTGGTGCACCAAAATCGAATAAAAGTCGTGCATAGTGTTTTCCCGCTGTTATTGCATATGGATCAGACAAGTCAAGGGATATTGGTGGTTTTGGCACCATTTTGCTTATATCTTGTGACCAATGCGATGGAATGGAACCTCTCATTTGAGTGAATGAACACATACGGTGACCATCTACAACGATTTGCTCTGATTCAACCTCGTTTGCCACATCGCCAGCAAAATTAGCGCCTCTTTTCAAGAATCTCGTACCAGCAAAACGTGTACTTCGACGGGCTATCAAACAAACGTACACAGACCGACCGAAAATGCTGATGTTTGATTGTGAGAAAAATCCATGGATCACTTCGACTTGCCAGTCACGATTCAAAATCACAGACATCGGTTTTAGTAGATGTGCATTCCATACGAAACGCTTACGAGACACACTTCGGATGGCATACTCCATTTTTTCATTTCGATAGTTTTTTTGCTAGAATTAGACAAGATCAAAAACGATTGAAAAAATGCTTCTCAAAGTTGATTTTCGTGTTGGCACAATGATGAATATTCTTTAAAATACACATGAACATCCTTACGTATGAATTCCAATCGGGTAATGGTTCCTCATTTTCAATATCAGCATTTCCAATGAATCGTGGCGCTGATAAGTTATGCTGAAGAGTTTGTGTCAAATCGTAACTGTAACTAAAGTAAAAGTTGCTGTTCAAATCGATGTTCGTGAACATTCGCAGGTATCGTTGTTCTAACGGATGAGTTTGCTTTATCGATGGCTCACACACACGTATCATAACCGTGTCTTTGATTGTGAAAATTATGTGTTTTCCAATAACGCCACATTTGGTTCGCTTTGTAATCAGAATCATGTAATAGCTTTCCATAAAGCGAATGAAACCCAACACACCGTATGCACTGATTTTCTGGATGGAACAAAACAAGGTTTTACATTTCCATTTACGTTTAATTGACTCAATAAACTCTTACCTTGCACTGGCCCAGTGTGCCGACCAAAGTTCGAATGCCTCTAGCATCATACTCACTGGGATATTCATGGAATTTCAGCTCAGTGGCAGCGGTTCGGTCTAGTTCCAAGCAGCGGAACTTTGTCTCACGGTCATTACTGCCGACCAGCAACAAACGCTGAATGAAAAATAAGTTGAATGTTAAATTACTAATACCTGGAAAATGTTATGAAAAATGCTCAATTATTACCGTTTTCGTTTCATACAAGGCAACCTTTTGGATGGCACTGTTCACGGAGTGAAACGAGATGTTATTACTGTTATTCATTGTTTTGGAATAAATCTCAAGTTTTTGGGGAGTATTCTCATGACAGCAACACTGACAGATTCGTGTCTTCAGCACATTTGAACTCCAACTATCGTTAATCACTCAGACATTGATTCGTCAAAATGCTTCGCAATAAATATTTCCAAACAAATTGTACACAAAAAAAATCAATTTATCGATTTTGTTACATTTTCAATGCAACATAAGAAAATATGAAAATCATCATCATTAGACTTGATTGTGTTTGTGCTGAATAAGATGTGAAGCTGTCAAAAACAGTTGTTCACCAAATGTCAAATGTGTCGCACGCTCATTGGTCGGAGCATTTGACAGCCAGATACGGCAAAGCATATCGTGTCATGCAACAATAGCGTTAAATGACACCGCCAAATGAAGAAGAAAAAAAAACGTATACAAGTTGTTCAAGACTACCACACAAGCATCGCAGCGAGTTACATGCAAGCCATAGAGAAGAGAGAAAACAAAAACTAGAACAAACAAATAACGTGAGGTGCGATTTTTCATTTTCGTGTATTAAATTCGACCAAAATGTGGTATTAGATACGGTAGTCGTGTTAAATTTCTAGTTTTTAGTCAATTCTTAAGAAAAAAAATAGTGAAAAGTTGTATAAATATTGGTAAGTAATCCGAACACTTGCGTACATTTGTTCAAATTAAAACATGTATATTTTTTCGGTTCTTTATACGTGTTGTTTTCTTTTTGGTTGCAGAGAAAAAGTTCAAATTTTAGCAATGAAGCCTCTTTGGAGCTTAGTATGTTGTTTTTTATTCGCCGTTCAGTCATTGGCCAGTAAAAGTCATCCCATCACTACGTTACTCAATGCAAAATGGCATACAACACCAATTTGTCTTGAGATCTCTGAATTTTTATTCGATGAAAGTCCAAATTTATACTGGGATTATGTCAGCGCTTTAAATACACTACCGCAACAGCTTCATGAATTAGGTATAAATAAAAACGTCTCTAGTAATAACTCACATTCTGTTGATTTATACTGAATTTTGAAGAATGTCAATAATTCTTATGCGATGAAAATTAATTTCTGTTGATTCAATTGCGTACAGATACCGATGCAAAGGTTTACAAATCGGCTGTGTCCGTTGCCGAAAAGTTGATTGGCCCAATTCAGTTGTCATTATTGAAGTTGGTGCTCTCAATGCACACGATGTCACCACGAGTGCAGGCTCATTTCCAAGTCGCCCGCGAAGTTCTCGAACAAGGTGATTGTAAAACCGATATTTTCATAACGATTGGCAGCCGTGTCGCTTGCAGCCTCGATGAACTTAAGAAGGGATTGGAAAAAGCCAAAAACGCCGATAAACAGGATCAAAGCGATGATATTTACAGTTTTGATCACATCTACCCTGGCAGTGAAAACAATACCATTACAGCCATTTTGTACGGTGAAATTGGCTCAAAGAATTTTAAAACATTTCATGAGTACTTAACGAAACAGGCTGAAAGTGGACTGGTGAAATATGTTTCCAGACATTTTGTCAGAGTAAGTACATTGCCGCAATGATGGAAATAAATGAACAACCACAGCAAAGAAATGTAAACAACATTTTGATTATTTCACTTAGGATACCGGTTTGAATCGTGTTCGATTGTCCGGCTACGGTGTTGAGCTTTATCTCAAATCCACTGAGTACAAAAGCCAGGATGATTCTCCACGTTCCGATGATTCCACAACCATGGACGATTCGAACGATGTCGACAACGAAGTTGAAGGTTTCGATTTTAAGATATTGAAGTGAGTACTGTGTGACATTTTTTGAGAGTATTTACCACTTTTTGGAGTGTTGAAAATTGGTTTTTTGTTTAGTTCTGACCTTTTTAAAAATAAAATTCGAATTTTTATTACAGAGATCGCCATCCAAGCTTGGCTCATTCTTTGGATCGTCTTCGTAGCTCACTTCTGGAGAAAACCGATGAAATTGCACCATTAAAAGCATGGGAGTTCCAAGATTTGGGTTTACAAGCCGCCGAACGTGTTGCTCAAATTCAAGGCGAAGAAGCTTTGCAAATTTTGCAATTCACCGCTCAAAATTTCCCATCTCAAGCCAAATCATTACTGCATGTACGTGTGTCTGATGATTTCAAAAAGGAGATGAAACATAACACTGATGTTCTGGGCAAAGAATTGAACTTTCAACCACCGGATGCGGCGCTATATGTGAATGGACTCTATTTTGATGCCGAATCACTCGATGTTGGCAATTTGGTCGAAACATTACGGGGCGAGTTACGTGTTTTGAGCGGTTTACATAAATTGAGTAAGTTTTGAAGAAAAAAAATGTTTTGAATTTAATTTTTCGGGCGAAATTTTTCAATATTTGTCAAATGAAAATTCTTCAATTGTTCATTTTCTCTACAGAACTTGAAGGATCGGTCGCCTCAGATTTGCTTGCATTGGATCTCTCACAGCCAGACAACATCGAATTTGCCGTTGATATTCGGGACTCAGCCGTCGCGTGGATCAATAACATCGAAACTGATGCGAAATACCGCACATGGCCAGGAACAGTTTATGATCTGCTTCGACCATCGTTCCCAGGCATGGTGCGCAGCATTCGTAAAAATATTTTCAATCTATTGGTTGTGATTGATCCAATCAAACCGGACGGTCGTGAAATCACCAAATTGGTAGAGAGTTTTGTGGTTCACTCAGCCCCGATTCGTGTCGGTGTAGTTTTTGACACAAGAAAAGCGGATGCAAAATCAGAAAAGGTCTATCGTTCATTGATTTGCGCATGGAACTATATCAACCAAGTAAAAAAACCACGGGATGCACTTTCTTTCTTAACCGATGTAAGTAACAGCATATTTCTATGGAGACATGTCCATTGCTTGATTTTTCGTTGTATTTTTTTCTCTCGTTATCTAGCTCTTTGCTTTCCATAGTTCCGATGAAGATATCAGTTTGAGTACGATTCGAAAACAGTTTGAAAAATCAGCAAAAGAATTGAATGCCGAGCAGGTGGATGAGGTACTGGGGGAGGATTCAGACTACGATTATGGTCGTCAACTTGCCACTGAATTTGTTGAACGTCTTGGTTTTGAAAAATCGCCACAAGCCCTCTTGAATGGTGTTCCACTGGAAGAAACTTTGTTGAATGAAAAGAAATTTGAAGAAGCTGTCCTGTCCGAGGTGTTAATGGCAACGGTACCATTCCAAAAAGCTGTATTCAACGGTCAATTGACCGATGATATGGATGTTGTTGATTACATTATGACCCAGTCAAACGTAATGCCACGATTAAATCAACGGATAATGACAAAAGAAGATGCATCGTTTGTGGATTTCTCAGGTGAACCACACAAGAGTTTGGAAAATATCAAATTGTTGGCACAATTGTCGGCACGTGACATGACAGCGACTTTGCTACACAACTTAAAGTATTTCACCACGAAAAATTCGGAGGAGCGTGCATTGGGCAAGAAAATCAGTTTTCTCACCATTTGGATTGTGACCGATGTAACGACTGAACAAGGCGCTGAACTTCTTAAGAATGCTCTTTTATATATGGTAAGTGGGATCAAGTCTTTTATCATCGAATAATAATTCATCATTTGCATTTCAAAACACAAACTCTCTTTCTAAATTCCATTTTCTCCGTTAAGAAATCAACATCTGGCATTCGGGTGGCATTCATTCCAAACACAGAGGGTGTTGCAGTGGCTGATCGTTCAAATTTGAATCGTTTAGTATGGTCTGCCGTAAACACTTTGCCTGGCCCAGCCGCAACAACAACCGTTTTGGAATGGTTAGAGAAGAAATCAACTGAAAAGGTTATTCCGTCCGAAGTTAATGAGGTTCTCTCCGAATCCGAGCTACACCTGAAAATGTTGCGTGTTTACTCTCAACGAGTCTTACAGTTGAAGGCATCACAAAGTGCGGTTATTTCAAATGGAAAAATCCTTGGACCATTGAACGAGAAAGAAGTATTTGTCGCTGATGATTTCGCTTTGATCGAACGTTTGCACAGTTTCTTGCACGGTGATAAGATTCGGGAGGCTTTGAAGAAATACGATGACATCGAAGAGTCAGACAGTTTGAGCACAGACGATAGCGATTTGATTATGAAACTCATCGGTTTATTGGTACCTCGACAATCACGCACTCGTGTTTCAATCCCATCGAACATTCGTGACTCTCATACCGTTGTGAATTTGCCGCCAAAACAAAGCAATATGCCATATATCGAAGTGTTTGCCGCCTTGGATCCAGGTAATTAATTGAAGATGAAATGATTTTGAGGTGTAAAAGCGAAAATGTAATAATGACCATTTTCATTTTATAGCATCGCGTGGCGCACAGAAATTAGCACCAATTTTGATTCTCTTGAGAAATGTGGTTAATTGTAATATGCGTGTCGTTCTCAGTGTCATGGAAAAACACAGTGACATGCCAGTAAAGAAGTATGTTTGTCAAGCATTCAAATGAATGATTTTAGGGATTTTAATAATTAAATATTATTTGAATTTATTATAGCTTCTATCGCTTTGTCATCGAGCCGGAACTACAATTCAATCCCGACGGTAAATACACTCTCGGACCATATGCCAAATTTGTTGGCCTTCCAAGCAGCTCTCTGTTGACACAAAACTTACAGGTTTTATATATTTTGTGGTTCTCTTCTTTTTAAATTGATTGACATGGATCATTTGTGTGAATTTCACACTTGAATACTTAAAATTGAATATGTTCACTTAAATCATTCAAAGAGTGACTTTTTATTAAAATCATTCTTATTGGTCGATATTTTCGCTTAGGTTCCTGAGAATTGGCTTGTTGAAGTGGTTCGTTCGGTGTACGATTTGGATAACATTAAGCTGATCGATATCAATGGTCCCGTGCACAGTGAATATGAGTTGGAATATTTGCTCTTGGAAGGTCATTGCTTCGATGCAACGACTGGATCTCCACCACGTGGATTGCAAATCACACTAGGAACTGACTACAAACCGGTTGTTGTTGATACCATTGTCATGGCCAATTTAGGATACTTCCAACTCAAAGCCAACCCTGGAGCATGGATTCTGCGATTGCGTCACGGTAGAAGCGCTGACATTTATGATATTACCAAGTAATTACTGCAATTAAGATATTTATTTGCTAGCAAATTTGTAGAATGAGCTGTATAAACCATAATCTTGTCCATGATTTTCAGTGCTGATGGACCCAACAGCATCCACAGTCCAGACGGAACTCGCGTAATCATCAGTTCATTTAGATCTCATGTGATCAAACTTCGTGTAACAAAGAAGAAAGGAAAGGAGAGAGCTGACTTACTTGCCGATGATGATGAAGCAAACTCTGGCATTTGGAATTCGATCACAAGCTCATTTTCAGGCAGCAATCCAGATGCAAATGAATCAGAAACCATCAACATCTTTTCGGTTGCTTCGGGTCATTTGTACGAGCGTCTCCTTCGGATTATGATGCTTTCACTTATGAAGCACACAAATAGTCCGGTAAAGTTCTGGTTTTTGAAGAACTTCTTATCGCCACAGTTCATTGATTTCCTGCCGCACATGGCCAAAGAGTACAACTTCCAGTATGAACTCGTTCAATACAAATGGCCTCGCTGGTTGCATCAACAAACCGAAAAACAACGAATCATTTGGGGATACAAAATTTTATTCTTGGACGTGTTGTTCCCATTGGATGTGAAAAAAATCATTTTTGTCGACGCTGATGCGGTAAGATTTGGATTTTTGTTATATGAAAAATATCATGATTAAAACTATATGTCTTGAGGCTTTATTTTTAAAATGCTTCTAATCATTTTAATGATTGCTTTTCTATGGTTAAGATTGTTCGAAGCGATATAAACGAATTGAACACAATGGATTTGGGTGGTGCTCCATACGCTTACACGCCGTTCTGCGATTCGCGCAAAGACATGGATGGCTTCAGATTTTGGAAACAGGGTTACTGGCGCAACCATTTACAGGGACGCAAATATCACATTTCAGCATTATACGTTGTCGATTTGAAACGATTCCGAAAGATTGCGGCTGGTGATCGACTACGTGGTCAATATCAGGTAAGAGACAGAGAGTGAGAGATAGAAAGCATGAAATTCGATAACTTTTACGTTGTTCTTTTCTTTGAACAATCGACTAATCGCTAAGAATTGAAAAATCAAATCCCATTTTACACAATCAATAATGACAAATTCTTGTATAATTCTTGTAGGCATTGAGCCAAGACCCGAACAGTTTGTCAAATCTGGATCAAGACTTGCCAAACAATATGATTCATCAAGTTGCTATCAAGTGAGTATCACTTTGGATCAATCCTGTTTAGCTACGCGCTGTAACTATCAATGATAGTCTATGATTATTAAAATTAATTTCATCCAAAAATTCAGGTCATTGCCGCAAGAATGGCTTTATTGTCAGACATGGTGCCATCAGAGAGATTTTGCTAATGCTAAAGTTATTGATTTATGTAACGACCCACAAACGAAAGGTAAGAGAGCAAAATTGAACCAAATCTCCTTTCAATCCAAGTTAAATTTTTGATACAATTTCATTTTTTTCTCAATTTTCAGAGCCAAAACTCACCGCTGCACAACGCATTGTGCCCGAATGGAAGGATTATGATGCGGAAATCAAAAACCTACTGAACAGAGTACAAGATCAAGAGCATGAAGAAGAGGTGATCGAACCAGAAGAAAATATTCCAACCGAAGCCGAGTCAAAGTCCAAAGCGGATGACAGTGACGACAAAGCTAAACACACTGAATTGTGATCATTGTTTGTTTTAAGTTTCACATTCTAAGTTTTAAATTGGATGCTGACAGCATCATGCTGTACACATTTTGTATGTTCTAAAAAGCAAAAAGTAAATCAAAATTCCGATCCAATTCAAGGGTCACAGTGTCAAAATATTCTATCTGTTTTTATTTGCAAATCACATACACATCAAAATAAAAGCCAAGAAGTTGATTTCAATTGTCGGTCAAATCTTTTGGCATGTCAACACTCAAATTTGCAATGACATATGCTGCGCTGGCGAATAATGCTGTGTTTTTATCTAAATCATCTGGGTTTTCAACGAGCATACTATCGCCAGCCGAGTGATGGTAGTAAAAATACTTTTCGTTCTGATTTATTAAACTCGCGCCGGGGAAACCGCGATTCACCCATTGTTCAATATCTGGTCCTGCATTGATGGGCGTATCGAATTTCGTTGCATTTAATGGTGCCATGAGCTTCAATACCTCTTTAAAGATGCATTCTGCCTCTTTGTTGCCACTGAAATCTAAGCCAAGTGGTGTGAATGTACCCATGTCACTTTCAATAAAGAAATTAAACTCCTCATTTTCTCTGCTTCTGTGTTGTTTTTCATATTCTCTAGCTCCAATGATACCGAGCTCTTCAGCCGTCCATAGGATGGCACGAATTGTCCGCTTTGGTGGTTTCAAATTCAATCGCTTCAATAGATGCAATGCTTTCCACGAGATGAATGCACCACCACCATCGTCCATAGCACCAACCCCAATATCCCAGCTGTCCAAATGGCCTGAGACGACTACAACTGGAGTTTTTGTCTCACCTAAGAACAGAATGAAATTAGTTATGGAATGGGAAATAAATTAGGTAAAGTCAATTCACCTGCAAATTCAGCGATTGTGTTACGGGACACGACATCACCGAGGTTTCGATCATCCATTTCTAGGTGAAGTGTGATTTTTTCACCCTTTCGATACAAACGCAGCATTGAATACGCATCTTCAACAGTAACAGCGGCTACGGGAATTTTATTTTTAATATCAGCAGCATATGTTTGCATTCCGGTGTGCAGCGAACCGATTGAATATGGTGTAATTGATCGAACTAAGGCAGCCACAGCCCCTTTGCGCGATGCAACTGAAGCCGCTTGAGAGCGATACTTGACAGTTTTACCATATCCTTGCCATTCGGGCACAAACAATACAATTTTTCCCTGTACCTCTGATTCAGGCAGTTTGTCAAACTCCTCAAAACTCTCAACAGCAACAACATCCGCGAATAAACCACCTTTCAATGTGCCGACGGTATAGCCAAAGCCACAAATATTGATTTTTACCCGTTTTGGTGATAACATTTGACAATTTTCATAACCTCGTTCCCAGCGCGGTACCGTAGCATTCTCCTGGAAATTTTGCAAATTTGCTTAATACATTTTGGGTCATTATATTTGTTAAAATTGTACAACATGTCATATTCGAACGATAAACCGTACGGATTTTTTCCTCTTCATATTTGATATTCGTTTCGAGGTATGTGAAATACATTGTGCGTGTGTAACACCGATGGACGAGTGTATGTATACAGAGTGGCGAATTGGCATGACGTTTATGGGGGTGTAGCAATTCCACCAAATGGATGAGTATTTGCAAATTTGCTTACCGTATGTACATTATCCAGTCCGGCCTTTTTCAATTCATCAACCATGTAATCAATTGTGTTCTCTAAATTCTGTGACCCCGCTAGTCTGGCACCGAACTTATCTGTCATTTGTGCCAACCTACGAATTTACAAAGCAAATAAAAATGTGTTGAATAAATTGAAATGTTCCTATAATTGATTTAATCAACTCACGCATCCCATGTATCGCCTGAGTATTTTCCATTAACAATGGCACTTGTGATTTGATCGACGATCGGTTGATGTGACTTGATTTCTTCGATAAGTTCTGATGTTAGGCTGGAACATTCTCCATCGTCAATACTATTCGATTGCCAATCCAAATCTCTGTGACTTTCAATAACATATCTTGCAAATACCGTTGAAGTCAACGCCAACAAAACAACCAAAATGACAAATTTAAACATTTTCACAAATATCAAAACGAACTCGTAGTTGAACACTTCAATCTTCCAACAATTCACATCCACATTTTATTTCAGACTAAACACGACAAATCAAAGTTGCATCTTTTCGAGCGTTGAGATAATGGTGAAGTTGGCTATTTGTTTACATCATATTTGACACTTATCTCTTTGTATGTATTGGTACTGACCGTTCAGAACTAACTTAATCAGTCACACTTGAATAAAATTCGTTACAGCTCTTGATTAAATTCCGATGCAACAAAAAAAATTATTAAAAATAGAAACACAATTGCAACTGAAAGCGAGACAAGCGATAACACATTGTGACAACTTTGACTATAGCCATTGAGTGTTAGTTAATTGACTTAAATTTTATCGCCCGCCACTTGTAATGATTATTATAAAACAAATTTGAAGAATAACGGGTAATCAATTTAAACAATACCATGCAATGGTTTTATAACAGTTTTTTGAATCATCCAATGCAATTATCATATAACAGTTTATTACATATGCCAGAATTAAGTTATACATTTTTTTAGAAAAAAAACATAGAGAAAAATTGTTTTTTTTGATGCTCTAGCATCTCTCCATCCCATCTACAATTCAGAAATGTAATGCAATTGAATTAATCATATCTTTTCCCCAAAATCAGTTGCTAATTGAATGCTCGGCAGTCATCACGGGTCATTGGAGGATACCGTAAGATCGTCTCGTAGCAATTTCATGGTGAGAATAGAATCTTTATAATTGTCTTCAGTGAAATTATCTGATTCTATGAGGGCTGGAATTCTAAGACATTCGACAAAATTCGTGCGGAATTATTTGTTCCATAATTACGTCGAAATCATCTACGTCAAAATAGATAGCTTAGAAGAACGCTGTTACTAACTGCAGAATATTATAGTATATCAATTGAAACACAGCCGCATTAAGTGCTTAGAAATGACGCATGCATGGTTTCTATCGAAATTGAACGAAAGCAAACAAACTCTCCGATAAAAAGTGCAGACGCACGTCCAACGCTAGATATGACGGGTATTGAGTATCAATCATTCCTCGCAATAAAATCAGGAGAATGCAGCTGTTGACATAAATGCAGACAGTTTCAATGAATTTTGCGAACAAATGAAACGGTCGCTCCTTTTAAAAAATGAAAATGTTCCTTTTAAGCATAAACTTTATATTCACCACAAATATGTTGGGCTGGTATTCTAAGACATTCCACAAAAATTGTGCGGAATTATTTGTTCCATAATTGAAACTATATTGGAGTGAAAGAGAGATTCCACTATTCATACCCACCCCCGAAATTATGCCGATAACTCAAGGAAGGGTAAAAGGTGAGAGAATAATTTTGATGGTGAGTAACTAGAATTAATGATGTTATTTTTTAATCTATTAGAGGATGACTCTTAACGCTGAATTGAGCCAAATGGTAAGCAAATTGGTATATTTTCATTTGCTTCGCTGGAAAATAAAAGCCATTCACGATTGAATGCAGAATAGGGAATTTTTGAAGCAAAAAAAGTGTTTTTATTGCGAGTTGAAAACATTCTCTGAAGCAGGGTCATTTTTCGACCTTTTGGACCCATCAGACAGGATTGAGATAAGTCTCAATCGATTTTCCGTCAAAAATTACGTGGAAATAGAATCATGACAGCCCATTATATGTGGGTTTTCTATGCCACAAATGTGATTTTGTAAGCAGATTTCGACCATTCGTTTGTTCTATGAAGAAAAGTCAGTTTCGGACCAAATTTATAGGTAAACTGATGTGAAAAAGGTCGTTTTTTCATGTATTTTGACGAAAAAATAGCAGTTTTCTCATATCAAAATGTCGTAAGAGGCCATTTTCGACCATTTTTCTCACAAAAACGCTGGAAAATGACATATGATTCACCTGCCGAGGCCAATTACACGGATCTAACCATGGTATTACACGGAATTTTATTTTCACATCTGAAGCGGTGTAACATGGGCTATCTTTTGACGCGAAAAAACATGCCAAAAAACCCCACTATTTTGAGATATTTAACATTTTATACTTTGAACCCATTTTTGGAGGTTCCAATGGGGCCAGAGAGGATAGGTTACTAGGCGGATTTTGTAGCCCCATCGATTCCCTTTCAACGATTCCCTTGCAATGTGTCAACTACTTCACAGTTAGATTTTAGATAGCGCAAACCCTTTTTTTCGATTTTTTCAATTTTTTCAAAAATTCACACTGGGTTAATTCAGAAAGACGGGCCACTTTTAGACCTGAGATTTTGGTTTCCTCTTTTTCCATCGCAAACAAGACTCCAAGCCAATTTTCAGCCAATTCGGCGACATCACATTGCAACTCTTCCCTGACTTCGTGTGGAATGGCCGATAGAGAAAGTTCATCAGTTAACGGACGTCATGTGCATAGTGGTAATTCGATATCTAATTATGAAACATGACTTTATATAGATTTTAGCACAAATGGCCTTTTTTCTAATCATATATTGCTTAAACGTAGAAATCTGCTAGAAGTATCTACTGCCGCCGTCTTTCTCGAAAATTCAACACCTATCCTTTGAGAAGTACTTCCCTATTCTGTAATATCTAGCAATGTGATAAAGAGACAAGTGAAGGATAAAATGAAATAAAACTATTTTTTCAGAAAACAATCACTTCGTTGTTCTCTCGTCAAAAGTGTAGTTGAAAATTACATGAAGAAAATACACAGAAATCAAAAAATTCCTCCATTTGTCCTAGCAAAATATTTTTTTCTTTCATATTTATCAAACGGCAATCATCCAATCTGAAAGGTTTGAATGTGCTTTTTTGCAAGTAAGTTCCTAAGGGGATTTTTATTGTACCCTACTTTGAATCGCAATTTTATCGACAGTTCGGTTGTACATAATTGGTAGTGAGGAAATGTCGTTAATTGGATATTGTCAATATCAATGCAATAGATAAGAAGTTGGATTGATACGAGGTGACAATTGAGCGAAAAACTTTTCGAAGATCAGTCGTGTTTCTTATTCCAAGCCTTTCGCAAAGAAAATAATTCGAAATTGAGTTCAATAAAAAAAAATTCTATCGTTGAAATATATTGGAGTTGAAACGATCACTAATAAAAACGTTCGAGAAAAAACTGAATAAGTTTTATTCAATAAAAAATTGTGTGTTAAATCGAAAGAAGAAAAAAACGTTTAAGCAAAAATGAGTTCGGACGATGCAGGAACGAAAAGTCTTATTTCGGTCATAAAGAGGGTTTTTGAGGTGTGCGATGAAATGGGTGTTGATAAGTTGGATTTTGATTTTCCACAAATCGCTGTGATTGGCAGCCAAAGTGCAGGGAAAAGTTCTGTTTTGGACAGCCTGGTTGGAAAGTAAGTTATCGAATGGCTTTCTTACGTGTACAAAAAAAAATTGAAACTTTTTTTACATATAAATCCAAACATTTTTCTCTACATTTGAAAACAGGGATTTTTTGCCACGTGGATCTGGCATTGTAACTCGATGCCCGTTAATTTTACAGTTAATACACGACGAAAATAGTAAGAAAAATTTTTATCTTCAGAAAATAGATTAAAAAAAGAAAATCTCTGACATGATAAATGGAGTGGCGGTCATAACTTTATTGAACGGTTCTCATAATTTGTATTTGAAAAACGTTTTATTTCAATAGAAATGGAATATGGTGAATTTATGCATTGCAAGGGAAAAAAGTTTGCCAATTTCGATGATATTCGAAAAGAAATCGAGCGTGTTACCAATAGCAAAGTCGGTCCAAGTAAATGTATTTCTGATGACGAAATCAGTTTACACATTCACTCGCCAAATGTGTTGGATTTGACATTAATCGATTTGCCAGGCTTGGTACAAATTCCAATCGATGGTCGACCAGCTGATATTAAACAACAAATTGAAAAAATGGTCCTCAGGTACATCGAAAAAGAGAATTGCTTAATATTGGCTGTTTCGCCAGCAACCGTTGATTTGGCCGCATCCGTTGCATTAAATAAGGCTCAAAAAGTCGATCCGCACGGTGATCGCACAATTGGTGTGATCACCAAATTGGATATGATGGGACCAGGCGGAAATGCCCAAAAATCCTAGAAAATGAAGAGTTCGCATTGCGCCGTGGATATGTCGGTGTTGTAAATCGTTCACAAATTGAAATTGATAATAAAAAGACAATTCCGGCTGCATTGGACGATGAGCGTAAGTTTTTTGAAGGAAATAAAAATTATCAACACCTCGCTCATCGTATGATATATATACGCCGCACTTGGAACGAATGTTGAACCAAGAACTAACTGAACATATTCGGGCGAGATTGCCAAGCTTGGAATCCGAATTGAGGAAGAAATTCGTGAATCTTGAAGAAGAAATTGGAGAATTCAAAGGTGTACACAGCGATGACCTCAAAGCCATGCAAGAACGAATGATGAAGTAATTTTACTCACATATATAATTTGTGTGGTTACAAAAACCAACCAACCAACATATTAACCAATGTTTTGTGTTTCACTTTTTTCCATAGGATAATTCGAAAAGTTCAAGCAGACTTCAAGAGAGCTATTGGTGGAGTTGGCACAACGGATATCATAACAGATGGGTTGAGCAATGGTGCTCGTATCTGTAGGACTATTAATAATAGGTAGTTTATGCAGTCTTTTTCCAATGGAAAGAGAGTTATGACCGGACTTTTCGATCTTTGTTTTACATGTATATGCCATGCATACTAAAACTAAATTTTACTTTTGGTGGTTTCAGTTTATCATCTGATATTTCAGAAGTTTCTTTGGACCTAACGACGCGTCAAATTTATTATGCTATACGAAATGATGACGGGTATCTTTCGGGTTTGTTTGTACCTTATGTACCATTCAAATGCTTTGTGGAAAAGCAAATTGAACGATTAGAATATCCTGTTCTTAAGTGCATTGACTTGGTGATGAAAGAGTTATTTTCAGCCGTACGATATAGCACTCAAGGTGTAAGTGATTGTGTGCTGCTTAAAATTTACACAACTATATATGCATTATAGAGCAAAATTGCACTCTTTGAGCATATGACTTACAAGTTTGTCTCTTCATTTTTCAAGGTTCCTAATTATTATCCAGTTTTGCGCGGGAATATCGAAAGAAATATCATTTCATTCATCCAAAATAATGAGCCAAAATTCAAAAAAAGCATTTTATCGCTGATTAAGGTGGAACTCGCCTATACTAATACCAAACATGAGGAATTCGAAAAGGACATGTAAGTGTATTAAGTGCCCACTCTATATGGCATAAACGTACCAATCGCGTGAATCGCGTGTGCCTTTTTTCATCAGCTTATTACTGTGATTGTCTTTTTATTTCTTTTCTATGCTCATCGTTCATTTATTCAATTCAGCAATGTACCACGAAATAATGCAAATGGTGGAAACAGTAAGTGTTCAAAACATATCGATTTACGTTTTTAGAAATAATTTCTTAATTTATCCACATATGCATTTATACGAATTTCAACAATACAGAGTCTACACAGGAGATTATCGGTAGTGATAGCGAAAGTGTAAGTGGTTTTTGTTATGTTCACCCCAGTTTTTCGTTTATAACAATATAATGGTTTTCGAGTCATTATTTTCTCAACCAAAAAACAGGACGAAGAATTCGAAGATTTCCTGAACCATACGCAAATTGTTGATGATATGTATAAAAAAATCGAATCATACACAAGAATTGTTGAAAAGACAATGAGTGATATGGTGCCAAAAGCAATCATTTTGTATATCATAAAAGAATTGGAAGATTACATCAATGAAGCGCTAGCATTGGATTTTGTTTGTCTTTCAGCTGTTGAATTTGTTAGTACTTTGAAAGAAAAAAAACCACGATATATCGAATTCATACAAACTCAATCAATATTATTTGTTACAGAAACAAATATTCACATTGACGCCAGTAGAGGAACAAAAGTATCAAGCAGCACTCAACAAATATAAAGCATGCAAAAAATCACTTGAAATTATTCGTATGTATCACTTAAAAATAGTTTTTGATTTTTAAATCATAATTGTTTCTTCATTTTCTTAACACGTATCAGGTGATATATCCTTACAAGGTATCATTGCTAATAGACCTATGGCAAATGGAGAATCAAAATAATTCAGTTCATCCAAGTTGTCTGCTTACGAAATTCCCATAAATTCAGAATAATTTCATTTTGAAAACAAAGTTTTGCATTGCAGTGCAAGTAGATGTATTTGCCATTGACTGAAATGGTCATAAATTGGCCTTTATCAGTAACAAAATCACATCTGATGCAATGAGCGGACGAAAATCATGAGCCAACAAACAATTTTACCCATTTTAAACAAACACAAGCAATTAAAAATGATCAAAACAAAAAAAAATATTTAAAAAGAACGATTTACCATTTTTTTTAACATTGAACCCAAGAAAAAACCCTGAAAATTGGTAAATATTGCAGATGTTCTCGAGAATTCCTCTCGTAAGCGAAAATACACTTCTTTGGCAACCATTAAAAAAATCCACTAACCGAATTCAATAGGCTAAACAGAAAACTGTACCCCAGTCTATAATCATCTGAATGGATAAATTCCCATAGCAAAAGAAACACCGTCATTTATGGAATTAAAAAAATCATTATGAGTTTTTGTCAAAAATTGTTTATTAGTATTTACTCTTTTTTTTCAAAGAAATAAAAAGAAATGCAAAAAATTGTCTTTTTACGAAATAATTTACTGTACTGGGCATTTAATAGGAGATTATTTTATTCTTTCTAAATGTTACATGATTTCTTTTTCTTCGCTATTTCCCCATGATTAGTTAAGGTGTTTCAATTATAAATTAGATTAATGAGTTGGTTTTTTTTCTGTATTAAGATTAATCCTGTGTGAAATAACAAAGATGATAATAATTCAACCGTGAGGTGTAAAAATGTGACGCAAAAGAAATATAATCGTCAATGAAATTCTGTTATTTGTTTTAAGACTGTAATTATAATAAGGATAAACAATACGATTTTTAATTTTCCATTCAGTTGCTTTACGCTATTCAGGGCAATCCATACAAAAGAAAAATTGCTTTCACTGGACAGGACGAATTCGATTCACAAAGACGATAGGGTACGGAAAAATATTAATGCAAATTTGATTGAAAAGTTTTTCTTTTCTCGTTCAATAATCTATTTCTGCGATCGAACCTGTGCCAAACGCTGTTTCATCAACTCCAGACGATTGGCGGATATATTTTCGGATGTCTGAAAATCGCAAATTCGAAAGCCATTGATTAATATTGGGGCGATTTTGACCAAGGTAAAATTAAGTAACAAACCTCTTTTTGTGTAATCAAAGATTTTGGAGCCAGCAAATTCACGTTGAGATTCTCAGTGGACGATCGATTATCGCTCTGTTGCTCAGCTCCACGGGCATTCTTCTGTAAAATGGATTTAATCCCTTTAGCAAATTGCTTCGTTCCATATTTTCAATACGATCATACCTTTAATGCATTCAATCGTTCCATCCAATAATCCGGATCTTTTCCGATCGTTTTCGATACGCCGAATCGATTCTCTGACAACACTTTGTTATCGGATTGATTATTTTCAGCGGCTGCTCTTTCCAATTCGGCCAAACCATCATCGATGAACTTACGGAAAATAGGATTTGATCCATGCAAATAGTGATCGATGTCAACATCGGGATTTTTAATCTGTAATATATCCATGAAAATGAAACAGAAGAATGTTATCATGTTCAAAATTACGATCAATTACCTTAAATTCGTATAATTTCTGAATGCCCTCTTGTTTAGTTTCCTTGTCGGAAATGAGTTTGAATATAGCCGAAACCGCTTCGTGACTTTGTACTGTATTCTTTTTCGATGGTGTGGTCTGTGTTCGACCGCCATTGGTCTGACCATCCTTTTGAATGTTCTGTATAAAAATGATTTTTTTTATTATGTAATTGCTCTTGTTCAAGTAAGAAAAATCGCATTGTGTTACAAGAATCAACTTAGAGCATTTGAATTACCTTAAGAACCTTCAGCAAGTAGGAATAGAGTTCTGAATGTGTTGGAATTTTCGACAGATGTTGCAGTATATTATTGCCTTTAATTTGGGCCAAATGATGAATAATCGTTTTGACTGTACGATATGGTGTGTCCGCGTGTCTTTGGTGCCAATATGATGACGGTAATTGAACCATAAAATCGTGTACCTCCAGCAAAATGGCATCGTAATCGATTTCATTCGATTTCTCCGGTAGATTTTTCACATTACGCCAAATGCATTTCATAAGGAGGTCGGTGAATTTGGGCAAACCAGCCCCTGAACAGGTTTCTTTCAATAGGCGAATCAATGCGCAAATGATATTCGTGAAATTGGACTTGTCGAATATCTTTAAACAAATGCCGTTAACCACTTTGGTATACTCGTTCTCTTCACTGTTCGGAAGCTTTTGTTCAACCATCAAACCAATGATCAATGCCATAAATTTTTTCAACGGTTCGATGCCAACATTCTTGCCAAGCGTACGTGATGTGTAAAATGAATAGATGCTCGATAGCAACGGTTGATAGATTGCCAACGCATCTGACACTGGGATCTGTGACAAATTCTACAAACAAAATCAAAGAATGTATTTCATTTGATAAAAATAAAACAAATTCGAAAATATGGAAGAATGAACACAAACGGTTTCATAATAGTTAAAGTCACTCACTTTCAATTGAAGGCAAACATTTTCAATATAAATTTCCTCATAGTCGCGAAGGGCTGCTTGTTTTTCAGGTGACTCCAGTATATCATTCAGCTCATTCAAACCAGCTCGGGCTGTAATTGTGTCTGAGCTTCCGACTGAACGCAAAATTCGCATTAAATTTGGATCCAATTTGGGTAAAATATCAGGCAAACTGTAGAAACAAGTGGAAAGTAATTGATAAGCATTAACAATATCATTCTTTGTCAAATATTTCAAAGTAAAATAAATTCTCAAACTCACTTCTGAGCTGCTGTTGGTGATGTGTTCTGCATTGCAATGGTTGTGTTCATGTTGTAGTTTATACCATGACTAACGGGTGACATCATATGTTGTTGATGTGGAGCGCTTGAAATCAATCGCTGTAATCGTTCGGCTGGATAGGAAACACCGTTCACATCAGCCGATTTCAACGGCGAGTGTAAAAAGTCGGTTTTTACATCCAATGGCTTGGGTATTTGCCATTGATCGCTTCGAACCCAGTCTCTTTCGATATCGCTGATGAATTCTTGATCCAGCTTGAATGGTCCACTCGGTTTCGTGCGTTGAATTTCGTGAGGTCTGTTGAATTTCAAAAAGAGACATTAAGTAAATTTTGCCTGATCGAATTTTCTCTCGGTTTAATTTAATTCTTTCGATTGAAGAAAACAAGAGTCATTCAATTTCATATCCAAAAAATGAAAATGCCAAACAAAAAAAATGTCGACTTACTCTTGTACAACGACTTGTGTTTGTGGAGATTCTTGTGGTTCGGGCTCACGTTCATCTTCTTCCATGGGCTCGTCATCATCGACAATGTCTGGTTTGATTACAGCTACTGGTTTCATTGGCACTTCAGCGGGTACTTTTCGTGTTTTCTTCGCACGTTTAATGCGTTCATCCAACATGGATAAATCTTTTTCCGACAATTGACCAATCAGTCGGTACACCCTTTCATCAACGATGAAATAGGCTTGAACGACACAATTCAATGCTGCACTTCGCACCGAATTATCTCGATCGGCAATATGTTTTGCGATTTCCTTCAGTGCAATTTGTGCCGATGGTTGACATGCACCCATGCCATACGTTTCAATTAGATAACCCAATTCATCCAAGCACTCGGTTCGTTGTCGGGCATTTTTCGATTTCAAGCCTTCCATGATGCAGGTGAAAACTTTTGTGAATGGATATGTAAGACAAATTTGCCGGAACAACGATCGCACACCATTACGAACGGCATCCTTTGGATCACCCAATTTCACCAAGAGATGCGGCAAAAAGCTGGTCCCTTCCGTTTCGCTCATATCATATTCACTGGCGATCAACATTTGCATGACCAAATTCAAGTAATCCAATCCTTTTAGCAGCACCGATGGATTTGTATCATAGAAACGCAACGAAATCCATTTCAAAATCAAATCTAAATTACAAATTAGGGCTTTTTGATTCGAATTCAAGTCTTCTTGCAATGCTTCGATAACTTTTAAATGATACCGGAAATCTTCATGGAACATATTGGCCAAAAGATTTTTGTTGAGACCGGCCGTTGTCATTTGATCGCGTAACAAATCGGTGAATTCATCGCGAGGCGTTGTGAATGCCCATTTCAACACCTTGAGTTTTTGTTCGTCGAGCATTCGCTGATTCTTCAGGTTGTTTATCGATAGCAGTGGTGATGTGTCAACATCTTCATCCTTCTTGCGTGATGCAGCTGGCTTATTGACGGGTGTCGGTACTTTTTGTGTTTTTCCACCAACCGTCTTTGTGGCCGGTTTTGATTCTTCAATTGGTGCTATCAATCCCTTGCCCTTCGGTAGCGGTTTAACAGGTAAACTAGGACGTGCCTTATCCAATGAGGTTAAAATTGTTTTTTTCGATGCTGGTTTTTGATGCTCCAATGCTTTTACCATCGGCTCATAGCCCACGTGTAGCATGCATCCAAGCACGGCTTCATTTGCATTCTTACGCACATCAGCATTGCGATCACATACGCTTGCGTAGAGATACGGCAAACTTGCGAGTATTTCATCTTTTGGTATGGATTTTGGTGGAAGCGTTGGCAATTTCTCACTCAACCAGCCCCACAATTCGGTTCGCAGCGATGGATTACCGGTTTTAAGTGCCTCAGCAATCATTTCACCGTCGAAGAATTCCTTGTAACCGCATTGTTCGCCCCATGCATTCATACATTGAATAGCAGTCGATCGCATCACTGCCTTACTGTCGCTCAATCCATTCAAAAATCCTGGGAATAAGACTCGAACGTGTTGCTTACAAGCCGGTCCCATGGCTTCGGCCAGCTGCTGACATATTGACATCGATGTTTGTGCAATTTTCGCATTGCTGTCGACCAATCGATGTCCCAATGCTTGTGGCAAATCTCCAATGCTTGGTTTAATCAATTTGGCTTCGTTCAAAATTCCTTGTAACTTTGTAAGGCCTTCGTTGCGAGTTTTCCAGTTTTTATCCGACATTTCAGCAATCAGCGCTTCGGTAATCTGCGACGAAATGTCGACACGAGGCAACATGTCGCTTAGTTTGATTTCGGGTTGATCGTCCTCATCGTTTTCCCTGTTCGTAAAAAAAATCGTCATCCGAATTAGCACTTTTTTTCAGATCCATTGAATAGAGAATCAAGTAAAGAAACACTTACTCCTCATTGACTGAGCCACTGCTTGATGATTTATTTGCACCACGTGTTGGCTTGGGTGGCTTTTGATCGGCATTTTTATCGAATTCGGCTTGAATTTGTTGCTTCAACGCTGGCTTTTCGCTGTCAAAGAACATCGCCAATGTGTTTCCCATGTACAAGTGCATGATGCCAACTAATTGAATTGCTGCCTGTCGAACGGCTGGGTTGATACTCTGAACAGCTTTCTTCACATCATCCAATAATGTTTTTGGGTTGACTTGCATTCCGAATTCTTTAATCGCACCGCCAACCCAATTCAGTGCTTCAGATTGCACCTTTGGCGATTTTTGTTCAAAAGCAATCGTAATCACCTTTGACACAACATATTCGAGTTGAATGGCTTCGGCTACAGCGGTTAACACTTGATTAGCCCCTGCGCTGTTCTTTGAATCGGCCAACAGTGCAACGATTTCGGTTAAAAATGATTCAGCTGTTGTTGTGGTCATTCCGAGTTTTTCGGTGATTGCAGCCAATGCGTCGAGTTTCAATTTCAACACTTGGAAGTTCGTCTCTTTCAAGCCGGGCTTCTTGCACAGCGTTCGTGCCAAAACTTGTGAATTTCCAGCTTTCGATTCGATGCCATCGATTGAACCTACGAACGTTTCGGCGGTTGATAAACGATTCTTCCAATTTGAATCGACTAGACCAGATAAAATTTCACCGGACAGCAGTTCGGTTGCTTTTTCGTCCACCTCTTCCGGTGTCATTTCTCGTTCAGATGGCAGAGTTGCTTTTGTTGAACTGGCCGATTTTTGTACCGCATTGCTTGCAGCGGGTTTTTTGGCTGCCGGTGCCTTTCTCGCGACGGCTCCAGAAGCCGGTCGGGTCACAGATTTTGGTTCAGCTGAACCAGCTTTAGTTGCGGTTGCAGATGCCTTCACCGGTGCCGTGGTTGGCCGTTCTTTCTTCGGTGCTGCCGCAGTTTTCACAAATATTTCTGCTTTTTCCGAACATTCTTTGATTTTGGCCATTTTCAAAGCGTCCACATCGACAAGATGCGGGCCGACTGCCTTTTCTCCCAACAGTTTAAGTAACGTTCCCAATGCCTCGGCCGAACTATCACGAACCGTTGGATCTGATTCGTTGAGCGTCTTCAACAATGCCGTAGAATATGCTTTGATCAATTTCTTATTAAGAACAGCTGGTTGTGTGCGTGCAACGGCTCTAGCCAAAAATGACGCCGTCTCCGCTTTGATACTGGGATTTTTGTTATTCAATGCTTCCAACAAATCTTCTTGCATTGCTTCCAATGTGGTTGATGGGTAAATTGCATCGATGGCTTCACGCAATGCTGCCACAACATTGGTTTTCTTCTCTTTGAACTTCTCCAAAATGCCTGACACACAGGCCAATGCATACGGTGTGAACTTCTTGCCCAAACCCTTTGCCAAGCATGCTAAACATTTGCCAGCCATAGCAACGAGAACCACATTCGTATCTTTAGTGAGCACTTTTTTCAAAGCCTTCACACAATCACCATAGTCGCCACTCTCTAATTTCGGATTTTCCAACAATTTTTGCAGTGCTTCTAGTGATTCTTTACGCTCTTGCCACTTCTTCGCTTCGAGTTTATCGTAGAAATCTTTCGGCAATTTTGATAGAATGTCTACTGGGTCGATGAGATCCAAAGGATCGACTTCTTCGCGTTGATTACTATCCTCATCGTCGGCATCGCCTTCTTCATCACCGGCAGCCGCTGATTTGAGCGCACTTTGTTTCTCTTGCTGTGATTTCAAATAACGTGTCGGTTCCGGTTTTTCGTTTTTAATTTTGTCAAATTCCGTTTCTAGCTCGGTCAAAAGAACGGCAGCTATCGAAGCAATGTGTGGTTTCAATGCTGGTCCAATCCATCTGTCGATTGAAAATGGAGAATAATGTTAGCAATGTATATTTATATGTAATCCGATCACCGTTGAGCAGACTGTTTTATTTACCTGAAAATTTCGATGGTCAACTGCTTAGCTTCGTCACGCACATTCTTATCACGGTCGGCCAGCAGTACGGGAATTTTCTTAATAAACGGTTTGATTCCGACGACCTTATTTCCAAATTCACGTAATGCTTGTGTCAACACAACGATGGTAGCCACGACAATTTTCGGATTTTTCGCATCCAAGCCTTTAACCAATTCATCGACGGCTGCATCTTGTTTCTCAATTTCGATGTACATCAATGCAATCTGAAATGCCAAATCCTTGACTTTGGCTTTTGGCGCTGAAAAGCATTTTGTCACCAGGCCACCCATGACATCGTTGACCGTTTTACCAGCACATCCAGCATTTTCGACATAAATGAGTGTCGCTTCGAGGCCACGTTCCTGTGCCATTGCATGGCTATCAATCACAAATTTCTTAACTAAACCTAAGTATTTATTCCATTCGGGTGCTTTTTCATCGTCGATGCCTCGAAATATTTTGATCAACTCCTCATAACCATCCAGACGTGCCTTCCACAATTTGTGTACACAACGCTCGTCGACGGGCAATTTCTTGTATTCTGTATCCTCTTCCATTTTGACCTTTGTCTAGACTCTAGTCTATCTGAGTATTGAATTGAATTGAATTTACGCCTTATTTATTACCACGTTCCGAAGAAACAGATAATCAGACGACACTCATTCGGATTTATTTGGTTGCTGTTTCTGCACAATACACACAACGAATGAAAGAAAACCAAACTCGTTCTAAGCTGAAGACAAGTGGAAAAGAATATTCAAATCGATTAGTATTACTGCGAAGGAAAAAAAAAATTTATTCGTATGTCATGTTTTATTTTCAATACACGGAATTAGCTCCGGAGTAAAACCAAAACAAATCGCATACAGTGAAAATAGTCATGCGCAAATCGCAGTGCAAATCACATTTTGAAGGATTTTCTCCATAATAATTTTCTTGGAGCACGTTACGTATTCTATATGTAGCATATACATGCTCTGTCGATGGGTATGGTCATGGTATGCTTTCTTTTTTTGTACGATGACGAACGTCAGTGCGTTTGGAATGTGTCTGACGTAAATAATAAATACTAATTTGCTATCATCGTTCTGAATCACCCGTTTGGAAAATGGAAAATGGTCAAAAATCAATTCTTGAATGGAAAACTTTTTAAAAAAATATCCATATATTTTCGAAACAATATCCGGCCCTTTTCGAAATTAAATCAATAATTTCATACACGCTATATGGCTCGTGTCTCGAGACAATGCCGATCCAACTTTGATTCACTCGGAGCTGTGTATGGTGAACGCATAAATTGAGCGTTGCATTGCTAGCCACGCCGAAATGACAAACGGTTGCCAATAACAGTAAAAAAATAACCCCCTGTTTTGGTATTGTTTTGGTCGTTACATGTGGGTTGCATTAGCAAAATTAAATAAAGTTCACTGTCTCTTTCGCAAACCAATAATCTCTCGTGACCATAATTATGTGTATTGTTATATTTATATCGGTCGATGCATGGAACGACAACGGTGGAAACACCTCCCGACCAAATACCATTTGTTCCGAACGCGTATATCGAACATTTCATGCACTATTTCCACATGCACTCATGTTGCACACCGACCAAACGTTCCACATCTATTTTTAACATGAGAATACCAATTTTAGATGACCAAATTCCACAGTCGAACACTTTTTAAGGGGGAAACGCTTTAAATTTACATATGAATGATGTGATTTTCTTCTCTCTTTGGGTTTTCTTGTCAACTAGCGGCTATTGCAAAATTGCATAAACACACACTTGGATCGAAAATAGTAGAAATAGATTCTCGAAACATCAGCCTATGCTCGTTGAAACGTCTTTTGGCCGTCAGCAATAAGAAGAGAAAAAAAAATGAATGAAAAAAAGACACCAAAACAATTACGGCAAAACAAGATGTTTTGCCTGGAGTTCAACCTTCAATCGCAGACGACACGGCCGAGAAGAATCAATTGTGCAAAACGTGCACAAAAATTAATGAGGCGATTCGAATTGAAATCAAAAAATGTAAATTTTCGCTCATATGCCGAATATGGATATTGAAAGTAACACACAGTAAAGCCATACGTTCGCTGTTAAATGTTGTTATCTTACTTGTTTTTTTTTCTGTATAATACGTTCCAAATCGGTGAGTCGTGTGTGATGATGACAGCAAATCAAATTCAGCGCGAGAAATCGACGAAGAAGAAAAAAAAAACTACAACTTTTTTTTTATGCTTTTATGCGATTCGAAACTGATGTTCACCGACCGAATGGTATGGCAAATTCATCAGAACACTTATCGAATGAGAGAGAATTGATGTCACTGTTTTCGTTGTGCTCAAAAAATCCCAATGCAACCGCACGGTATGTTGGCACCGAAGACCAGTGGAAGAAAGTATTGCGAGACACAGAGAGAGAGCGTAGAATGAAAAAAATCAGAATATACACAAGAAAAACAACAATAAAACGCATTGCACAAACATACCCATACAACCGAACCAAACATCCTCTGTCTCACTCTCTTTCTTAGTCTTTGGCGATACACACAACTATCGTATGTCATCGATGTGTGCGGCACACAGATGTGCCGAATGAAATCAGTTTTGGTATGGTATGCGCGCCGAAATGCGACACAGAATGTTTCATGTTTTTTTCCCCTTCATTTATTCCATTCATGCTTGATCTCATCGAGAAAAAAACAGTCCAAATTTATCAAAAGATCTCGACTCATTTTAATTGGTTTTGCTGCGTTGATTCATGCAAACGTTGCCAGTCAATCGAAACGAAAACTTCATTAGGTGCGTTTTGTTGTTTGGGTGCCACAATAGTTTGTTTGTTCTTCTTCTTCTCGAGTTTTTCATTTTTGAAAATTAACGGTCGTATTCGGTCGCTAGACAAAGTCTAGTAACATACTTGACTTGCGATTTTATCCGATCAAACCATCCTTCTGAATCGAATTGACAGTTTTTTCAACGCTTATTTCGAATTGAATGAAAAAAATGCATCAAACAAACCTTCTATATTCTCGGATAAATTTCTCGTTGAATTCACTTCGTGTTGACTCTGGACAATGTTCAGCAGCAGACACAGTTTCACAAGAAATATATGAACAGACACAAACAAATACGCGTTTTCTTATGATTTTGTAAAATGTTCAACACAACAACGAATCAAAAATATCAACTAAAATTAAAACATTCACAACAAAAGAACAAAATTCGTTTCTCTTTTCGTTCTCAATAAATTGATTTTTCTATATGTTTGACGTCTGGCCGTGTGTATTGCAATTTGCGATCTGAATTGTTGTGTGTATGCGCTTGACTTGACGATACTCTTACTGTTCGAAATTCAACTGCTGTTTTTGGCTCAGTGCGACCAATACACACTCACATTCCGTCGGGCGAAGTGCGGCGATTCTCTTTTTTTCGTGGTTCTTATGCTGGCAACACTGCGCACCGTATTTCAAAGTGTGGATGTGATGTATATTTCGTTAGAATGGGTTTCTATATTTGTGGTTTTTTTCTCTTGCAATGTTTCTTATGGAAAAGATGTTCACAATGATTGTGGTGAAAATGTTTTTTTTTTTAGAAAATTATTCAAACTGTTTTTCTTTATTATTACTTTTTATAGACTTTTTCTTCGTTTTTTATTTTCAAATATTTTATTTAAACTTTCGTGTCTTTTGAAAAGAATCTTTTCCCTTTAAATAATGAATACACATGCACAAAAACTAAATTCCCAGTCGAAAAATTGGAATCGGAACGAATAAACCAATTAACTTGGAATCAAAGGATACTGTGATTATTTAAATCTTCAAATATCACAGTCGCAGATTCGAATTTGAAACGATTCACATTGCACATAACCAACTCAATTCTCCATTAAACGGTCGCAATAATTGCATCACCTGATTTTGACATTTTGCACAGTCTCCAAGCAGCAAATGACATTACGACAATGCCGATAGTTCAAAATCTGTATCGTATCGCTTATGTTTATCGCAAACCGAATGAATTTTATGAAGTGTTTTGCTGATATTGTACAGTGATACATGCAGCAAGTTCATAGCGATAACATCGAGTTGAACGGTTTGGCATATAAATTAGGTGTCGTCACACAAAGCTCGCATCGATTTGACAATTGAAAAATTATCAAAAACAAAAACAAAAACAAAAACAGCCAACAAATACGAACGCATCGGCTCGGTGGCTCTAAAAATAAAATATTCCATAAATTAGTACGTATTGATGATTCGCATGAAATTTACGTCAAAATTTGGTTGCGTTAAACTCGTAGATTTTCCGTTTAACTTTAGAACGTTCTGACAAACAAAGCAGGGAAAAAAATAATCTTTGCTTTTCAAAGGATTGAACATTATTAATTGTCGCATTATCTTTTTGTCTTATCATTAATCCCCATACTAGAACGTACAAAATTGTAATAAACTGAATACGTGGCTAAATCACATCAATCCATTCAATTTTAATCATGTCTATGGTTTTATAGATGATTTTGGAACTTGCTCGCACATCGTTCAACAGTCTGTTGAAAGTCACCACACGAACAACATCGGCCGCAATCGCTTCGAGTCAACAAATCTATAGAAACATGTCTAGTCAATCGATTGATGAGAAATTCGAATTGCCGAAACGGTATCAGGGTCAAGCACCGAGCGTTTGGTAAGTAACGGGATTTAGTTTAGCAGTTATCAGTTCCACATATTATTTTCATCGGATTGACAGTTCGAGTGCATCATTTGAAATAAAATCATTCGTTCATTGAATTTCAGGAATGAGTACATTCAATTATTCATGAAATATCAGCCAATGAATTTGGGACAGGGCTTCACCGACTATCCCGTACCACAGTATATTACAGATGCTCTCACTGCCACCGCCAACAGTCCGAATTGTTTGCTGAACCAATATACAAGAGGATTTGTAAGTAATCTTTTTTGACTACTTGATCATTATCAGGTTTTTGTTTGTTTTCTTATTGAATTTACAAGTGAAAATATTTTGTATGAAAAGTGACAAATGAATTCTCATTCAAGTAGATAAGATTTTGTGCTATTCAATAAGAGTGAGATTACTAACTTTGTTTCGATATCATATACAATTAAAGGGTCACCCTCGTCTCGTACACGCATTGTCATCGTTATACTCGCATTTGGTCGATCGAAAAATCGATCCATTTAGTGAAGTTCTTGTCACTAGTGGAGCTTACGAAGCACTCTATGCGACCATTCAAGGGTAATTAGTTTTTTGTTATAATTTTGATAATTTAGCTAAATAGTAAAATCAAGCATCACAAAGTGCAAGCTTGTAAAGTGATATTCCTAACAAAGTCTTACGTAGAGCGAGAGAGAGAAAAAATGAATTGGTCTGATTTTTAATTGGTTATCAATAGGCATATAGAGGATGGCGATGAATGTATTATCATTGAGCCATTTTTCGACTGCTATGAGCCCATGGTGAAAACAGCTGGCGGTATTCCACGCTTCATTCCCCTTCGATTGGTAAATAGATAGACTTACTGGATATTTCAACTAAAACTAACAATATCAACTCGCTTTGCAGAAAGAAACTGGCAGTGATGTCATCAGCTCCGGTGATTACGTTCTTGACGATGCCGAGCTGGAATCATTGTTTAATAAAAAGACAAAAATGATAATTCTCAACACACCGAACAATCCTTTGGGCAAGATTTACAATAGGTTTGTATTTTCTCCAGTCGGATGGTTTCATGAACATTTCGAAATCGTGAAAACGTTTCGAGATGCTTAAAAAAGAAGGCAATTCAAAATGTTCAAAAATTCCAGGAAGGAGTTGATAAAAATTGCCGAATTATGTAAGAAACATAACGTTCTCTGTGTTTCGGATGAGGTTTATGAATGGATGGTCTTTGACGATAATCAGCATGTCCGTATCTGTACTCTTCCTGGCATGTGGGAGCGAACAATCACCATTGGCTCAGCTGGAAAGACATTCTCCGTCACTGGATGGAAAATTGGCTGGGCATATGGTCCAGCGAATTTGATGGTTAACTTGCGAATTGTTCACCAGAACTGCGTTTATACTTGTCCAACACCAACTCAGGTAAACAACGACTTTTTGGATTAAAACCAAAGAAAATTGACCAAGAAACGGTCCACTTGAATGACATTGTTTTTGAATTCCAGGAAGCAATTGCAATTGCATTTGAGTCGGAGCTCAAGCGCTTAGATTCACCGCAATGCTACTTCAATTCGTTGCCAGTTGAATTGGAAGCAAAACGTGATTTCATGGCCAAATTCTTGAGTGATGTTGGAATGAAACCGATCATTCCACAGGGTGGCTATTTCATGATTGCCGACTGGTCGGCCTTGGGTGAGTCAATCGAACTTTTTGCCATTCCAAGGCGAAATTTCAACATTCTAATTGAATAATTCATTAAAATGAATATAACATTGATATGAATATGATTCAATTTTTCCTTATCGTCCAACAGAAAGCAAAGCTGACTTGAGCACTGAGTCAGATGCACAGAAAGACTATAGGATGACAAAGTGGATGATAAAAAATGTGGGTTTGCAAGGAATTCCACCGTCCGTCTTCTACAATGAAACGAACAAATCCATAATGGAGACCTTTGTGCGCTATTGTTTCTTCAAGAAAGATGAAAATTTGGAAAAAGCCGCCGATATTTTGAAGAATTGGGTCAGCAAATAGTGGGGCAATTGTATAAATACACAGATTGATATGTCTATGAGCAAGAATTTCTGTTCATTTTTTTTTTAAATCAAACAATAAAATGGTTTATATTGGTTCATCAACACTGATTGGCTTTTATCAATCTACTGAAGTTTTTTGCTTTTATTTTATTTAATCACAAAGAGAATGTATGGAAACATTTCAATTTCAATTAATTTGCCAAGAAAAAAAGCAGCCATTATATTGATAAAATAATCTAAAAGCGAAAATATTTTTTGTTTTTTATTGCAATGATTAATTATTTCGCAATGACAAATTGGACTGAGAAAAAAAAACTACTTGAAACATGTTGAGTTAGCGTATATAGTTACAAATCAAGCATCAATTTAACGGCTTGAACAAAGATAAAGTTTAAAAAAAAGACATCAAATGGTTGTACATGTCAAAAATTGGTCGGTATGATCATTAAGGCCTCTTATCGTGGATTCGTGTTCTGTAACATTCTTCATTATCAATGCAGAACTGAATGAATAGCAATTCAGCATTTTGCAATAGATTACATGTGTGGCCGATCAGATTAAAACAATTGGTATGGTCTATAAAAGGCAGATAACGCTGCGCTGCTCTGTCTCACGCAAACATCCATTGCTGTTAAGCAAACTGTCAAAAGTCACATCCAGATTTACATCGGTTATTGTTAACTCAACAAGCAACAACGGTACCAACGACAAATGTCTAGACGCTTCATTCAAATGTATAAAACGTGTTTCGATAAATTTCGATTGCCTAAGCGATATCAGGGCAGTACGCAGAGTGTTTGGTACGTTATAAAACACATTTTCATCATTATTTTCACATGATTTAATTTTATTTTTGTTTTTTTGTTGCCTAGGAATGAGTACACTCAGCTTTTCATTGAATATCAACCACTGAGTTTGGCGCATGGTTTTACAGATTCTCCCGTGCCAAAGTATATCACAGACACTTTAGCAGCTACAGCAAAAAGTTCCAATCACTTGCTAAATCAGTACACACGAGACTCTGTAAGTGGAAAATCTGCTCATTAATTGAAACAATGGCTATGCCACTTTTAGCTCATCAATTGATACTTATCAAATGGAAAATTTTATAAAAGAAATGACACAATCAAATTGTTTGATGTCAAACTTTGTCCCGCTCACACCAACTGTCACACTGACTCGTTTGTGTACGAACTGATGTTAGCGTGAAAAAGATGTTGTTTGCAGTAAACCTGATTTAGATGTTCTTTATTATTGAATGCGAATGACAATGTTTGACAACATAGATAAAAGAAGATAAGATTTTATAATACATTTCCTGTACAAGATTACAATGATTTCAAGATTACAATGATTTGATCGTTATGTCACTCAACCACTTTTCTCTTATGGAACTCAATACATAGGGTCATCCACGTTTGGTTCACGCGTTGTCGGCGATGTATTCAAAATTGATTGATCGCCAGATTGATCCATTCAATGAAATTCTTGTAACAGCAGGTGCTTACGAAGGGCTTTATGCTGCCATTCATAGGTACACTATAAAATTTACAATTGCAAAAGAAATTTGAATTTTTTAAATAATTAAATGTTTACTTTCCATTCCATTTTGTTTATAGTCATATCGAAGATGGAGATGAATGTATTGTTATAGAACCATCCTTTGATTCATATGCACCGGTTGTGAAAATGTGTGGCGGTGTTGTGCGTTACATACCCCTTCGAATGGTAAATAGATGTTTTCAAACGAATTGTGATTGCATAAGGTTGATTCTAAAGTGGTCAAATGGAGTATAATTTGGACCGAATCGTTTTGTCTATTTTCGTATTTACTCACAGAAAAATCCCAACAACGGCATCATTAGCTCAGGAGACTATGTTCTCGATGATACTGAACTGGAGGAGGTATTCAACAGTAAAACCAAAATGATCATTATCAATACACCCAATAATCCATTGGGAAAAGTTTTCAACAGGTTCAATGCAATTTCTTTACATTGTTTGAAATACATTTCCGTTAACACTATTCTCTCTAAAATTCTCAGAGCGGAAATGACAAAAATCGCCAATTTGTGCATAAAATACAATGTGCTTTGCGTCACCGATGAAGTTTACGAGTGGATGGTTTACGATGACAACGAGCACGTCCGCATTTGTTCACTGCCCGGCATGTGGGAGCGCACAATCACCATTGGCTCGGCTGGTAAGGCGCTTGCAGTGACCGGCTGGAAGACGGGATGGGCATATGGTCCAGCGAATTTGATAGCTCATCTACAAATCGTTCATCAGAATTGCGTTGGAACTAATGTCACACCACTTCAAGTAGGTTTTTAGTTTTTTTATGACAACAAAATAATTGTTTCATCTTCGAAACCAGTTGTAATTCAATTGATCGATTTAAAGGAAGCAATTTCCATTGTCTTCGAAGATGAGTTTAAACGCTTGGAATCTCCAGAATGCTATTTTAATACCTTGCGCCTAGAACTGCAAGCAAAGCGTGATTTTATGATTAATGTACTAAAAGAAGCGAAAATGGAACCGATCATTCCGCAAGGCGGATACTTTATACTTGCTGATTGGACTGCCCTAGGTATCTTAACATCGATTCTTTCAATTTAAATCATTTCGTTTGAGTTATTTTTGTTCCCAAACAGAGGATAAAGTTGATTTAAGCAGTGAAACAGACCCGCAAAGAGATTATCGCTTCACCAAGTGGATGATAAAAAATATTGGACTTCAAGCAATTCCACCGTCAGCCTTTTTCAATGAGGAAAATAAAAAACTCATGGAGAATTTCGTTCGTTTTTGTTTTGTTAGAAAAGATGAGAACTTACAAAAAGCTGCTGATATATTGAAAAACTGGACTAGCAAATAGTAGGGTTTAAAAACGCGTTATTTTTTTCAGTGTTTCTTAAAAACGTTTTTTTACAGAGCCGTTATATACCGCCCAAAAAACGTTTTTTTCGTTTTTTATCGTTATTTCTGCGGTATTTTGGACTGTCAAAAAAAACACTACAGAAAAATAACGTTTTTATAACACCGTTTGCGGTATTTGTCGAAACGTTTGTAAACCCTAGCAAATAGTAATAATGGAGTATGTTTGCGTTTGGTAAAAGTTTACAGAAAATTCTCTTTTGAAACAAACAATAGAACTGTTTAATGACTGATCGAAGATAATCATTTTGGTAAATAAAAAATATATAAACATGTATGATTTCATTCACGCATATCGATTTTGTTCAATTATTCACTTGAGTTCTGAGAGATGTGGATAAAGTCCGGAAATTTCAAAAGTTCGGAGATTCATGAGTAATTTTCATAGTTTATATTGTTAATACACCCAAAGATATATAGGCTATGTGTTGTGAATATCGTTGGTTGAATTTACATTAATGAATATATTTTATAAGTTAGCTAGAAATAGTTGATTATAAATTGATTGGATTGCAGTAAATGCCGTATTTAAACAATCAAAAGCTGGAGAATGGCCTTAAATAAGGGACAAAGCATTTTGAATTCAGAACAATAATTGCAATTGCAAAGCATTTCGAATTTGGTTTAATGACTTGTCAGCAAGTAATTGTTTATGTGATGAGACTTACAAGAGTATAAGTAAATGTTCAGTTATGAGCCATAGATACATCAATATGCGGGTGTAACGGGTGTTTTACGATTCAACAAAATTTGATATATTATGATGACACGCATAAATTTACGTCACCTGACGCGTAAATAATTTCCGTGTGAGTGCAGAAGGATTAAGCGCTTGTTGAAACTATGACATTATCTATTTTCTTATCATTTCATTCCATATTTTTTAAATCCTGCAAACATTCTCAATTGCAATTGATTACGAAGCAGCCCAGATTAAAAAAAAACCATTAATGTTAATGGTCTGAACACGCAGACACCGTATCTTTTTTATAACGGAGTTTCGCGTTTGGTGAAGCAGTCTATTAAAAGCCACTTTAAAATATACATCGGTCGATATCAAGTCAAAAGAGTAGTTGATCGAAATGACAAGTCAATCTATTGAAAATAAATTCAAATTGCCAAAACGGTATCAAGGCAGCACTCAAACTGTTTGGTGAGCCTATCATTTATTGATAGATTTGTTTTAAAAGAACTTTCAACTGTTTATAATCTTGTTTTGTTGATTTAATTTTCAGGAATGAATACACTCAGCTTTTCTTTGAACATCAACCATTGAGTTTGGCGCACGGCTTCTATGATGATCCAGTGCCAAAGCATATTACCGATATTTTGGCTGCAACAGCGCAAAATACAGACTACACCCTTCATCATGAGACTAGAGACTTGGTAAATGAAATCGTTGTTCTGTGCATCATTCATTTGTGTGCAAAGATTGATGAAATGCATCTAACGACAAAGATAAAGTGTAGCAAAACGAAGCACAGCGGGTGACATTGTTATCAAATATTATTACAGGGACATCCACGTTTGATTCACGCGTTGTCAGCGCTGTATTCAAAATTAATTGGTCGCCAGATTGATCCATTCAATGAAATTCTTGTAACAGCGGGTGCATACGAAGGACTTTATGCGGCCATTCATAGGTATGTTCCATTTATCCAAAAAAAATTATTTAACAAATACGAATATCTACAAATCAAACAAAAAATAAACACATTTGCAAATAATACAGCCATATCGAAGAAGGAGATGAATGTATTGTTATAGAACCATCCTTTGATTCATATGCACCGGTTGTGAAAATGTGTGGCGGTGTTGTGCGTTACATTCCACTTCGTTTGGTCAATTGGCATTAAATTATAATTTGTTATATATAACAAAAAATGTGTGTCGATTCCGAAATAATCAACATGACGGTAATAACATTACAGACAGCTCCTAGCAGCAGCAACATAATTAGCTCAAGAGATTATGTTCTCGATGATGCCGAACTTGAAGGTGTGTTCAATAGCAAAACCAAAATGATCGTTATCAATCAACCTAATAATCCTTCGGGGAAGATCTTTGACCGCGAAGAATTGACAAAAATCGCCAATTTGTGCAAGAAATTCAATGTGCTCTGTGTAACAGATGAAGTATACGAATGGCTGGTTTATGATGACAATGAACACATTCGCATGTGTACACTTCCTGGAATGTGGGAGCGTACAATCACAATTAGCTCGGTGGGAAAATCGCTTGCAATCACGGGATGGAAAACGGGATGGGTGAGTTGAATCGATGGATAATAAATTCAATGAAAAGTTAATAATACGCCCATAAATAATAGGTGTATGCTCCACCAAATTTAATATCGCGCGTTCAAGTCATTCATCAGCTATGTGTTCGAAATGTTTGTACACCACTTCAGGTATGTTTAAAAAAAAAAAACTATTTTCACTATGGAAAATGTTTGAAAACGATATCGACCATATCGGTCAAATTGCAGGAAGCATTGGCAATTGTTTTGGAAAATGAATTGAAGCGCCTCGATTCGGCCGATTCATATTTCAACACATTACGGTTGGAATTGCAGGCAAAGCGAGATTTCATGGTGAATCTACTTCGCGAAGTCGGGATGAAGCCAGCTGTACCGCAGGGTGGATACTTTATACTTGCAGACTGGTCTAATTTAGGTGAGACAGTTTACTTTCTTTCAGTTCAAAGCAATGTTGCATTAATTTCAATACTTTGGCTCCTGAACAGAAAACAAGGCTGATTTGAATAGTGAGTCTGACCCGCAAAAAGATTATCGCTTTACAAAATGGATGGTTAAAAATAGCGGACTGATGGCAATACCAGCCACAGCCTTTTGTCACGGCAATAAAACCGAAATGGAAAATTTCATTCGAATCTGTTTCGTTAAAAGCGAGAAAAATCTACAAAAAGCATCTGATATACTGAGAAAATGGGTTAGCCAGTAGTGATGATTGAAAAGAAATTAAGCAATTGTTTACATAAAAGTGAATTGTTTTGTATCGCTTTAAATCATAATAAAAACACACAATGGTTCAACTGTAAAAAATCAAGGCCAATTATTGTCATTAGGCAATTCTTTATCGATATTTACACTGGTGCAACTGAACGGAGCAAACAACTGTTTGACGCTTTTCGCGGTACGCATGACAGCAAAAATGAATATGAAAATGTTCACCGGCGGGATGGTATTGCTTCCTCCTTCCGTGCCAACAAAAATCATCTGAAAAGATATTCAAGTTCCGTTTACTGCGATGCTCCACTTCTATATATACATTCTTCTATCCATTACTTCGATTTCCGTGTATCCAGTTTCTATTTCGAAAGCGGGGAAACGCTATTCGAAATTCAGTCAAACGTAAAAAAATTAAACGTAATATTGAACCGCAACGGAATGGACGCATTCAATGTCATGTGTTGAACGCGATGATCTCATACCGACCGCACACATAGTGTACACCAAATTTTCAATGAAAAATGGAAAAAATCGACAAGATTTCAATTTTTATCAATGAATTTAGTTCGAAAAAAAATTTCGTGAATTTTTTCCATAAATGATAAATGGTTTTAATAAAATGATTTCCATCGGAATTTCACCACTTAACACGCCTAGTGTGATGGTTCTGCTGTTTTTTCTTCTTCTATCTCCCTCAATGCTATTCAGCATTGAACGACAGACGAACACCAATGCAAAACGCGCTAAATGCCAACACCAAAGCCGAACGGTTCACAACTACCAATCTACTTGACATTGTTGGTGTGCATGTATTCGGAGATGCGGTATTGACACGGCGGGCATACGTATGTATGCGTCAAAGAGTGTGGTCACTGTTTGTGTTCAGTGTGAAGCGGCCATTATGTTTCACCATTGAACGGCATTCTATCACGGCTGTACATCATTCCACATTTGCCGTTTCTTTTCGCCTCTGTAAACCATCGTAAGCTGTGTGCTTGTCGTTGTCGTCGTTCTCGTCGTCGTCGTCGTCGCTGTTGCGGTAATCGGTGTAGTTTGTGTGGTGTGTATAGCGACACAAAATTCGTAGTTCGTGCATTTCGAACTTGAGTTGCGCTTGGGCCATAAGGAAAAAATGCTGCTTGACAAACAGTCCGCCATATTTATTAAAATCCAATAGTACATAATTCGTGGTTTAATCAGGCAGCAATTACAGTCCGTAAATTTTGTTTTTTTAAGTTTATGTCGTTTGACACGTTTTATTAAGAAAAACAAAGACGAGTTTCAGTTTTCTTCGGTTTTAATTTTTGTTTTTTAACAAATCCGCAACGAACTCGAGCGACCGAGAGCAAAAGAAGAGGAAAAAAAAGGAGCAAACAGTTGAAGAGCAAGCAGTTCTAACCACAAATCGACATCGTTCAGTTCATTTTTTTTCCTTTATAGTGTGTTGAACAAGCCAAGAGAACACTCGGGAAAATAAAGGCTTTTTTTTTGTTGTATATTCACACAATTTTGAACACGCTGCATCTACATTTTTTGTGCAAAGAGAAGTTACATCGCTGAACATCGATTTGAAACTCAATTAACGAGTGCGACTTGAACTAAAAGAATAGAAAAAAAGGCTAAGAGCTAACCGAGAAAAAAAAAACAGTTTAACTTTTCATACAGAATAAGAAAAAAAAGCAAATATGTCAGAGGCAGTGGATATTGACCCTATAATTTCAAAATTATTGGAAGGTGGGTTTCATTTACGTTGTTCAATTTTTATTTTTTCATACAAATTCTGATAAAGTGTACAATAGCAAAAAAAATAAGAAATATATTGTGTGCGTAATACGGGTTGATTCTCTGCAAAATGGCAAAACGCGTAAATGGTTTTTATCGAATAGCAAAATGAAAAAGAAGAAAAAAATACGAAAAATAAACCAAATCAGCAATAAAAATTTCAATGTGTAAAAAAAACGTTGTGTGTATGTGTATGCGGCAATAAAACCGCACCAACCTTTTTTCCCAATTCAAATTCTGCGAATGACAATGGATTAGTAAAACAAAGTGCGAAATAAAAATGAAAAATGAAACAAAATTAGTTTCAAACCATCATGACATGACGTGAGCGAGAACGAAAAAAAAATGCGAATTCAACACCAATAAATAAAGCATTGATTTAGATGTTCGAAATGTATAAATCAAGTGAAACTATTTGAAGTAAATCAAACCTAAGCTAAGCGAGGAGCGAAAAAAAATGAAGTAGAAAATCAAATCAGCTTTAAGAAAAGTGACTACTCAATGTGACAGAAGAGTCATACACACAGAAAACGAAACGAGAAGAAAGAAGACACTATGATACGGCAATACGCGCATTTATAATACACATCGTGCGACTGACATAGAGTCAGAATGAGAGAGAGAAAGGCACAGAGAACGAGAGAAAAGGAGAAAAGGCGATTACATGGAAAGCCCAATGGAATTTCGCGATTAAAAACGAAAAAAAATAATACGAAAAAACGAGTAGAACATCTAATCTCATTTTGATTTGATTGTGTGCGGCTGTCATTTTTATTATTTTCATTTAAAATCGAGTTCAAGATTGTGACATTTTTCGTTTTGAAAAAGAAAAAAAAAGAGAAAAAAGAAATAAATAAATGATGTACTACATATATTCTATATGTATATATGCTATGATATGATATACATATATATTCATTCTCTCACAGTGCTGCTGCTGCCTTCAATGCCCAAATTGTCTGCGCCACCATTTTACATTTTTGCCTGTGTATGCGTGCATAAATTTTAAAATGTTTGCTTTCGGTTGGTGTGTACGAGTGTGTTTGAAGTTTTTTATGCTATGCTGTTACTATTACTGTGCTCGGTCTGCGTGTATACGCCAGCAAGCGAACAAGCAAGCAATATTTTTGTGTGTCGTTTATTCTCACTGTGACAATATACACTGAAATGTGCTTGAATGTTGGATTAAAATTTATATACCGATATTCGTCTCAATGCAATAAACATACAGACAAGAAGTGAGAAACCAAATCTGTATATATTTTCTGTTCCTTTCCGCACTCTCAATCACTCTTTTTATATTATCGACCATCACATAGTCCCACACCATATATCATTTATTTATATGGTACGCGATGCGGTCCGTTTTCTTCTTTTTGATCGATTCACGTGGAAAAACGAATTTTCACCCATCGACCGATGGACACTTTACACTTGGCATATGATTCATAGCCAAATGACGTGCTATGCCATTTAAAAATCAACGTTACGACACACGATGAAATTTTCTTCGTCGCTTTCAATTGCTTTTTTCATTCTCCTGCTCCGATTCGAATATCGAAAAATGACTGCCACCAAGCAGAAAATGTGATGTACAGGAATAAAAATAATTTGCGATTACAACAATTTTGTACGGTGACTAACCATCAGAAGGAGTTGGAAAGATTGTGTGTGTGTATGTGTGTGTGTGTGAGTGTTCAATGCTGGGCAAATGTCGCGCGGCAGCGGTTTGGGGATAATGCCTAGAATGTATGTCAAGGAAAAGAATTCATTTTATATACATTTCATTATCAAATCGTTTATACATTTTGCGACTGGAACTTTCTCTGACAGTCAGTCAACAGACAGCGGTGTTGGGTTGTGCTGCGCAAAATTTTCGGCGGCCAAAATTCAAAGTCAAAACAAACAACTGAACCAACCGAAAGAAAATTATACACATAAATATAAAAATTCAATTACGGTCTTGATTATGATTATACAGAAAACCTTTTGAGGCTCTCAATTTGCAGTAGCAACAGCAGCAGCAGCAGCAGAAGCAAAAAAAAACAGAAACTGAAGCGTTGTATATAAATGCGCGTTTCCTTTTCGATAGGCACTCAGCACCAGATAAATATGTATATAAAGAGAGAGTGAGCGAGTGAGTGATGCGGACACTTAGCAGAGCCACGGACGGAACACACATGCACATGGACGCGTTGTGGAATGAGACAGAATCGAAAGAAGAAATAAAAAACAACAACCGTTGAGAGAAAATTTGATATTGACGTCGCTCAAGTTGCGTATATGTGCTTCGAGTAGTATGTATACAATCCACATTTTTCGCCTTCTGCCACACACACACTCACACATTTGCCTGCACGGCAGTAGTTCTCCTTTTGTCTATTTTATCATTCGCTCGCGTTAGTTGCTGTCGTCGTTGTTGTTGTTATTTTTGTCGTTGTGACGTTCTCACACACGAATCAAGAGCAGAATGGAAAAGAAATGAAAAAAAAGCAAACTCTGGATTGAGTGAAAGAGAAAAACACACATAACATGGAGTGAAATACAACGTTTTCTTTGGTCGGAGGGAAAAATGCCAGAGCCATAACAAAAATTTTAATGGTTTTTTGTTCGGTTGGTTCGTTCGCGTTCGCGTGCGTGCGCGCCACTCCAATCACATTTGGTCGTCCATCTGTACGATGGAAGGCACCTAATATACGCGGCATTTTGTTGAGTATCATGATAGCTTCCTACGCACTTGATCATTCTGTCTAATGATGCGATATGATTTTGTGTGGTTTTCTCCGTATATTTCAATTGCCATAGTTTTGGTTACGGTTTAGACAGATATATTGATGACGACTCATGCCATTTTACAAGATCAATCCATTCGTGTGCGAGTTTCACTCATCATCGTCGTCGTCGCCGACATCGTCATCTTCGTCGCTGTCGTCTCACGGCTCAAATATGTAACAAACGAAAGAAAAAAAAAGAAAACTTGTTTGTATACGCGCAAGTTCTATCGCCCAATCACTCATTCTCTTTTTCTTACTTTCCAAACATATCATATTGAATCTCTTGTTCGGATTTTCTTCGATTGTGGAAAAAAAGAGAAGAAAAAACAAACCACAACATTTTCTATAACTATTTTTTTTTGTTCCAAACAGAAATTCCGATCATTTTCTGTAATATCGAGAACATCACGAAACGATCTGCTTTAAGTAGTTTCGATTGTTTAGATAATTTATTTGAATAATAATGCCAAAAAGTCACGATTTCCATAATGTTTTCAATGCGAAAAAAACAAGCCAGAAAGAATGGAAGAAATACCCAGTACGAGTTCACATAAAAAAACTAAGCAATAATCGTTGGAATAGATTGACGAGGAAAATTTATGTGCATGAACATCGTTGCCAACAATTGGACAGTGGTTTGAAATAGGAATGAACGAAAACGGAACAAGAAAAAAAATGTATACAGAGACGTGGAAAAAGAAATAGAAAGAGAGAAAGAGGTTTTTTCTATACATAGTCTGATTTGGATTTTGATATAGACACATTTCCATAGCCAAGAGACTGAAAGAGAACCAAAGGAAAAAGTAAAACAATAAAAAGAAAGAAGAGCATGTACACAAACAACACGGTGCTAAACCACTTTTTGCACACTCATCTCTTGATGCGGCAAATGTGCGAGTCGAAGAGGAGACGGAACACAATGTGAAACGAGAGGCACAACGGCTATGTTGAATGATGACGCCACTTTTCGCTTGTGCTCAAGCATTTTGTTCCGTTCCTCATGCTACTCATTGAATCCGTTGCTTTGTTGTTGTAGCTGCTGCTGCTTTGCTCTGCCACCGTTGCCTCCGTTGCTCTGTTTGTGTGTGTTGTGTGTTGTGTGGCCGATTTTATTCGCAACATTGTGCGCGTTGTGATGTCGTTTTGCGTTTGTAACGCAATTCCACACGGAATCCTTTAGCCAAGCCATTTTCATGCTACGCTTGTACAGTTGTCATTTTCAAGGTGAAATGAAAATCCATGCAACGCTTGGTGTGCTTATACCTGTGTGTACACATAGGACGCAATATTTTTTTAGGCAAATCTTTTTTTTTTTGCATCTAACAAGCGAACCGATTTGCTTGCCATGTAATCGAAGCCATTTGTAAATGTGGTTTGTCTCACACAATATCATGTATACATACCCGTTTCAATGTTATTAGAAGCCAAAACAATCGGAAAGGCTTTTCAATCGTGATTCGCTATAAACACGTAAACGTATTGATTATTTGCCATGACACTCCTATTTATTGTGTCAGCGAGTGTGTCGATTATTTCACAAAATGGATCACAATCCATATAATAAGCGCCTCCCAAATACCGATTATTTTGCCGTCGATTCTTTTGTTCCGTGTATTTTCCGTCCCGAGAGAGAAACAAAACAAAAACAAAATGAAAATTGGAAGCAAGCCGAAAAGAAACGAAATGAAGTATTAAAAAAAATGTGGCCGAATGACAATAATTAACGGTAATTCCAAATTAGTTGTGAGCATATAAACTAGCAGAGTGATAAGTGTCGTGTAATCAGACACAAGTCTGAAATGCTTTGGCAAATAACTCATTCTGATAATAACACGACAATGAAAAACAAAAAACAACTCGTTGATTGCAATGAAAACAACATGGTGTTATCACGTATGCGCCACACCAGAAAAAAAAAATCCGTAATGAAAATTTCCTTGAAGTTTCAAGAAACAAGAAAAAAGCATCGGCTGTGTGTTGATGGCGGCGACGGCGCACATACAACACCATATTTTCATAATTCAAATCGACATTATAAATGAATAACGAACTAATTACAGCGCACAAGAAATTATCGGCTCTGACGTGATGAACTTCGCCGGATTCGCGCAATTAATCTCCCTCTCTCTCTCTCTCGCTCTCAAAGCAATTTTCACATGCAAATACGATTCAAGTTAA